AGTTGGTGCTGGTGCCGCCACTGGCGCTGGAGGTTTCGGAGGAGCTGGTGGTGGTCTTGGAGGCGCTGGTGGTCTTGGAGGAGTTGGCGGTCTTGGTGGTCAAATGGGAGGAGGCATGGGCGGCTTTGGCGGACGCTTCGGAGGTGCCGGAGCCGGTGGATTCGGTGGCGCCGGTGCTGGTGTTGGTGGTGGAATGGGGGGTCTCGGCGGCTTCGGCGGCATGAACGGCGGAAGGTTCGGAGCCGGTGGACTCGGCGGTGGCTTGGGAGCCGCAGGGCAGTTTGGCGGTGGCGCGGGTCAGTTTGCCGCCGGTGGAGCGGCGTAGGAGATGGATGCACTATACGTTTTGGTCGAGTAGACAGATGGACGAGTAATTGACGTAGCAAGAACGAGTTGAAGTGTTCGTGTATGCCTGTTCGTCTTTTTTGTCTTGTGCGTGCGTTCGCGTGCGATCGTGGCGCGCTCGCGGAATGCGAAATTTCGGTTATTCTACTAAATATCAACATACTCGAGATCGTGTCAATATCTCAAACCAAATCAGATTCAAGTCATTTTTTGACAACTGAAAATGTCAAATCATTGGAGACATTAGCGAACAATTACAAAAACGAAGCTGCTATCCGAAGTTTGATGTTCTCGACGAATTGGTGAGTGAATGCACATTTAACGTTGGCCGACGTTGTTCCGAATGTATCCCATGCACGCCATAACTGACCAGCCCAGCTCATGCATCCCGATACGACAATGTCAAGGTCAAGCACAGAATTACAAGGAACAAGAAAACGGGACCGAAAGCAACCAAAACACATCTATTGGCGCTGATTGCTAAAACCGCAGCCAGTTTTTGTCGACGCTACATTATACCTTGCACACGCTGTGGGCTACACTAGACGCCCATCCATATTTCACACGCAGGCGCGAGCCATGCTCGGACCTTCCGCTCTCGGAGCGCCTCACTTGCCCTTCGACTTGTCTTTCGACTTGTCCTCCTTCGACTTGTCCTCCTTCGACTTGTCTTTCGACTTGTCCTCCTTCGACTTGTCCTCCTTCGACTTGTCCTCCTTCGACGGCGTCTTCTTCTCCTCCACCACCGCCTTGGGGGAGTCGTCTGCAGTCACAGACTCGGTGGCCGATTCCGTCAGGCCAGCGTCTCCGCCAGCCGTCGCGGACTCGTAGCCCAAGCCAACACCAGGGTAGCCATAGCCGTAGGTGTAGCCGTAGTAGTTGCCAGGGTAGTCGTAGTACGACGAGTAGTAGGTCGGGTAGTAGCCGTAGCCGTAGCCGTAGCCGTACGAGTCCGGGTAGTAGCCGTAGTCGTCGTAGTCGTCGTAGCCGTAACCTTAGATGTCCTTGCCGTAGTAGTCACCACGACCGTAGTAGTCCTTCTTGCCGTAGTCGTCGCAGTCGCCCCTGCCGTAGCTCTTGTAGCCATAGTCGTCATACCCGTAACTCGTGTGCTCGTAGTCGTCGTGGCCGTACTTGTCATCCTTACCATAGCTGTACGTGTCCGTGCCGTACTTGTCGTCCTTTTTGTCTTTGCCGTACTTGTCGTCCTTGCCGTAGGCATAGTCCGAGGACTCGGCCGCCTTGGCATCTTCGAGACGGCGGCGGCGGTAGTAGGACCGGCCCTTCTCGTGGTGGTGCTTCTTCGGGTCATGGTGCTCGCGCTGGTGTCCGTAGTCGTAGTCGTAGTTGAGGCCCAGACGGCGGCGATCGGGGGCTACGCCTCGGGCCGCACCCGCGTCGGTCGCGTGCAGGATAGAGGCGCTGACGCAGAGGCCCAGCACGACGAAGAAGTTGCAGTGCATCTTGGAACTGGTTGTTTGGTTGCTTGGTTGGTTGCTTGGTTGCGTGGTTGGTTGCTTGGTGGACGAGTGTGGAGCAGGAGGCGGAACGAATAATGAGAGAGGTGGGTCCGAGCAAGCCTCGTGTTTGGGTCAACCGACGTCGACCATCGTGTCTCTTGCACTGGTGAAGGGGGTGGATGACTAAGCCAGATCCGGCTTGGATTGAGCGATGTGGAAGTTCTCCCATCGGATTGGCACCTGGGTGCGGGTATCTCGGTCACAACTGCTCAAAGCTTCAAGCCGTTGTTTGAGGTTTTCACTTCTCGATTTCTGCACGCCACCTCAAGTGAATCACAGCCAGCTTCCGCTTCCGCTTCCGCAGACCTTTCGCCTTTTCGCCATGATGTCTCGACTCGCACTCGCACTTACGGTGCTAGCCTGTATGAACGGCAGCACTCTCGCACAAGGCCCACGCGGGCTGGGCCGCATGAGTCCCGCCATGGCTCGTGACCGGGAGCAGTTCGGCCAGGGCACCTTGTTTGGCGGCGCCAACACTTTCGGCGCAGGTCTTAGCGCAGGTGCTGGTGCTGGTCTTGGCGCAGGCGCAGGCCTTGGCGCCGTCGGAGGGGCTGGTGGTCTTGGGCAAGTCGGCGGCGCCGGTGGTGGTGGTGGTGTCGGTGGCTTTGGTCAGCTCGGCGGAGGAGGGTTTGGAAACGGCGGTCCGCTCGGCGGTCGATTCGGAGCTGCAGACAACGGTGCCGCACCGGGACTGGCCGCTGGCACGACTACGAACGGTTTTATTAGTGGGGCTGGAGCTGCCGGCGCTGGGGGAATGGGAGGCGTCGCGGGTCCGGGCAATGGCGGACTGAGCAGCGGTGGTCCGGTGACGCCCGCCCCGACGACACCGGGCGGTGCGGGTCCGACGTCCCCGAACGGAGCGGGTGCCGCTCGTGGCGCAGTTGGTGCTGGTGCCGCCACTGGCGCTGGAGGTTTCGGAGGAGCTGGTGGTGGTCTTGGAGGCGCTGGTGGTCTTGGAGGAGTTGGCGGTCTTGGTGGTCAAATGGGAGGAGGCATGGGCGGCTTTGGCGGACGCTTCGGAGGTGCCGGAGCCGGTGGATTCGGTGGCGCCGGTGCTGGTGTTGGTGGTGGAATGGGGGGTCTCAGCGGCTTCGGCGGCATGAACGGCGGAAGATTCGGAGCCGGTGGACTCGGCGGTGGCTTGGGAGCCGCAGGGCAGTTTGGCGGTGGCGCGGGTCAGTTTGCCGCCGGTGGAGCGGCGTAGGAGATGGATGCACTATACGTTTTGGTCGAGTAGATAGATGGACGAGTAATTGACGTAGCAAGAACGAGTTGAAGTGTTCGTGTATGCCTGTTCGTCTTTTTTGTCTTGTGCGTGCGTTCGCGTGCGATCGTGGCGCGCTCGCGGAATGCGAAATTTCGGTTATTCTACTAAATATCAACATACTCGAGATCGTGTCAATATCTCAAACCAAATCAGATTCAAGTCATTTTTTGACAACTGAAAATGTCAAATCATTGGAGACATTAGCGAACAATTACAAAAACGAAGCTGCTATCCGAAGTTTGATGTTCTCGACGAATTGGTGAGTGAATGCACATTTAACGTTGGCCGACGTTGTTCCGAATGTATCCCATGCACGCCATAACTGACCAGCCCAGCTCATGCATCCCGATACGACAATGTCAAGGTCAAGCACAGAATTACAAGGAACAAGAAAACGGGACCGAAAGCAACCAAAACACATCTATTGGCGCTGATTGCTAAAACCGCAGCCAGTTTTTGTCGACGCTACATTATACCTTGCACACGCTGTGGGCTACACTAGACGCCCATCCATATTTCACACGCAGGCGCGAGCCATGCTCGGACCTTCCGCTCTCGGAGCGCCTCACTTGCCCTTCGACTTGTCTTTCGACTTGTCCTCCTTCGACTTGTCCTCCTTCGACTTGTCCTCCTTCGACTTGTCCTCCTTCGACTTGTCCTCCTTCGACTTGTCCTCCTTCGACGGCGTCTTCTTCTCCTCCACCACCGCCTTGGGGGAGTCGTCTGCAGTCACAGACTCGGTGGCCGATTCCGTCAGGCCAGCGTCTCCGCCAGCCGTCGCGGACTCGTAGCCCAAGCCAACACCAGGGTAGCCATAGCCGTAGGTGTAGCCGTAGTAGTTGCCAGGGTAGTCGTAGTACGACGAGTAGTAGGTCGGGTAGTAGCCGTAGCCGTAGCCGTAGCCGTACGAGTCCGGGTAGTAGCCGTAGTCGTCGTAGTCGTCGTAGCCGTAACCTTAGATGTCCTTGCCGTAGTAGTCACCACGACCGTAGTAGTCCTTCTTGCCGTAGTCGTCGCAGTCGCCCCTGCCGTAGCTCTTGTAGCCATAGTCGTCATACCCGTAACTCGTGTGCTCGTAGTCGTCGTGGCCGTACTTGTCATCCTTACCATAGCTGTACGTGTCCGTGCCGTACTTGTCGTCCTTTTTGTCTTTGCCGTACTTGTCGTCCTTGCCGTAGGCATAGTCCGAGGACTCGGCCGCCTTGGCATCTTCGAGACGGCGGCGGCGGTAGTAGGACCGGCCCTTCTCGTGGTGGTGCTTCTTCGGGTCATGGTGCTCGCGCTGGTGTCCGTAGTCGTAGTCGTAGTTGAGGCCCAAACGGCGGCGATCGGGGGCTACGCGTCGGGCCGCACCCGCGTCGGTCGCGTGCAGGATAGAGGCGCTGACGCAGAGGCCCAGCACGACGAAGAAGTTACAGTGCATCTTGGAACTGGTTGTTTGGTTGCTTGGTTGGTTGCTTGGTTGCGTGGTTGGTTGCTTGGTGGACGAGTGTGGAGCAGGAGGCGGAACGAATAATGAGAGAGGTGGGTCCGAGCAAGCCTCGTGTTTGGGTCAACCGACGTCGACCATCGTGTCTCTTGCACTGGTGAAGGGGGTGGATGACTACAGCCAGATCCGGCTTGGATTGAGCGATGTGGAAGTTCTCCCATCGGATTGGCACCTGGGTGCGGGTATCTCGGTCACAACTGCTCAAAGCTTCAAGCCGTTGTTTGAGGTTTTCACTTCTCGATTTCTGCACGCCACCTCAAGTGACCTAAGGAAGGAATATGGGCAGGGATTGGAAAAAAATATATTGGTCCAGTACCAATACCGCCATTTGCCAATACAATACGATACTGTATTGCAGATTGTATTGTAATACGATATTGCGGAGTCCCTATGTATTGCAATAATATATTGTCATGTAAGGAGCAATACTATATTGTAGGTGTATCTCAAAACCAATTCACTGTGGTGCAGCTAGTTCACTCTGGAGAAGTGCTTGAGGCAGCGTTCGCGGCCCTGGCATTTACGTATCGCTACGGCAACCGTTTTGCTCGCCCAAAGAGCAGGATTGACGCTAAGGACTCGCGTTATCTAGGTGAAGACTACTGGACACGATGCTGCTTGTACTGGAGGGGGGAGGAATGAAGTACGAATGTAGTGAGTTGGTCTCTGCCTCGTTCCTCCTATTCCAACACCTTCGGGCAAAAATAACATTAGCCAACCTTGAACCGCGCTTCCCCGTACACTTATCACAAGGTACGATGGACTTGAACCTTCACAGGCATCTAGTTGACCACTTTAAACAGATGCGTAGTATTGCAATACTGTATTGCAGGCGAACGGTAGATTGCAATACGGGATTGCGGTGAAGGCATGCAATACCAATGCTATATTGTTCTGCATGGTGGATTGCAATCCATACTGCAATGCTTACTAACGCTGAAAAATGCTGGCCAATATATATTTTCCAATCCCTGAATATGGGAACAAACGACTTCTCCGTCTCGTTGCACGTTACTGCCACTGCCGACGCTCAGAAGACAACCGGCCGTGCCATTCCGAGGGATGGGATGCTGCTGTACTATTCCAATTGCCACTTTTAGATGAAGTCAGCTGAGAGAGAGCGTCTTCTTCCTCTTGCGGCCCCCCTCCCCCATACAGTCGGCTCAATACTGAATAACCATTCCACAACTTCGTGGCTTGGAGACTCGGCGGATATCCTCACCAGCAGCAGCAGTAAATTCAACGTTGACGATGGGCAAAGCCAAGAACGCCAAGAGAGCAACCATTTCGTTTTTCAAGTCGTCCAGGCGCAAACGTTCAGCGAAAGATGGCACGCCAGAACTCGCGGCGGTCAAGATCGAGGAGTCAACGCTCACCGTCATCGCAGTAGAGGACGATTCTACAGAGGAAAAGGTTTCTGCAGCGACTGAGGATCCAAAGGTAGACCAAGTTGCTGGCAGGCGGGCTCCAGCGACCATCTCGTTTGAAGACAGCTTCTGCGGAAAGTGTCTACAGATTCCTCTGGCGGTGCTAATGGGCTGTGCCATACTGTTCTGCTGCCCCTGCGTCTCAGCGTATTGTTGCTCCGGGTGCTCCGATAGAAGCTTCTGCGAAGATTGCCTTCACTATTGCTTCGTTTGGTTCTGCTGCGATGGACACCCTGTGTTGTGCTGCAAAAGTTGCTTCGCGACGAAAAGTACGGAGAGTGTCCGTCCGCCTGCAAGCTACGAATCAGGGTCACACGACACTTTGGCAGCATACCACAGCGCCTAGCACGAAAGAACTGAACCAAATAGTGCGGGTGCCGATTATTTTTTTATTGGCCAACATCTGCGCAGAAAAACTATCTACTTCGACGTATTATAGTTTAAAATTTAAATGAAAACCCCAAATATCACCCGGTATAGTAATCTTGCACATTTCATTGAAATTGATGCTATGGCGTCATACTTTTAAATGAGTACCAGCGAGCCTCAGTGCTAACAAGGACCGCCTCGTGCGATTAAGATCCATGTGCGTAGCGCGTAGGCGCGTCTGGCGTGAATGCTACCATAAACCTAGACAAACCGCAAAGTTGTAGCTAGCCGAAAATCTTGTGCATGAAGCACCATCTCTCCAGTGATGTAGAAATCAAGGCTCCCCTTGCATGTTGATTTCACTGCCGCAATAATTTTCAATGTTAGTCCGCAACAATTCGAAACCAAAAGCATACAAGAATATTTTCACGTAGCGATTAATGTAACTCGATGGATCCCTCAACCCTATAGCTTTGTTATTCGGGCAGCCCGATTGCGCTTGAGCGTTCTGGCCCGCGTAGGCCGAGCTTTCGTCTGACTCGCTTGCTGGCTTTGGCGATGAGGGAACGGGGACGCATTGTAGCTGTGAAATATATATAAAACTTCGTGGAAATAGTGCGCAGATAAGGGGAGTACTTGTGAGTTGATCACTCTTGTGCTGTTGTTCTCGTTCACTTGTGGGATTGCACACGCGATCCGCGTCGTGCGGATCTGGCAGATACGTCAACTCACTCGAGAGCGCTTCAAGATCCCTGGTGGCTGTTGCGAGGTCTACTGCGTATCCTTTTGGTTCCCATGCTGCACTCTCGCACAGATGGCTACGCACATCAAGAGCTACAAACTCGGGACCTGCAACTTCGGCCCGCAAGACACTCTCCCCCCGTACAAGCAAGCATAACAAAAACTACACGCGCAAGGAAACTTTTATAAGTTATCGAGAAATCACGAGCACCATTAACACAGGTTAGCCACCAGGTCTAAGACATTTTAAGCAAAGTTCCCAAACAGTTGTGTATGAACATCTTCGTTTCGAAAGAATCACACTTGCCACTCATTTAATAGTCACGACTTTCGCTGTGAAACTTACCGGTAAGCCGATTTGGCATCAGACTAGTCGAAGTGCTTCCTCCGAGCAAACGCTAGTTTGGACGAATTGCCGTAGCTCCACCAATTGCGATGGTATTAAGACTGATGCATTTGAGATACTGTACGAGTTTTCAAGAATGTATGCATTCACTCCACGATGCTACTTAGCTGAGCTTGGACGTCCACCCAGGGTGCTTGGCAATGTACTTTTCCTTGTAGAGGTCGTATAGTTTTCGCTCGTGCGTGTAGTCTCCGTTGCTAAGCTTCAGCCACTTGAACACCTTATCTGGGTTGATGTTCTTCTTGAGGAACGCGTTCGCTGTTTTCTCGATGTCCATCATGCCTGACATAAAGTTCACGTAGAGCTTGTGGTACGTGTTCTTGGGCCACTTGGCCGTAGATGTTCCCAGCTTCTTGACAACGTCCAGGATTCCCCTCTCTTCTTCGTCGACGCCAGCAGTTCGCAGCAGCATTCGCCCTTGCGTGCTCTCCGACTCGACAGCATCGGCCGGTTGAATGAGGTTCTGTGACGTTTGGAGGTTGCTAACCGACCCCGAGACGCCGGCGAGGAGAGTGGCCACTGCCAGGAGCAGGACGAGGAGGGCGCGCATTTCTTGTTACGGTCTCAGATACTGATCTGTCTTCCTCGACTGCCGCCACATGGCGGCGGCAAATTCCAACAACTTGACGACAAACGCAAATTCTAGAGTGGAGAGGTGACACCGCCACCCCAAAATCGCGGGATCTGCTGCGACCTGCAGATGTATTGCACCAAACCGGCTGTGGTCGTGATCCAGTGTTTTCAAGCCTTTGTTGTGCCAACTAAGCACAGGGATCCGCAACACTGTCGCTATCCTTGATCAAAGCCCATGATAAAATGGCAGTACAATGGGACGGCGTGGTCTCTACATGTAATGGTACCAACTCTTTATCATGCACAGTGTACCGCATGCCATGACTGAGCATGATAAAGAGGAACCTGGCGCGCAAAATTATCTCGTGGCCACGCTTGCTGCTTCTACACGCAGACGCCACCACAAGACCCGCGCCCTTTTCGAGTCAAAGTACTGCACGACTTCTATACCAGTAGATAGCTGTAGACGTTGCCCTCTTCTAAAAGTTATGGAGCCAATCTGGACACTTAAACGATATCGAGATACCTTTGCCATCCCGATGGAACTTGGTGTCGTTTGTGGAGTGCACACTGAACAACACTCCTCAAAACCGGGCAATGCATTGCTGCTCAATTGCTGCCCTGCATGCACTAATTAAACCTGGATTTCCACCCAGGGTACCATATACTTCGCCTTGTACAGGTCATAAATTCGCGCACGTGCCAACTACTGCGTCCGTCATCCAGTTGCAACCACTTGTGCACCTGGTCGGGGTTGAAGCTCTTGGTGAGGAACGTGCTCGTCGTTTTCTCCATGTCCAAAGCGCCAGACTTAATGTTCACGTAACCGTCAAGTCCTACCTTGTGGTAGGACTTGACGGTTGACTTTCCCATCTTCTTGGGAGAGTCCATGACCCCCCTCTCTTCGAAGTCGTCGAAAGCAGTTCGCAGCAACATTCGCCCCTGGGCAGTCTCGGACTCTGGAGCATCGGTCGGTTGATTTAGGTTCTGGGAGGTTTGATGGTTGCTTGCAGATACCGCGACAGTAGCGACGAGAGTCACCAGTACCAGGAGCAGGATGAGGAAGGCGCGCATGACTTATTAGAGTCTCGGTTATACTGTACAACCGTTCTTGGCGTTGGAAAGCAAATTCTGGAGTGAAGAGGTTATAGCTCGGCAAGCACGCGGCTCAACGATTACAACAAGTCACTGTCCATTCTACTCTAGATCCCCGCCATCTCTAGGTCCCCGTCATCACTAGCCTGGCCGCAAAAAGCCCCGTCATCTCTAGAACCCGTCATCCCTGCAATTGATGTACCCATGCTCTCCATATGTAGGCAAAACCTGTGCTCCATAACCGTACTTTACTGTATTCATGCTCTTGCACCGTCCGTCACACCGCACCCCCATTGGTCCGTCCTCGAACAGATAAAAACTGATTTTGCAATTGACAACACCAGGCCACGTTACCGCAGCAGCGCAAGCTGTCGGAACACCTCACGATGCCTCCTCCCTGCCGCGTCCAGAGGCCTCCGCGTGCGCTGCAACTCCGGTCACCAATGCTGCGGCATCTCGTGCTTCTCCTCTCGTTTTTGCAGCTCTCGGCGCTGCCCCCTTCGTGCTACGCGGACTCGGACATGCTGCCGCCTCCGCCGCCCGTCTTGGGCCTCTCCAAGGCCGATCTGTGCGCTCTGGACATCGACCGCTCGCACCACGCTCTGGGGCTCGTCAAAGTGACGCCGGAGCCGCCTCCCGCGCAAAAATCCGGGGAAAATCGCATGTATCCACGGATTTTCTGCTTCGTGAACACCATCTCGGTGCACCACAAGACCCGCGCGCAGGCCGTGGCGGAGACGTGGGGCCAGCGCTGCGACAAGCTCATGTTCTTCAGCAACACCACGGACACCATCGTTGTGGCGGCCAATACAGATAGAGAGCAGCGCTACGAGGTGGTCAAGATGGACGTCATCGCCGATCACAACCACCTGTGGCAGAAGCACAAGGCCACGCTGCGCTACGTGCACGAGCACTTCCGCCACGACTTCGACTGGTTCTACAAGGCCGACGACGACGCGTACGTGGTCATGGAAAACCTGCGCCAGTATCTGCGGAGGCCCGAGATCTTACAGGCCTACAAGAGGGAGCCCATGCAGATGGGCCACCGATTCAACTTGACCCAGGACCTGGTGAGCTACTACATCGTGGACGACTCGCTCGAGAACATTTGGCGGTCGAGGTGGGAGCGGTGGGTCTTCAACTCGGGAGGACCGGGCTACGTCATGAACCGACTGTATATGGACAAGATCGTGAACATTCTACCCGACTGGACGTGCCTCTCGGACCGATACAGCGAGATGCTGCCGGACGACGCGTCCATCTCGTTCTGCATGATGTGGCACGATGTCTTCCCGTGGGATACGCGCGACCACGAAGGAAGAGAGCGCTGGCACGCGGATAAGCCCAAGGGCGTGTACTTCACGAACCCGAACCGACATGACTACTGGTACGTGCAGTATCACTACCACATCGGCGGCGTGCGGTGGAAAGAGGGGTCTGCTGCGCCCGACAGCGTGGCCTTCCACTACATCAGCCCGCCGCTAATGTACCATCTAGAGCGCACGCTGTACTTGTGTCGAGCTGAAGACGACGTACCCGACGTCGCTGCTTTCAACGCAAAGTACGGGCTGGTTATTGGAGACGACGTCATGGTGTTCCAGGACATGCCGCAGAAGAAGCCCTTCCGGGCGCCAGTAGAGGAAGCACCAGCAGAGACGGAAGCTCCAGGCCAAGCAGAAGGTGGCGCCAACGCAGAAAGATAAGTTTTGGTAGCCTACTTGTTTGCTTTATTAGTGGTGGCTGCATTTTTGCTATCTCTTTGTTGCTTTCTATCGTTGGATTGATTAGATCACGTTACGTTGTAAACGCGGACCATGTTTGTGAGTACCTACCTACCTGTTGGGATTTCCCTTCTCACTGCGCACCGAAGAGCGACTGCGTATCGAGATTCGGGTTCTGCGCTTGCTGCCACTTGACCTGGGCCTCGAACTCCCTGCTGGGGATCACGAGCATCTCCGGGATGTCGAGGATTTTCTTGATCGAGGCGCTCATGTTGCTGCCCAAGATTCCTGCCAAAGGTGAGGCAGAGCCCGACGCCAGAGCTTGTTCGCGACGGATCGCCAGGATGGGCATCTCCAGGAGCTCCTTGAACGCGTTCTTCTGTGTCTTCATGCTGTGCTTCTCACGCAACAAGGTGTCGAGCGCTTCCACCTGACCGGGCGTGACGTCTGGAAGAGATAATAAAATCTCACGAGGCGCTGCGCACAGCGACGACGCGGGGCGAAGCGGTTGGTTGCATGGGTCGATGCCCTTGCACTCTTCCACGGGAGTCAGGCCCAGCGTGAGCCTGCAGTAAATGTTACGCGCCAGGTTGATGATCTCCCACTTGAGACCGTCCTCCTTCACGTGGCCCACATGCTCGCGCAGAATGCCCTGAAGCGCCGCAGAGAAGAGCTCGCGGCCTAGCAGAGCGTGATACTTGGTGTCCGCGTGAAGCACGTTGGCCAGTTTGTCGCCCAAGAGCACGGCCTTGCGGCAGCTCAACGTGTCCTTCCAGCAAATCACCTGCACCAAGATCGCGCCGATTGCAAACGGCAGCGAGGGCGATTGTGTCAGAATATAGTCGCGCAGCACTGCATCCTCGGGACTCGTCACGTGTTTCGGGTTGTCTGTGTCAGTGCCCACGACAGTCTTGGGGTCGACGGCGTACTCAATGAAGTCGATCACTTGTCGAGTCAGCTCCATCACCATCTTCTCACGCGCAATCTCCTGCTTCGCGTCTTCAATTCCGACCACCAACGCGCTCCAAGGCGTTTGAACGGGTTTGTCGCCAGCAGCAGGACGCTGGAAGATCGATGTTGCCCGCTGCGCGAAATGGCCGAACAGCGTCGCAAGCACCGGATCCAGCAGCGATGGGTAGAGTTCGCGCGGGCAGTTCTTCAGGAACGGCAAGTAGACGTAAGCCAATGCACCCTTCAGGTGGCGGTGCTCCATCAGGTCCAGATCGCTGAGCATGCTGTTCTGCAGTACCGATGCCACCTGCGGGTTCTTGTAGAAGTTGGCCTGGCCCACTGCTACTCCCATCAAATGGTACGAGATATCACGGACGTTCTTGTGCCACTTTGACCACTTAGAGGCGACCGGTAGTTTGGCAACTTCCTCCTCTTCGAGCTGGTTTTTTCCTCCAAGCAACTGAGCCACTTCGTCCACGGAGACGCTCATCAACCAGCAGGCAGTAGAAGTTTTCAGCACCGCCTCCTTCACAGCGGGTTCCCGAAGACCATGAAGCGAGCGCACAAGCGCCAACAAATTCGGCAGTAGATACGGCCACGCGGCCTCGAACGCCCCTGTGTCTTCTGTAGCCTTGGGCGAATACGTGACCCCTGCTCGCTTAGCGATACCATACAATGTCGTCAGGGTCTTCACAATCATCCCGAGTAGTTTCTTCGACTTCTCATCGTTAGCTGCCGCTTCAATTGCAGTCACAATACTCTGTGGGGAGCTCACAAGCGCAGTCATCTCTGGCGACGTCCATTGAGCCAGCGGATCCTGGACAATCTGCTGCACAAACTGCACGCGTTCCTCCTTATTCTCCATCGAGTTGGACACCAGCACCAGCATTTCGTACAGCATCACACCCTCCGTATCGGTCACGCGATCTGCCGCAAACAGTTCCTGAGCCTTCGTACACAGGACGGGGAGCACTGGCAAAATGTGCGCAGGGATCGCCTGGCAAATGGAAACCAGCGATGACAGCGCCCGCCTCCGAACGTTGATCGTTCCACTGCTCATCTTGCCGTGCACGTCCTCCCCGGACATCACAAAGTTGATATTCGCGAAAAGCATTTCAAACACCGCCGTGAGCGTGCTGCCATCCAGGACGTAGTACTTGGCAAACGACGCCAGCACAAGAAGCTGGCGGAACTTAAGAAGAGGATCGGGCGTGTCAAACGACAGAATCGCCTGCAAAATCGCCTGCAGTGCCTGGTGGTTTGTGGGGTTTTGCATTGCATTTGGTGGGAGCTGCTTGACGATGCAGTCTATCAGGGACGAGATGCCTTCGTGGCACAAATACGCCGTGCTGAGGTCAGTACAGAGGCCACGATCAGCGCTCAGGTGGTCTGTGCCTGCCGGGTACTGCGTGAGCACGAACGCCAGTCGCTCATGCAGTGACTGCAACACAACCGTGGGGTTCAGTTGCACCAACACACGGATCAGCGCGTACAGTCGTCCTCGGAAGTTTCCATAGTACGAAATGTACTCGTTGTGGTCGTCGAACTCCTCCCTGCTGCACTCGCACGCCACCGCTTGCGGTCCCGGGTGTTCCCGCTCGGGCGAGCCCAGCTTAAAGTACTTGTCAAACGAAACCTGTCGAAGCTGCTCCAGAACGTCCGCCAAGTACGCTTCTCCCTGCTTCAGCACCGTCTTGTTCTTCAGTACTGTAAGCCAGAAAATGATCTGCGCCTCCGTCAGAATGAGGCTCGGGTGCGCGAACAACTTGCACAAGTTCTTGAGGATCACGCGCAGCAGCGCCATCTCCTGCTCTCCAGCTCCGTCCAGCAGCAGCACGTCCAGCTGACACGTTCCCCACGTCACCAGCATGTCGTTCAGCTTCTTGTGGAACAGTAAATTCGCCTCCAGATCTGGCTCCAGCGTCGTCAGGTCCAGCGTGTCCACCTTCTCAATAATCTGGCTGATACTCTGCAGCATAATGGCTCTGTGGTCCTTGCCGAAGCCTCTGGTCATGTACACCTCCAGACACTCCGCGCCTGCCACGCGGAACTCCGCGTCGTCCAGCAGCAGCACAGCCACCATAATGAAGTTGGTACTCGGGTCCACCGGCCGCTCCAGCGGCATCCACTCGAGGAACTCCTTCAACATGTCCAGCGCTGCATGAATAAGTCTCTGGCTGATGTTCCTCTCTGCGGCTGACGCCGCGGGGGACTTGAACACTGCGTACTGCTTCTCCAGCTCCTGGTACACGACCGGGAAGAGCTGCGGCAGACACACGTTGAGTCCCTGCAGGATGTCCTTCCTCCTGGCCGGCGGGATGGACGTGTTGAACGAGCTGCTGACGCAGTCCTCGGCTAGCGAGCGCAGGATCATGAGCACGAGCTCGATCTGCGCGGCCGAGCCGGCCTGCCACACCTGCAGCAGCTCGGGCAGCAGCTTCGGCCAGCGCTGCGGGAACTGGCGCTTGGCCATCTGCGCCAGCAGCGCCACCTTCTTCTCGCGCACGAACACGGGCTCGATGCTGTCGGTTCCGCCCGCGTCCTCCGCGCGCAGCAGCAGCGCCACCAGCTCCGCGCGCATGCGCTGCTGCTCCTCGGCGGGCAGCGCGCCCCAGCGCGTGAGCACGTGGTGCTCCAGCACGTGCAGCGCGAAGTGGCGGCGCCGGTGCAGCTCCAGCGCGTCGCCTGCGTCCGCCCCCGGGTTGCGGTACAGCGCCGCCGCGTACAGCGCGCAGTCCGCGCGGCCCTTGAAGTCCTCGCAGAAGGCGTACGCGGCCTGCCGCTCCGCCGCGGACGCCAGCGGCGAGTGGCTCACCTGCACGGCCAGCAGCACCTGCTGGTACAGCTGCGGGTCCATGGTCCGCTTGTTCGGATAATGGCCGCGAAATGACTGGCGATTAGTATTGGCCAGAGTGATGCTGTAATCTGTGCGATTATCCCAGAGTGATGATTCAATCTGTGCTCGTATACACCTGGCCAATCGGTGCGACGTTTTCTCGCAGAGTGATTGTTTAGACTTGAAGTTTGTAACGGCTGGCACAAGCGGAGCGTGTTTTGGTTTTAGTATGCATCACTGATGAGGGGGACGACATCACTGATGAGAGGGGCGATGAGAACTCGGGGGGGGGGATATACTGACCGATGAGGTGGTGTCAACGTGACGATCTACCTGGACTACTCACGGCAGCGAGATTCCCGCCTTGTGCGAGGAAACTCATCGAGAGCAACAGAGTCCAGGTCAATGCTGTACTGGAGCGACTTCAACTCAAGTCAAGGCTTAACCTTGCTTACCTTATCTAGCTGCTTTAGCTTAGCAACTTTATGGAGGCTGTATGAGTTGTTCAGAGGACTAGTGAAAGTATGAGCCATTACTTCTTCTTAATTGTTGCGTTGCGTGTTAAGATTTATGCGTAGCTCGTGGCGTTGGGGGTGAGCGCTTCAGCGTAGTGGTCGGGTTTGTCCTCGTCGTCGCGGGGCTTGGCCGCCGCCGCCTCCTGCGGCGCCGGGGCTGAGCTGTAGCAAATGAGCCCCACGTACACGAGCGCGAGCGCGAGCCAGTACCATTTGTTGACGGCCTCGTCGAAGATGAGGTAGGACACGGCCACGGTGAAGACCGGCGCCGTGAGCAGCCCGAGGTTGAACATGAGGCTCTCGGCCCAGCGCAGGAAGACGGACGTGATGGTGTAGAAGACGAAGAGCACGCAGACGTAGCCGGCCATGTAGCCGTAGACGCGGCCCGTGAAGTCCACGTCCTCGATGGGCCCGCGCTCGAGCACGAGCACCTGGATGATGGACACGACGGAGGCCCAGAGCCCCAGGAAGCCCAGGCACTCGACGTTCGAGTCGACGTCGCGCGTCTTGACCACGGCCTGGATCATGACGTTGGACGTGGCATAGAAGGCGGCGGCGATGAGCGCGTACATATCACCGCGCACCTCGCGGCTCGAGGTGCCGTTGGCCGACGAGGTGTAATCGGACACGAAGATGACGACGGAGCCGCCGAGCGCGATGACCGCGCCCACGTAGTGGCGCAGCGCGTAGCGGGTCTTGAGGAACAGGAAGCAGAAGAGCGTCACGAAGGGCACCGTCATGTTGAGGATGAGGCTCAGCGTCGCGTAGTTGGCGTAGTTGTACGCCTTGACGGCGAAGTAGTTGCCCTCCACGTCCACGACGGCCAGCAGCACGTAGAACCACCACGGCACGCCGATGAGCGGCGTCTTGCGCACGAAGCGCACGCCCAGGTACACGACGGCCAGCAGCACGTACAGACAGGTGCTCTGCAGCGTGGGCAGACTCGCGTTCTCGAGCGTCAGGTACTTGGACAGGATGCCCGACGCCACGTTGAGCAGCATGATGACCTGGCCGAAGCCGAAGCACAGGAACTGGAACTTGACCCCCTCCTGCATCGCTCAACGGGCTCTGAACTTGAAGTGGAGACTTGGGGACTGAAGGGGGACCGGCGCCGATATTCGAAGGAGGTCGCGGAGCGGAGGCCAGTGGCTCGGAGACGCGACTGCGCGATTAGACAGAGACCGGTGCCGAGGGATTTGCCCGGCGGTGTGGTACAGTACACCAGAGCACATGACAAGGCCAACCAGCGTCTGCGTGGCGGCGTTCCTCTCTGTCGGTGCAACTGGACGTGAGCCGCTGGACATGGCTACGGAGCACTTCAACTTACTGTACTTCGAACTGAAGCGATCGACCAGAGAGAACGCGGTTCAGACTGGTAGTGCAGTTCTACTACTTTACTGCATCGAAAGTGCATTCGACTGAGCCAAAGGTAAGTGCATGTTCGTTCTACCCTGATAGTTAGTAGTTAGTTGACTGCGAGTTCTTACATGTGCTCGTACGGTGGCAGCGTGTCTGGCGGTCCGAAGTCACAGCTCCCTGGCTTGTAGCTCTTGATTTGCGTGGCGATCTGCGCCAAGGTGCAGCATGGACACAAGAGCGACGCGCAGCAGTCTCGGCAGCACCCGCCCGGGATCTGGAACCGCTCGCGGGTGAGTGCGCGGGCCTTCCAGATCCAGACGAACAGGATCACGTGCACCGTGCCGCCCGTGAGCAGCACGAGGGTGAAGAGCGTGGCCAGCGCGCACCAGTAGGGCGCCATCCCCAGCCGAGCGGAGATCTGTGCGTGCGTGACGCATGGGCAGAAGGTGGCCATGCAGCAGTTGGGCACGCAGTGCTTGAAGCAGCCGCACCACAGCGTCGTCTCCCAGCCCCCCATCTTGATGTCGGTCATGCCATCGTCGCGGGCAGTGGGCGTTCCTCCGTGGTGGTTTCCAGGCGGTGTCAAAGGGGCATCGTCCACTTGGATGGCGTACGGGTGGTCGTCCCCGTTGTGCTGCGGTGAGGGCGTCGAGACGGGCTTGGACATGGTGCTGAACGTTATTGACCGGGGTGCTTGTGTAGAATGGAGCGAATTCGATAGTGTTGCGGTGCTTCCAGCAGGGTAGCATATTGCTGGACGATTGCCATGATGCGACACACCAGCCAGAAGCCACGAAGGGAAGCCTTGATTTCTAGTAGAACCCTATTGCGGTTGGATCTGTTAGTAGGAGGAGAAGAAGCTCACATCCTGCGCGATTGAGCTCATGCAGCCCGCCGACCTGGCGGCCGGGACTGTCCCTTACATATCTTCATAGAGGTTGAAATTGTCCTTGTTACAGGTTAGTATCTTCATATAGATATCTTCGCGTCCAGGAGAGTAATCATTGAGCAGTACCATATGTGGATGCATGGCGTTGCTAGGCCCTAGGAACCAAAGAACTACGCAATGTAGTTTTACTTCCCGAGCGAATGCATGCCTGCACATGCACAATTTACTCTACCTGTAGTTGCGGAACTTTTTTGCCTCGTGTAGTACATGTACGGGTGGTTATCCTCAGCTCACGGTGGCAATCTGTCGAAGTACAGCGGACTGACGAATCATTCTCTGGATGGGACGGAGGCCATACCATGCAAATAAATATATATGCACGCAGTGACGACTGCCAAGGGAGGTGGTTTCCAGATAACTCGACAGGTATTTCATTTTTTCCGGACGACGTTAGTGCATGCCGTGCCGCTAAGAACAGCGAGATCAAGGGCATGCCCAATGCACTCAGTACTCTGCCCATGATGTATCGATGTACAGTAGAGGACGCGACGTCACATCGTTCTGTTATCATGGGCTTTGGTCGAGGCCAGCCACAGCGTTGTCTATAACTTTGTAGTGACACAACTCAAGTGGTTCGGAGCAGGACCACAGCCGTTTTGGTGCAATACATCTGCGCGACGCAGCCGATCCCGCGAGTTTGCAGTGGCACCGTCACCTCTCCACTCCGGAATTTCCGTTCCGACGTCAAGAAGGAGCGCCTTGTAAAGTGAGATTCTAGAGCCCAACCATGCGCGCCTTCATCACCCTGCTTCGCCAGCGTCTCAGCTTCTGCGGCCAACCTTAACACCTCCCAGAACCGGATCCAATCAGGCGATGCTGTCGAGCCGGGGACCGCCCACGGGCGAAAGCTGCTGCGAACTGCCACCGTCGACGAAGAAGAGAGGGGAATCATGGACGCTGTCAAGAAACTGGGCAAATCGACGGTCAAGCTGCCCAAGAACGCCTACTACAAGGCCTACGTGAACTTGAAGTCGACTGCTGTCGATATCGAGAAAACGGCGAACGCGTTCCTCCACAAGGGCTTCAACCCCGACCAGGTGTACAAGTGGCTGAGACTGAGCGACGGAAACAAAGTGGCTGAGCGGGGTCTTTATGATCTCTACAAGCCCAAGTACCAGCATATTCATCCTGGGTGGAGAAGCAAGCTTAAGGCTGATTAGGTTTGAAACGAGGACACGTTCGCGTGTTCTTCAACAATAAAACTCCTACAGATGCGTCTACTTAGAGCGAAGGATGTTTCGTGGTTAGTTGTTGAAAACCCTCCTCTTGTGCACAGCCCGACACTCGCTTAAGCGAAGTTCGATTGATGGCACTGATTCGTAGATCGTGCCAAAATGTGAGAATGCCATCATCTGGAAAGGCTCAAACGCCTTCTTCCGACAAAGATACGTCTGTGACCCATTCTGGATTCCTTAGGAATACTCTGCGACTCCTTCAATTTAATTTAAATGCTTCTGATTTCTTTAGCTGCACTCGTACCACCGCTCTTTCACTTATCGTCAATGCTGACTGAAGAGGAACGAAGGCTAGGACCACTTGAAGAATGCATTCTTCGTTGTCCGAATGGCAAATTTACGTGAGTTAGCACGCAGGAGTTACCGCAAAGTCAATTGATTAGGTTTCTCCGATTCCGGCAAAAGCGTTAGCATTAGGTCGAATTGGCGCTATCTGCAATATGATACTTTAGATAAATAGTTCACTCATGGAGGAGACGATGGACAAGGCTGAGAACCCCAGCAAAACACTCGGCTAAGGTTGAAAAATGATGATGAATCCACTAAAAGCGTTTAATTTTCGATAACCGGTTCCCAACTTTAGCGATTTTACCATCAATGGTCACGCGAAGCATGTTAGTAGGGCAGCGCAGTTTTATTGTCATCGAAGATTGTGGCTTTATTGTGTATTTCGAAGTATATTCATCGAGCTATTAGTTACACTACTGTAGCCGCTATAGGGTAAGGAAAACGCCTTGATCACGTGCCAAATGATTACCAAGTACGACAACAGGCATTGCGATAAAATTTGGCATTCCTTGGATGGTAGGTACCGTGGAGCTGAACATTGTCAGTTCGCAATTTGCTCCAACAACACCCACTCACTCACCCACCGATCTCGACAAGTTACGTCTCCATTGGGGACAACTGGTAAGCGCGCTTTCTTCATCCTGGCTCTAGCTGTGCTTACCTTAATTGCCAGCACCAATGCTGTCCCGACGTCGACCAAGCAAGACGATTCCGCAATATTGACCCAAGCTGACACCGAAGTTGAGCCCACCTGCGGTATCTATGTGTGAATCGCAATTTTGAATTTACGTGTTGTTTTGCCATAGAGGGGGGGGGGTCTTCTCGATCTAACAGCGCCTCAGGCAAGAACCTAAAAATGGAAGCTGCACAAATTAACGTTGCGTGTGCGCGCGCAACAGCTAGCTCGTCAAATTGTGTACAAACTTCTTTGTAGTGGCAGAATCGCTGTGTGGTCAGTCTACCTTGGAGACACGGGAACATGACACTCATTTAGGAGACACGACTTTCGCTGTGAAGCTTTCCGGAAAGCCGATTCGGCTTTTCCGAGTCGGATTATCCCTCATCCACAGCTCGTAGTGCTCCCTCCACAGCAACATGGAAGAACTTTCTTGGAAAGGATGTACCTTGTCAATTCGATTGCTTTCCTTGTTGAGTTTTCGGGAGTTGTAAATCTGATCGGGGTTGATGTCCTTCTGCACGAGCTTCTTCGCAGCTTGTGTCAATTTCGGCTGCTTGTTGCTTAAAGTGCTTGTTGATTGCAAGTTAAAATGCAAAGTGAGAGACTGCATGAAGCAGAAGCTCTTTGCTCTACAACCTAGCTCTACAGAGGCTGCATCTAATGGTTGGCTCTAACCAACACAACTACCAGAGTAAACTTCGAGAAATCGCTGCAGGCAACAAGTGCCAGAGTAATCCTGAATAATCACCACACAGCTTTATCCGGGCCTGCAGCGTTGGTTTTCCAGTATATGGTGGACTTTAGGCGGGCGTCTTTCATCCAGGCCTTCGCACCTGTGCCAAGCTTTTTGGCAAGATCCGCGATTCCTCTCTCTTCGTCTTCCGAGTCCAGGACCCTCTTAGCTGCCGTATCCGCTCGAAGAAACCGGTCGCTATTGACAATGTATTCAAGCAAGATCAAAATGATGGTCCAGCACATTCCACCATGTAGTTAGCGGGGCTCTGAACGCCCCGCCGACTCAATCTGTAGGGATCATCAATGCTGGTAACTGCCGCCACTATTTCGCCAGGCCATTTCGTGCCTAGCAGATCCCGTCACCACAGGGCAGGCCAACGTACGCCAACTTGCCGCATTTCCATATCCATGACCGTACCAAAATCCGTCGGAGATACAGTGTCGGCCGCCATGATAGTGGACGCCCCCAAGCTTTAGTTAGATGCAGAACTTTCTGGGTGCTCACCCCGCACGCGACAGCGCGCAGCCAAAATAAATGGGTTCGAGCGGCCGCTCATTCATCAAAAGTTTCCGTAGCGCCCCCTAGCCATGACACGCTTCGGACATCGAGATCACGGCCAACTCGCCGTATTGCTGCTAACCATCGCACTATTCACGGCGCTCTCCTCGGCCTCAACTTCATCATCATTGCTATCCAAGGAGGAACTGTGCTCGTTGGACTTCCAGAACTCGCGTCGAGTCGTTGACATGCTTGAAGTGACGCCGGAACCCGCTCCGTCACACAACGGGAGCGACCCAGGGGTCTACCCTCGCATCTTGTGCTTCGCCGTGACCTACTCAGCCCAGCACCAGACCCGGGTCCGAGCGGTGGCGGAAACGTGGGGCCAACGCTGCGACCAGCTGCTCTTCTTCAGCAACATGAGCGACACCATCGTCGTGGGGGCCGACACTCGCGCCGAACGCCGATACGAAGTCGTGCAGCTCGACATCATCGCAGACCACGCGCATCTGTGGCTGCGCACCAGAGCAGCACTGGAATACCTGCACACCCACTACCGTCACGACTACGACTGGTTCTACAAGTGCGACGACGACACGTACGCCATCATTGAGAACATGAGGAAATACCTGAAAAGACCCGAGATCGTGCAGCGATTCAACCGAGAGCCGATGCAAATGGGCCATCGCTTCAACATGCCCGACGAGGCCTTCAACTTCTACATCAGAAATGAGACGCTTAACGATCTTTGGCGCTCACGATGGGACCGCCTGGTCTACAATTCTGGCGGCGCTGGCTACGTGATGAACAGACTTTACTTGGACAAGATCGTCGAGTCTCTGCAAGACTGGACGTGTCTACCGGACGAGGCTAGCGGGACGATGCCCGAGGACGCCGGTGTATCGTTTTGTATGATGTGGAACGACGTCTACCCCTGGGACACTCGAGACCACCGCGGCCGAGAGCGCTGGCACGCGTTCAACCCGGAATTAGTCTTCGCTACGTGGCAAGACCCTAATGAATGGTACGTCAAATACCACAAGAGGGTGGGCGGGGTGCGCTCCAAGTTTGACAGTGCTGCCCCGGACAGCGTGGCTTTCCATTACGTCAAGCCGCCGCTGATGTACCACATCGAGCGCAGCCTCTATCTCTGTCGGTCGGAACACGATCACATTTCCGCCTTTAATGAGGCGTTTGGGCTGGCGATTGGAGATAAGGTGATGGAGCTTTAAGCGTATTAATCGTTAGTCGAATGCAAGACAACATCCTTCTCAATTATAAACAAAAGTACAAACAATATATACATTAGATGCTTTTTAGAGTTTCGCTGATAAAATACAACCATACTCCGCTATTGCTAAGCTATGTTTTTTTGGCTGAGAACTCGCACGGGCTACGGCCAGAACAGAGGTGACATCGACACTTTCGGCTCCAATAATAACTCAAACTCTGGCCTGCCGAACATCATAGTATAGTTTTGGCCGAACGCACCACAGTTGTGGGTGTCGCGAGTCGAATCGGGTCGGGCACGGGGGTAGCGAGGCACGAACGGTTGAGGAGGATTAGACGGACAAGCAGAAGCAGCTAAGCACGGTTCAATATGCAAAGCGTTCTGACTTGTTAGACCCAAAGCAAATTCGCGACTGTCCTGACTAACCTGGCACGGAGCGCTCACTCCGTGCTCTTCTCGCCCTTGCTCTTCTCGCCGTTGCTCTTCTCGCCGAGCTCGGCCGGTACGTCCACCGACTTCAACCGCAGCATCTCCACCTTGGCTTCCCTTCACCCCCTCGTCCTTGGCTCGCCTCACACGCTCGCCTCGAGCCACGCCGGCCCCATGACCTCCGTCCTGATCCCCGCGTAGGCGCGCGTTCGCCGCATGTGCCACAGCTTCCATGGCGGCTGAGCAGGCCGCGGCATCTTGACCAGGAAACGTTTCCACCACAGCACCAAACTGTTCTTGCCCCCCTGGCATGGTTATCGTTCTCACTTGCTCTTCGACGACCGCACCCACTTCGACCTCTTGGCAGCTCACTGTTCTTGACTCAGCCGAGTGCGCCACAGGCACAACAACCGTCCTCACTTCGGCCCGCAGGACCTTGGTCCCGACCAAGCACTCAGCGACCGTTCCGTTCTTGACCTTGGGCAACGACATCTCCGAGTCGTACGTAGCATCCGTGTGATCCGCCCTGACCTCGTCCACAGCCTCTTTAGAAACGTCTCTCACCACTGACGACCTGGTACTTCACCGTTGCAGCTTGCTTCCACCGGCACCTCAGCCACGCCTTGTTCTTCAAACTCGATATCCGCTTCGTCCTCACCGACAGGTACGCAGGCTCGTCGACCTTCACGCTCAATGTCTTTCCCAGCCAAACCGTGGCCAGCTTGTTCTCGTGCGCACCAATCCAGTCCACCGTAGCCAACGCCCACGACCGCACCAGTAAGCCTCTCCATGACTAGCATCAAGCTGATGACCGTATCCGGACTCTGCACCTTCGCCTTGTTTGACTACCCCGTCGTATACTGCTGGCCTATGACCGAGTAGCTCTCCCAGCGACCGTTCTGTCTCGGGCTGCATTACGTTCATCTTTCCCACCAGACCGTGTACTCCTGTCGCCACACCAATTTCTCCCGAGTTACCATCGACGACCCTGCTTCTGCCGTACCCGCTCGTGCTGTAGACATGCCCGCGAGTTTGGCAATCGACATCGTAATCTTCGCACACAGGACGGTGCAGTCCCTTCGCCACGACCCACTCGCAGGCAGCTTCAATCGACTGTACCGGGAGACACACCAAGCATCTTCGCACTCGCTCGCTCCGCAGACCGTTCTTGAAGACCGTGTACCGCATCTTCTCGTTGAACCACTGTGCTTCGTCACAGTACCGGCAGTCCCCACTCATCGACGGGTTCATCACGCTTGTAACGGGGTTACACGAGAGTTACCCGAAGGGTTACGAAGTGGGTACACACTGTATAACCTAAATCAGTATGAGAATCAGTACATGGCTTCAGAGCCACTGATTATGCATATGACTAGGGTTCACTATGCTAGATAGTGAACCGGATACATTTATACCGTAGGCGGCTTTGCCGCAATAAAGGGAAATACATTCAGTTTGAGATTTACACTGAAGAGTCTAGGGTTGACTCTTGGAGTCCGTAGGATGTACGGACTCGTACGTTCTGGTATTAGAACGGGCGATCTTAAGCTGAGACTCTGCGAGTCTGTTAAGCTTCCTCTGACGCAAAACTACGGCAGCCCCGCTGTACTTGGTCGCACTTGTAGTCAATCCGACACCTGAGTCTGTATAGACTGACCCTCTGCGGAGAATGGAGCAGTTCGCTCACTTGCCCCCGAACCAGCAGGATGCGCTTAATAAGCTTATGTCCTTGTTGGGCCCGGAGGGTGTGACGCAACTTGCGCAGCAAGGCCCCGACGCGGTGAACGCGCGTCTCGAGGCGTTTTCAAGCTACGAAAATGCTCTGCTAGAGCACCTCCAGCAGAGGATGGCGACGGCCGCGGCGCCCCAAGCGCCCACTTCGTCATCCGACGCGGGAACAAGACCCAAGCCGCTCATGTTGAGCGTGAAGACCTTCGAAGGCAAGGAGGGTGAACGCTTGATGCTTTGGACCCGAGAGGATGAGATGGCTATGAGCTCAGCTCTACTCCGGACGGAGTCGCAGCGTGTGGCACTAGCTATCTCGAAGCTCGGTGGGCGAGCGAGAGAGTGGGCACTTACGTCTGGGACGTCGGTCGAGGTGGCCTTCCCGACGTGGGACCAGCTGAAACAGCAATTGTCCCGAGTGTTTGCTCCGCCTAACGAGGCTATCGCGTGCGCTCACGCTTCCTGGCGACCAGGCAGAGCAAGAAGGAGTTGATGGACTATGTCCAAGAGTTGAGAACTCTCATTGCTGGCATGTCTGCGGACCCCCTGCCGGAAGCAGTCACCGTTACGGTGGCCTCCGCACTGGCGTTGCCAGGACGGAGGTGTTCCGAACCCACCCGAGCTCTTTTGAAGAGGCTGTGAGCGTCGCATTGAATGCGGAACACAACTTTAAGTCATCGAGACTTGGGTGGAATGCGTCTTACGCTAGCGCGTCGAGTGGCCCGGAACCCATGGACCTCAGCTATGCTGAAGACGAAGAAGCCGAGCTTCGTGCTGCTGAGCAGCGTCGCGGTATCCGCAGATGCTTCATCTGTGGTGACACCCGTCACCTTCGTGCTGGGTGTCCGCTGCGCCATCAGCGCCAGGCTTCGTCAAGCCGCTCTTCGAGTTCGAGCCAGGGCTCTGGTTTGTCTCGGGTAAACGAGAAGTCCCAGTAGGCGCGGGGCGGCCTACTGGGGAAGAACTAAGTTCTATTGAGCCTCGGCGAGGTGGATGTCGACAGGACTTAGCCCCGAACAGAGCCGTACTCTCTAACACGGAACGTGTATGCAAGCCGGGCTTGCTAGTTGTCCAAGCTTGGGTGAAGGGCTTCACGAAGCCATGGACGATTTTGATCGATTCGGGAGCGTCGGGTAACTACGCCCGGCGTTCTACGATGGACGGGAGTCAGCTTTATGCTGAGGCGCTGGTAGCGCGCGGAAGTGACGTCGTCACTGTTCGTCTCGCGACGGGCACTCGTGTCACGGTGCCTAAGGTCCCAGTGGACCTGGGCGTGAAGTTTTTGGATTTTGATAGCGTGGAACGCTGTCTGGTCTTAGACCTCGATTCGAGATATGATCTCATCCTTGGTATGGCGTGGCTGGAACGCCACGAGCCTTGGTTCGATTGGAGGTCGAAGACCCTTGGTGCTACGCACTTCTCTCCTGGCGGAGCATTGACGAGTCATGAACCCACCTCTGCTAGGAAGCAGAAGCGCTATTGGCGCGAGCACTGGACCGAGTCGGTCAATGTGCTGGACATCGGAGTTTCCGAGTTGGTGGACACTGAGTGTGTCGAGAACGAGCGTTCCGAGCGTGGCTCGCGGACGGCAGGTGGAGCGGCACGAATTCCGCTGAGCGGGTGTGCGCCTGAGGGCGACGCCCTGCTGCGTGCCAGCGACGGCGCGGTCGACAGGAAGTCGAGTGAAGATGGGCGTTACCCGGATCAAGGATGTGGAGCGGCACTAATTCCGCTGAGCGGGCGTGCGTCTGAGGGCGACACCCTGCTGCGTGCCAGCGACGGCGCGGTCGGCACGATGCCGAAGAACAAGGGGCTTTGCCCGGATGAAGATCGTGGAGTGGCACGTAATCCACTGAGTGGAGGCTGCGGGTCGTGCAGCTCTTCGCTAAGTGTCGGTAAAGACACTGGAGCTCCCCTGGAGCTGAACGAGGTGGTGACACCTGGCGTCAAGTCGCACGCGAAATCACGGAGCTCTTCAGGGCGGACGGTGTCCATGAAGAGGAGGCAGCGCCGCAAAGCGCTGGCTGTGAGACGCAAGGCGTCTGTGATCTCACGAGTCGAGAAGGGCGTGTTGAGCGGTGAGGCTCCACGCGAGAGCGAGCAGCTCTATACACTCGTGAATGGAGTGACGGGCGACGTCGACGGAGGTATCAACCTCGACGACTTGCCCTCAATGTCTGCTCTCCTGGAGCTGGACGAGATGTCCTTGGCCGAGTTCGGCGAAGCCGTGAAGGCTGGAGACTTGGCTGAGGTAGTCGTCATACGACCCGAAGAAGAGTTGAACTCGTCCTCGCTTCTGGATGAAGCTGTCCTGGAAGCCACCAAGAAGGCGCTGAATGCGCGGAGCGGGTCGGCGATCCTGAAGGACCCGTCGGATCCCTTGTATCAAGTGGTAAAGGATTACCAGGACGTGGTCTCGAAGGAGCCGCCCTCGGGGCTACCTCCGGATCGAGGTGTTCGACACGAAATCGATCTCGTTCCGGGAACGAAGTACTGCGTGACGAGGCAATGGCCCTTGCCGAAGGAGCAGTGTGGCGTCATTGACGCGTTCTTCCGTGCGAAGCATGAGGCGGGCATGGTGCGTGAGAGTAAGTCTCCACACTCTACGCCGACATTCTGTGTCAGAAAGCCGAATGGCAAGCGGCGTATCGTGCATGCTTTCAACAAGCTAAATGCCGCTACCATTCCGGCGCAGACGCCGATTCCTCGGAAGGATGTTCGTCAGAACAACATGACAGGATGTACGATGTACAGTGCGCTCGACTTGGTCGGTGGATATTACCAATTGCTCATGAGGACGAGCGACATTCCCCTCACTGCGGTGAGTACTCCGAGCGGTATGCTCTGGGAGTGGTTGGTGATGCCCCAAGGGCTTTCGAGCGCGCCAGTGACGTTTAATCGTCTTGTGACGCAGCTCTTCAGGCCCCATCGGGCGTACGCGCAAACGTACTTCGATGACATCTTTGTCCACAGTCGTGCGGAGCACGGAAAGACTGATATGGAGAACCATGTGGAGCACCTGCGTGCTGTGCTTGAATGCATGCGTCAAAACAAGTTGTACGCCAACATTGACAAATGCATCTTCGGAGCGGAAGAGATCCCCTTCTTAGGGTGCTTCATCGGGAAGCGTGGCCTGAGGGCCGACCCGGTCAAGGTCAAGACCATTGTTGACTGGCCGGTTCCCAAGAACCAGAAGAATCTTCGCAAGTGGCTTGGCTTGGCCAATTACTTGCACAAGTACAGCGAGAACTACGCTGAGATGGCTCGGCCACTCTCCAATCTCCTGAAGAAGGATGCGGAGTGGTGTTGGGACACCGAGCATCAAGATGCATTTGCGGCAATTAAGGACAGTCTCCTTCATGCGCCTATTCTGGCTTTGCCAGACCCCGCTCGTCGTCTGTGACGCCTCCGACTTTGCCATCGGCTGTGCCCTGCCGCAAGCAGACGCCGAAGGGCGCGAGCGCGTGGTGGCGTTCGAATCTCGCCAGCTGAAGGCTGCGGAGAAGAACTATCCTGTCCACGACAAGGAGCTACTTGCAATGAAGTATGCGCTCGTCAAGTTCAGGGTTCACCTGTTGGGCTCTCAGCCGTTCGTGATTTACACGGATCATGCGTCGTTACGCACTGCGACTCAGTCGCCTCATCTCTCGCAAAGGATGGCCCGCTGGCTGTCCTTCTTCGCGGAGTACAACTTCGAGGTGAAGTACAAGCCTGGTAGGCAGAATGTCCTTGCGGACGCGCTGTCGCGCAGGCCGGATTATGAGCTGGCTCATGTAACGACCGTGACTTCGTCATTACCGGATCTGATCCGAACGCTTATGCCAAGGACGACACTTGTGTCGCGTTGCTGAAGGCTCTGGGGAGCAAGGAGTTTCCAGACTCGGACATCGAATTGTCAGCGCGGCTGCGCGCGCGGCTACACCGTTATTCCCTCGATGGAGGCCTGTTGTTCTACAACACCGGCCCCAAGGATACGCCCCGCGTGGTCATCCCTCATGATGAGGAGCTGAAGTATCGCATCCTCTAGGAGGCACATGACACGACGCTGGCAGGCCATCTTGGCCGTGAGAAGACCTACAGTTCGGTGAGCACCCACTACTGGTGGCCGAAGATGTACAAGTGGACGAGGACCTATGTGCGCACGTGCGAGACGTGTCAGCGAGTGAAGTCGTCACCTCATGCTGCAGCGCCGTTGGCGAGTTTGCCTGTCACTTCGGGCTGCTGGCAATCCATGAGTATGGACTGTGTTTGGCCTGCCGGCGGACGCGACAGGCAACACTGGAGTCGTGGTCTTCGTGGACCGACTGAGCAAGATGGCTCACATTGCGGCTGTGCCGGACACCATCGATGGTATAGGTACAGCAACGCTGTTCTTGGACCGAGTGTTTCGACAACACGGACTCCCGGAGTCGATTGTCTCGGACCGAGACCCCCGCTTCACGGGCCACTTCTGGAGCGCGGTCTTTGCGGTTCTTGGCACCAAGCTGGACATGTCCACGGCGGACCATCCGCAGACCGATGGTCAGATAGAGCGCGTGAATCGCGTCGTCGAGGACGTGCTCCGTAGCATTTGCGCTGAGACGCCGAAGCGCTGGAGCGCCATGCTGCCACTCGTTGAGTTTGCGTTGAACAACGCCGTGTACGCCTCGACAGGCTACACGCCGTTCTACGTGAACAGCTTGTCTCATCCCCGCGTCCCGCTGACGCCGCCACGTGGTGGCCTCGGGCTTGGTGGGGGAGGAGAAGCCGATTTAGCTGATCGGCTAGCCGATGCCAGCCCGGCTACTGTTCGTAAACAGGTTGACGCTTTCTTGTCGACGCGTCTGAGTGTCTTACGACATGTGCGTGACGCAATGGCTGAGAGCCAAGACAAGCAAAAGGAACATGCAGATGCCAGGGGTAGAGGCAATGTTGAAAGTTATAAGGTCGGGGACCTGGTGTTGCTTAATGCAAAAACCCTACCTACACAGGCAGTATCAGCCGTCTTCAAGACGAAGTTGCGCCCGAGCTTCATCGGACCTTTCAAAGTTGTGGCCAAGAAGGGCCTTGCGTACACGCTCAATCTTCCGAAGAAGATGCGGGCGCACCCCGTCTTCTACGTCGGCTTACTCAACCCGTACCAGGACCCGATGCAGGTGCAGATGGAGGCACCGAGGGTGACGAGGTCACAGGCGCGGAGGTTGCGGTCGTCGAGGACGCAGTCACCGGCGTCGAAGACGCGACCATCGACGCGGACACCGCAGGCACAGGTGGGAGTGCCGCGGGCACTGCAGGAGCCACAAGCGCAGGAGGCGCAGCAGGCGAGGCCTGCATGCGGGCCAGGAGTTCGAGCTGGCCCTGGAGCACAGCCTGGTGCCGCTGTAGCTCCGCGAACTCTTGAGCGTGGCGCTCTTCGCGGTCGCGAAAGTAGTTCATCCACCCGTTCAGGCGAACGAAGTCGTTCTCGAAGGTCCCAAGTCGGTCCCAGACCTCCCGAGGCACCCCAAGCCACTCCAACTGCTCAGCGAGCCTGTCGAGATCAGTCACACAACGTGCCAGACGCGCGTCGATGTCGTGGACGTGGTCCCGAAGGCGATCCGCTCGTTGCCGAGTCTCGTGCAACTCGTCGAACGTCGCGAGGCGGCTTGGCGCGTCCTCTACCGGCGCTGCTCGATGAGCATGGTAATCTGCATTACCATGTGGAGCGCCTCCTGGCGAAGCGGCGGTGCCGGGGTCAAAACCAGTATCTGGTGAAATGGCGAGGGTACCCCCACTCCGAGAACTCATGGGAGTTTGAGGTACCCCTCCGCCTGGACTGCCCAGACGTCGTGGACGCTGTGATCAGCTTGATCACCAGCGCCCCGAGGGCCCAAGGCTGGCACGCCGGTCGTCCCGCGCTTCCCGGCAATAAGCTGGGGAGCTGCTGGGTCAGCCATATTGCTCCGAGGCTGACCCTGAGCCACAGCGCTCACTCCCTCGCGGGAAGGAGCGGCTGGAGTGCTCGAAGGAGCGAAGCGCGCAGCGCTAAACTGGATCTGCGGCTGGGCGAGTGCCGAGAGGCTGCGCTTGGCTCGGACCTTCGCGAAATCGAAGCGGAGCTTGCGTTTAATGCGAACATCCACTTCACTGAAGCTAGCTCGGAGAGCGTCCATGGAGCTGAGCTTTCGGCTGTGCTCGGCTCAAGACTCGAACTGAGCTTCGTACTCAATTGAGTCTTCCCCCGGGCTAAGTACCACCGGGTACGTCCGCATGGCGGGCACGGACTTCTGCTGGGCTTGCAGCCGCAGCCTCTCGCGATACTCCGCGACAGTCGTAGACTGTGGAGTGAGGAGCCGCTCTCGCAGAGACGTACGCAGTGCGAGCTCCTCCGGAGTACAGGCCGCGGGCCCAATGGTGTGCAGCGCGAGAGACTGCTGGAACGCCTGGCGACAAGCCTCCGCGGGGTCGCGAGGCCGGAAGCCGTAGTCGGCAGTGCTGGTGTTCAGCAGAGACCGCAGCTCGGGGCGCTGGGAGTGCGTGGGAGCCATCTGCGCCGCAACCTGCTCGGACTGAGCTTCGTCCAAAGGGTTGGAGATGACGGGCCCAGGGGCACGCCCTCACCACGAGGTGGCGAATACCGTGGCTCAGTGAGCGTGCGCAGCTCGTAGAGGCCGGAAGAGCGTTCAGGGAACGGGTTCGGAGTTCGCAGCGGTGGTCGCGGCTCCTCCCTCGACGGCGCAGCGCGCTCTGCAGGTGGACGGCTCGGCGAGCGCACAGGAGACGTGTGCGCTGGGAGCCCTTGATCGCGACGGCTCGGAGAGCCAGCTGGGGCCAGCGAGCCTTCTTCACGGCGTGTCGACGGTGTGGGCGAAGCGTTGCCGCGGCTCGGGGAGCGGCGCGTGAGTGGGGAAGCATCCCCTCGGTTCGGAGAACCCTCCATGGACTCGTCCACCTCGCCCTCTTCACCAAAGCGTTCCCTAGGATCCATGATCTGACGGGTAGGTGCTCGAGGAGTGCTGGGGCTTGCGCGCTGCGAGCTGCGCTGCAGGCGTTGCGCCGCGAAGTACTCGGACACCGAGAGCCTGGAAGGCGTCGAGGGTGTGCGCGCGGGCACTGGCGATCGCGGAGGTGCGGAGGCACGCAGTGCAGCAGCACGAGAGTAGCGAGGCTCCGAGGCGGATCTCGCGAGAGGCTGTCTGCGGTCGAAAGACCAAAAGGCTTTATGACTTGAAGTCATGTGAGGGCGCGTTGCGCCGAGAAGTTCTCAGAGAAGTCCACGCGATGTGGATTGACTCGTTCGAGAACGAGGCTTGACGGAACAAGACTCGGTGGTTGACCGTTAAGCGTGAACACCCGTGTCCACAGTTTGGTGGGGGAGGGTGTAACGGGGTTACACGAGAGTTACCCGAAGGGTTACGAAGTGGGTACACACTGTATAACCTAAATCAGTATGAGAATCAGTACATGGCTTCAGAGCCACTGATTATGTATATGACTAGGGTTCACTATGCTAGATAGTGAACCGGATACATTTACACCGTAGGCGGCTTTGCCGCAATAAAGGGAAATACACTCAGTTTGAGATTTATACTGAAGAGTCTAGGGTTGACTCTTGGAGTCCGTAGGGTGTACGGACTCGTACGTTCTGGTATTAGAACGGGCGATCTTAAGCTGAGACTCTGCGAGTCTGTTAAGCTTCCTCTGACGCAAAGCTACGGCAGCCCCGCTGCAACGCTCCTGATTGGCATCGAACAGCCGCTTCAGCAACTCCTCCTCCGTGAGACGGATGAAGCGATTGTAGAGCCGTCGCTTCAGCGTCTCGAAGTCACCGAACCGTAAATTCAGGCCCCACCGTTCAGCAACCCAACCGTTCATCCGTGCCGCAAACATCCTCAGCCGTACCAGATCACCAAATCCTTCCGTAGCCGTCTCAAAGCACCACCAGAAATCTCTCGCGCGCTCCGTACTCGCAGTATCTGCGTCGAAGAACGGAATCAGCTTCAGCATCGTGTACTCAATGTCCAGCATGTCGTCCTCGTAGTAACCTTCCTCACCAACAGCACCTTCATCCACATACGCTCCAGTCCCAAACCACCGTCCTTCACCGTCGCCCACATCACGCTCAGCAGGCTCCGCCCAGGTACGGCTCGCATACTCCTCTTCGTAGCGTCCGCTCATGCTATTCAGTCCGCTCGACCTCTTCCTCATGTCTTCTTCTTCACGCCGCCGTCTCCTCGCTGGTCGTCCTTCTTCAGCACCGACAGAGCTCTCCAAACCGTTCCAGCTCACCAATCACCGTCTCCAACATGCGGATCTTCACTCGTACAACGTCCTTGTCAACTACTCGAAGCGTTTCTTCACCGTTATCTCCTTAGTCCGATTCCTCCAAACGGACCGACCGTTCCGCAGCCCTTCTTCACTCGGGGGGAACACAAACTCCAATCTCAACTCAATCAGGCCTTCAACGCGACCAATGCGTGGCCTTCGACTCTCTTCTTCAGGATCTTCACCAACTTGACTCCGATAAACCGACCGTTCCAAAGCTTATGCACCAGACTTCCACGAGATCTCCGCACCGTTCTTCTCCTACGACGAACACCAACACTCACTCCCCAGCACAGACGACCTCTCCGGCGACGACAATACCCTGCTTCTCCACCACGTGTCGCGAGTCGAATCGGGTCGGGCACGGTCGCCGCCGTGGGTAGCGAGGCACGAACGGTTGAGGAGGATTAGACGGACAAGCAGAAGCAGCTAAACACGGTTCAATATGCAAAGCGTTCTGACTTGTTAGACCCAAAGCAAATTCGCGACTGTCCTGACTAACCTGGCACGGAGCGCTCACTCCGTGCTCTTCTCGCCCTTGCTCTTCTCGCCGAGCTCGGCCGGTCCGTCCACCGACTTCAACCGCAGCATCTCCACCTTGGCTTCCCTTCACCCCCTCGTCCTTGGCTCGCCTCACACGCTCGCCTCGAGCCACGCCGGCCCCATGACCTCCGTCCTGATCCCCGCGTAGGCGCGCGTTCGCCGCATGCGCCGCAGCTTCCATGGCGGCTGAGCAGGCCGCGGAGCCACCACTTCGCCCGCTCGTGCCGATTGAGTTCTGACACGGCGGCGCCCAGTTGCGATGACTACTCTCCCTGCTCCCGTTCGCCCAGTTGTTCTCCCGCAAGAACGTCGCATACGGGACGGGGCACCGAGGCCAACGGCCCCGACCGTACCCGGTACAGTCCTCCACCGTTCCACCGTTCCTACTCGTGACATGGGTCCAACAAGTGGACTACCGGTAGGGCTCCACATTTTATCCTGGTTGTAGTAAATCGACGCTTGGTGTTATTCTACTTCGCTACGCATATTATACACCACGACAACTGTGCACGCTATTGAGCCGTTTTTAGTGGGTGAAATAAACGAGAAACAAAGTCGTGCCTCCGGCCCGACAAGGCTCTGAAATTTGCGGTTTTCAGTAGATTTTGATAACTAATCAAAACCAAATACTAAGTGATAGATTACGAGCCACTGTTGCCTGCTCCGAAGGAACCTCAACTTTGTTTGCGGTTGGTAAGGGGGTATTTAATACTCTCCGATCCACAAAAGTAACGCGAAGGCAGCTCGGAGGGAGAGTCTCCCAATGCAGATCAAGGTTTTTTGTCACCAGCAAGCATTAGCTTTATTGTGCATTTCGAAGTATATTCATCGAGCTATTGTGCTTTGCAGATAAAATGTCGCCCCGTTTTATGACCCAGATCGAGGTAGGCCGGTCCACAAATCAGGGCACAAATCGGAGGGGGTAGCATGGACGATCTCGATTTACTTAGATCGACCTCGAATTACGCTTTTGAAAACGCAAAAAGGATCGATTTACCGTAGATCGACCTCGTTCTACTCAAATCAACCAGCAGATCGACCTCGAGCCCTGATTTGGATTGGCGTAGATCGAGTTATTAGCCGGCCTAAATAGATCGATCTGTCCCTTTCTTTGACCTCGCTTTATTAAATCGATCTTGATTTATTATAACTCGAAAGTCAAAACGACAAAACGTTTGCAAAGCACAATACATGTAGTTACACTTCTAGTTACACTTCTGCAGCCACTATAGAAAAAGGCAAGCGCCTTGATCATGTGCCAAATGATTACCAAGTGGGACAACAGGCATTGCGATAAAATTTGGCACTCCTCGGGTGGTAGGTGCCGTGAAGCCCGCCTGAATGTTATCAGTTCGCATTTTGCTCCAACAACACTCAGTTACACACCGATCTTGACGAGTTACATAGACAACTGGTATGCGTGCTTTCTTCATCATGGCTCTTAACTTAATTGCTAGCACCAATACTGCCGCGGCGTCGACCACGCAAGCAAATTCCAAAATATTGACCCAAGCTGATACCGAAGTGAAGCCCAACAACGACCGATTTCTTCGGGTGGATGCGACGGTTAACGAGATTCTGGACACGAAGGATGAAGAGAGGGGAATCGCGGATGCTTGGCACCGGCGCGAAGACCTGGATGAAAGACGCCCGCCTAAAGTCCACCGTGTACTGGAAAACCAACGCTGCAGACCTGGATAAAGGTGCGAAGAAGCTCGCTCAGAAGGAAATCAATCCCGATCAGATTTACACCATCTGGCAACTCGGCAAGCCAAGCAATCGAATTGACAAGAAAATCCCTTCCAAGGGGGAAGCACTACGACCAGTGGATGAAGGCGAATCCATCTTGGAAATCCCAAATCGGCTTTCCCGAAAGTTTTACAGCGAAAGTCGTGCCTAGTAGATGAATGGCTTCATGTGCCGGCGTCCCTAAGGCAGGCCACGTCGCTACGAAGAAGATCATACAGAAATGTTTGGCAAACTCTTTAGATGCTCTTAGGCCTGCTGGCTAACCCATGTTAATGGTGTTCGTGATTTCTTGATATGAAAGTTTTCTCGTTCGTGTAGCGTTATGCTTGCTTGTATGGGGGGAGAGTGTCTTGCGGGCCGAAGTCGCAGGTACCGGGCTTATAGCTCTTGATGTGCGTAGCGATTTGCGCGAGTGTGCAGCACGGGAACCAAAAGGATGCGCAGTAGTCCTCGCAACAGCCACCAGGGATCTTGAAGCGCTCTCGGGTGAGTTGACGTAGCTGCCAGATCCACACAAAGAGGATCGCGTGTGCAATCCCACAAGTGAACGAGAACAACAGCACAAGAGTGATCAACACGCAGGTGTAAGTCGTCAGCCCCAGTCGAGCTGTGATCTGCGCCACCGAGACGCAGGGGCAACACGTCGCCATGAGACAGTTGGGGACGCAGTGCGTGCAGCAGCCACAGAACTGCGCTTCCCATTTGCCGAGCATGATCCCGGACGGGTCCTTGTCTGGCTTCGGGTCTTCGACCGGGATCGCCACCGCTACTTCCGTCGGCGATGCATTGGGCTTGGTGACATCATCAACTGGAACCGCGTAGGGCGCCTCCATGCTGCGCAATAGATCAGGGCTATCGGGAAGCTTGCAGAATGCTGGAATAAAGCTAGCTTGAGCGCTGGTTGCATCGAAATAGGCAGCAACTTCGCATCCTGGGATCGAAAAATTGTCATCAAGCCTTCAAATAGCGAAAGAGAAGTTCTTATTGAAGAGATAAATGGCTGACAACAGCTACAGATAGTTAGGAGTCGGTTGAATTGTTTCGTTTCGAGTTTACTAGTAGTTTTCTATCTTGTGTATGGCGGGATCTGTTGGGCTCTAAGCGCGCTGGTAGGCGGCCAGCGTGTCCTGAGGTCCAAAAGAGCAGTCACCCGGCTTGTAGCTCTTGATGTGCGTGGCGAGTTGCGCCATGGCGCAGCAGAACGAGACCATGCAGTCTCCGCAGCAACTTCCGGGGATCTGGAAGCGCTCGCGCGTCTGGGTGCGCGCCTGGCAGAGCCAAATGGCGCCGACAATGCCTCCCACGCCACCCGAGAGGACGAACAGCAGGATGAAGAGCACGAGCGCGAGGTCGTACTGCATCATGCCGAGATCTGGGCCAACGAGATGCACGGGCAGCACGTGACCATGAGGCAGTTGGGCACCATGTGCGTGCAGCAGCCGCAGAAGCCGACTTCCCACTTGCCGACCGTTATGCCCTGGTCGTCCTTGGAGGTCGGCTCGTCCTCGACGTGGATGGCGTAGGGAACATCCTGCTCGCCACCCATAGTGCACTGGAATCGCTTCGACTTGGTCCTTGTAGTGGCGTCCGAATTGTGGAATGAAGCCTCAAGGCCTTTGAGTCAGAGGACGGTGGTGCCGCCTCGAGCGATCGAGCACAATGGGTACATGGATGCATATCATACGTGGCGCTTCGAATAGCAAAATTTTAGCTTCAACACCCCTCCAAGATCGTGCTGGACTTTCAAAGCAAAAAAGGATGTGTATGAGTTTATTTTTAGGTAAATGCAGCTACCTTACGGTTGATAAATGTCTTCTCGGTCTCTTGCTGTCGCGTTAGCCGCGCGCGTAGGCCGGGAGTGTGTCTTGCGGGCCGAAGTCGCAGCTTCCAGGCTTGTAGCTCTTGAGGTTGTGCCATGGCGCAGCAGCCCCAGCAGAAGGAGGCCAAATAGTCGCCACAGCAACCGCCGGGGATCTCGAATCTCTCGCGCGTCTCCTTCCGCGCCATGCAGAGCCACACAGCAGTTGCACAGCCACCGGTGGCGGGCAAGAGCACCAGGTAGACCAGCAGAGCACAGCAGTACTCCATCATGCCCAGGCGAGCCGAGATTTGAGCCATGCTGACGCAGGGACAGAACGAGGTCATGAGGCAGTTGGGCACGCAGTCGGTGCAGCAGCCGCAGAGGCCGACCTCCCATTCTCCGGTTGTGAATTGGCCTTCGTTCCTATCGACCGCGACTTTGATGGCGTAGTGCTGGTCGTTCTGTGCCGCGGCCGCCATCTTTTGAGTGCTGTGCGTGCTGATAAGCTCGGAGCTGCTTGTTGACTGGCAAATTGCTGAATGGTACAGCTTCCGTATATCAGAGCTCCCCAAGCTCGAGATTGGTTTCGAGCTTAAACCTTTTCGCGAATTACTTGAATTTGTATAGTATACTAGATCAATTGTAGCAAAACTAAAACGGGCCATTCTGGCACGTTTGGTTGTCCCACCCTTGAGGGGGCTAACTATAGAACGGTCCAGATTGGCACGTTTTGGAAGGATGCAATGATTGGCTGAAACCCAATAGTTGACCGAACAATTCGTCTATTGGCTAACAGCGCTTGGTGTTATTTGTAATTATGTGAAAGATAGGCTGGCCTGTTTGCTGCAGCGACGCGAAGGAGGCGTCCACTGCTCGGGCATTCGGTGGACGATGTTTGTGGGCTTCCGAAGGGCAGCAGAAGGAAGATGTTGACCGTCACCCGCATCTGTGCGCCGTCAAAGCGTTTGCATAACCGGAGCTCGCCACCGCGCCCACTTCCCCACGCCGGAGATCCACTGATTAGTCTGGAACGTCGGGGAGCACCATTGGGTTGGACACAGCGACGCCATGAAGATCATGTCAACTACCAAGTTCAGGCCTGCGTACCAAAACCCAATCGAGTCGGTTGTATGTTGGCGCGCACCAGTACATGCCGTGCATGTGGACCGGGAACTCCGTCTGCGTCGCTGAGCTGCATCGAGCTTCGTGCTGAAAACCAGTCCTGGGTGTACAGCCGACGGCAACGTCACGTCTTCCTTCCCAAACCCACCTGCAGCCTCGCAGCAAAACTCATGAAGCCCATGCTGTCTGCCGCTCTACTGGTAGCAAGAGGGCTGGTATACTCCAGCATCCACGTAGCTGAGTTGTTTACCTTTGGACTGCGGGTGTTCTCGATACCCTTGATCAGCTGGGCGCGGGCTTCTGGCGCGTGGTCTATCAGCTGAAGTCGATTTGTTCGCGCAGTTGAAAGTCGTTGGAGTAGACGCAGACGTCGTGGTGGCCTTCTTCAGACATCCTTCATTTTAGATGCATCCGCTAGATACCGGTGCACACATCTTGATTTCAGTATCGAAACAAAACATGGGAAACTATCTTCAACTGAGTATTCAAATTATGGCCTGAATGGATCGGCGTTGGCTTTCGTGCCGCAGTGACAAGAAGAGGCTGCGCACCATAACGATTCTTCTGGCAGCAGGGATCGTAAAGCATGGAGGGTTTTATTTAGCAGCGTGTTCAAGCGGGTGATGAACAGCCTCCACCCCTTGCTGGAGCAGGAACTCAAGCAACGGACACAAGACAAGAACCGCGCTTCCAGCAGGTCCTGAGTGATAGCCGTGGTCAGACTCAGCATGAAGCTTTGGCAAGGATTCAATCGTCGAATTATCGTTCGAGTGAAGCGCAAGCGCTGACGGAGCCTCGGCCAGGACGTGGGTCAACTATACAGCACAAACAGCAGAAGGCACCTTCTAAACGCAAGGTTTCATCTCCAGCGCGAAAGAAGCAGCCTCGCAAGCGACAGCGGAGCTTAGCATCAGCGATGGAGAGTACGACGCCCAGTGGAGCTGGCGGTGCGGTTGGCAGTAGTGCAATGATCGGCCATACTACATCGGACGCTACTGTTGCCCCTCCTGTCGTGACGGAGACTAGTAGTACGCGCGATTCAGCTTCGCCCACTGCCGCAGCAATGCCTCAGCTGTTTGTCGAGAAGCTTGTGGCGTACTCGCCTGCCAAAGAGTCCTGGCTATCAGGCCGAATATTCGAAGATGCAGGAAGTGCTTACATTGTTGGCCGAGTCTCTAGGTTTGATAAGAAGAAAGCGCTGTTTCAGATTCATTGGGTTGACAGGCAGTTCCAGAAGGCCGATAAGTGGATAAGCATGAGTGTCGTTCAGCGTGGCATGGAGAACTATAAAAATGTGATGGCATCGCCGTCTAAGCCGGCCTGGAAGTCCCTTTGTCAACCAGACAGCACCGAATCTGGTATTGTTGAGGACGACAGCGATTTGGAAGAAGTGGAGGAGAGTTTCGAGCGATATGATCCAAAGGTAATTCTTCCATCTTCATTGCCCGAAGTCGAAAGTATCACCAACATGAAGTTCGATCCTACTGCACAGATCAATGGTCCTTCAGACTTATACCAGCATCCGGATGGCAATGTCAAGACGAGAGTTCGCCCTCATTTCCGCCATTTGTTTGAACATTCGGCATCGTCGAGTTTCTTTGCCTATATTCCTGTCTACTACTGGGTTGAAGTTCTGCACCAGACGAACAAGGCGATGCGTGCGCATGAGTTGGAGAAGAAGCTCAGCACCAACAAACCGTTCACCCTACAAGAATTGATGACTTTCCTTGGAATTCTTTTCTTTATGAAACTGGTGGTCAAGGGCGAACACGCCAATTATTGGGGAAGGCAAATAGAAGATTGCATCGTGGGGGGCAACCACACAGGTCTGGATAAGGTGATGGCACTGAGCCGCTTCAAGCTGTTGCGCCAGCATTTCTGTTTCAGGCACGTGCCAAAAGCTGCTCGTGCAGCGAGTGCTGATAGCGGCTCAAGTACCGCGGTGGCTAGTAGTGGGGATACAGCTGAGACTCGCGCCGATCCTGATGCTATTGATATTGACGAGCTGTTGTCGGAAGATGCTACGACGACGAGTAGCTCAACCCAACCTACTGAAAATTCTTCCGTTCCCACCTCGGCATCGAATTCTCAACAAGCTTCGCGACGATCTCAGAATACTGCTACTGCGCCGGCCCCACCGCAGCCAGTGGACCCTGTCAGGAGAATTCGCCCGCTTCTTAATATGCTGAAAATCACAGAAGGGAAGTACGTAGAGGTCGGAAGAGATGTCTCGCTGGATGAGGCGAGCGTCGCCTCCAAAACCAAGTACGGGCGGAGATTGATAATGTTCAACCCCATGAAGCCTGGTGGTAAATACCACTTTCGAGTTTACACCCTTTGTTGTGCCACTACGTGGATAGCCATCAACTTTCGAGTGCACTGTGCGAGCGACTTATCCGATCGGCTGCAAGGCGTTGTATCTAAGGAGACAATCGAAGCACTAAGACAAGAACTGGACGAGTTATCAACTGTCCGAAGCCAGGTTATGGAAGTGGTGAGGCCACTTTATCATACCAATCGCGTGATAAATGCCGACAACTACTACATGTCCGTGCAACTTTTGGCTGCTCTGCGAGTGAAGGGCCTTTATGGCAGAGGGACTATACGCGGGAATAGCCTGCATTTTCCGCATCATGTCGTTTTGAAGAAGAAGGAGTGTCGTCGCGGGCAGTATCGCCAAGCTCTTTCAGTGGCGCATGAGATGGTTGCTGTGGCGTGGTATGATAGTGCGGTGGTGAAGATGGTGTCGAACGCAGACAAGTCTTCGGAAACGGTCTTAACAAGGAGAGTCGGCAGTCAACTGCAGCCATTCCCTGCTCCACTGCGTGTGTCAGAGTACAACACCAATATGCAAGGTGTTGATAGGCTGGACCAACTACGTGAACGGTTCTCTTTGGCCGACGGTCACACTTTCAAGAAATGGTATAAGAAGCTGGGGATGGCTTTTGTGGATATTGCCAGAGTCAATGCCTACATGACCAGAAAGTTGACTATTGACGTGACGAGAGATCGTGATCCGCACCGTTCATTTGTTGCAGAGCTCGCGGAGGAGCAAATTTCAGGGAAATGGATGGAGGCACCTAGTGACAGAAGAATGTTCTACTCCGCCCGAGGAGAGTCTGGGGTTGCGGCCGCAGTGGAGGCTTCTGCTATGTGGCATTGTGGGGGCGTGGAACCTTCAACCATGTCCAGCCCTCAAAAATCGTGCGTTGCTCTCAACTCGAAGCAGATTTTTGGAGACAAGATGCGGAGAAGGCATTGTGTGGTATGTCGATGGGAAGATCGGTTTCCAACAGTTGTCACCGACCACTGTACGCTCCACGGCGTGAGCCTCTGTCAAATTGTCCATACAACTGCTGCGAAGCCATACTTCTGCCAACAGCCCACTTGGACTTGTTGGGAGTAGTACCACAAATTTTACTTGCGCGAAAACCTATTCTCAGCCAAAGGAAGACGCCCAATTTGTTCATTCAGCGTCGTCGAGCCGAAACAGGTCCAACAAGATCAACGCAAGATGAACAGTCTGTAAATGTATAATGAAATCAAGATGAATGCTTATCTTTTCAGGCTGAGAACACGTACAGCTCGGTCTTTTCTGTATAGAGATAAACTGTTGCTGGTTTTGATGACCAGCTCACCAGCACTTCGACTGATGTTTGCAGCTTCCAGCGAGAAGCTGTTTGTGCACGTGGGACTGTGCCGTGGGCAAATCTCACTTGTGAAGGCAACAATCCACGCGTCCGTCATGTATACAAGCTCACTTGTGATATGATTTGTGGTAGAAGGCTCAAAGCGCGAGTTGTTGGCAAAGACGATTGTTGCGCTGGAGAAAGGGTATATCATCGACAGCTCAATTCGCTCCACATCTTCAGCATACACCTCCACGTTTTGTAGGCCTGGCCATTGCACTACATGCTCAACCAGTATCCCATTACAACGGTCAACCAAATCACGTCGGACTTCAATACCAATGCTCGCGCGAACTGATGTCGAAAGAACAAACTGAGCCATCACATTGCCAACACCAGAGCCGATATCCATAAACACATCGCCAGCCCCAATAGTTCTAACCCGTTGTATTGCCGCAATAAAGGCTGCAATCCCACTGGGCAGTAGCTCACCAGCATTCAAATGGGGCGCGCACGAAGGATCGATGACTTCTTGACGAGCTATACAGCTAAACATTGAGACCACAGCTTGCGTTGCAGCCGTAGTCGTCAGGTGCTCTGGTATAAACGAACGCAAACGCTTTTGACGGCGCTCTTCAGCCCCAGGACAAAAACCAACCACATCACCACCTGTCTCCACCAACGTTACTCCTCCACACCCTGAATCCGATGTCACCGACGATGTATCTGGCGCTAGATGGTGGAGTGAATCGCCGCGTGAAGATCCTCGTGCTTGATCTAACGCTAAATCGCGAGAGCTGCGATCATCTTGCTGCTTTGGCGCGTCCGCTTGACCTGTTGTAGTCTGGGTGAGCCGAAGTGGGCCAGTATGGCTCTTGTTGCTTTCTTGCTGATGCTGGAGATCGTTTTTCCGTCTAGGCTGGCGGATATGGAGTGTGTGTCCGCTTCGGCGGCCTCGTGTAGCTCGAACAGGAGTGTAAAACGAACGCGGGAACTTGGCCAAGTCGGTTCCAAACGTGCGCTTCAGCGAAGATACTCTTTGGGCAAGCTCCGCAGGAGTTTGGCCCCAACGCTTCATCTTTTGCGCGACGTCCTTCCATGCGATTCTTCCTGTTCCGCGCTCAGCATATTCACGGGCAATTTGCACCAACTGCTTGTCCTCCTCCTCTAAGAATGTTGTGCCCGGCATTCTTCACGGGAGCCCCAAGGGCCGTATGAGTATGGATTTCAGTATGCAAACTTGTGAGCGAGAACATCTGCACATATTTTCGTTTGAGTATGGAATCTTCTGATGGTTCAACGTCACCAGATGCCTATATTTGTAATTTTTGAAAATGAAACGATGAGGTGTGTGCAGGGATTGGCTGTAATTGAACGCAGTGGTCCAGCGAGGGTCGAAGAGTGGTAGCAAAACCAAAACGGGCCATTTTGGCTCGATTGAACGCGATCTCCGATGCAACACTTGGGAAGGCATCCAAAATGGCACGTAAGGGTTAACCCTTTCGCGGCAAACCGGGCCAAAATGGCACGTTTGGATGCCTTCCCAAGTGTTGCATCGGAGATCGTTTAAGCGGGCAATCACCTGCATTGGTAACGCGAGTAATCATGTGTAGGGCGGAAGGAGGACGGTACAAATTTGCACAAGTTTTTGATCCAAAATGAGTACATTGATGAGTACCAAAACAAACTCTAAACATTCGCAGAACGGTTCCGAACGGCTCGTGAATGTTTAGAGTTTGTTTTTGGTACTCATCAATCTACTCAAGACTTGTGTAAGTTTTTGTACAATGGCCCCGGTTACGGAGGTTATTTGCCGCCCAAACGGTGGTCTCATCCACTGAGGAAGCTAGGCAATCAAGGCATCAAACACGCACACTCGCAATTGAACACCCGGATAGTTCCTAGCAGTTGGCACCCAACTCAACGAGGTTGAATGTTTTGAGCGCTGAAATGACAGCTTTCTGGTTGGTGTGTGGTTACGGGTGAGCCCACCGTCCTGCAGCAGCAAGCAGCAAGAACCCTCGTGGAATCTGGATGTACGCGTCGGCAGTGCCAAATGGTTGTGTTGATACGGCCCGTGCCGAGGTGCAAACGAAACAGAAGTCAATACTACCCGGTCCAAGTGTAAAGCATGTATTGCATTAGAACTAATGGACAACGGTCATGCCACTCCTTCAGAAACAAAACGGATCGTTTTGCCGATTGCAGTGTTTCATGAGGGGGTTAGGCACGTTCGTACGGCGGTAGCGTGTTTTGGGCGCTGAAGTTGCAGCTACCGGGCTTGTAGCTCTTGATGTGCGTCGCGATCTGGGTCATCGTGCAGCAGCCGCAGAAGCACGAGGCACAAAAGTCTCCGCAGCAACTCCCCGGAATCTGGAAACGCTCGCGCGTCTGAGCGCGTGTCTGCCAGAGCCAAATGAGACCGACAAGGCTGGCAGTTCCACCAGTGCAGAAGAACAGGAGCACGAACAGCACGAGTGCGATGTCGTATTTCAGCTTACCCAGGCGCGCCGAGATCTGTGCCAGTGAGACGCACGGGCAACAGAAGACCATGCAACAGTTGGGCACCATGTGCGTGCAGCAGCCGAAGAGGCCGACCTCCCACTTGCCGACGGTGATCCCCAATCCGTGCTGAGTCCCCGCGTCTTGGTCAACTTGAATGGCGTACGGCATTTCTTCTCCTCCCATGGTGGCGCTTGTCTTCGATCTCTGGTGGGTAGTTCGCTGCAAGTTGTAGAATGAACCTTCCCTTCGAACAACTTCTGACGACGTGCACCGCATGTCACCCAAAGGTATCAATGCTACTGCAAGCGGGAAACAATCGCTTCCCGGCATTATAAAACACAGCGCCGTACCCCTTCAACCCTGCACAAAAAGCTGGCACGGCTGGCTTGGTGTATACATTTCTGGTGAGTAGATCTCGTGGTCATGATTACCCCACACCGTGACAAACATTTGCTGTGATCAAAAATCAACCATGTTTGAGTACAGTCGCGGCATTCACCATATCCGATGGATAACCTTACTGTATGAACAAGGTTCGGTTGTCTGCCGACGATACAGTGAATAAACTCAATGAAATGTAAATACGTGGTATTACTTAAGTCGAGAACGCCGATGACCTTGTTCCAGCCGTCAGTTTAGCCACGAGTGTACGCCGGCAGCGTGTCCTGCGGTCCGAACGCGCAGCTTCCGGGCTTGTAGCTCTTGACATGCGTCGCGATCTGCGCCAGAGCGCAGCACCCGCAGCAGCAGGACGCCAGGTAGTCCTCACAGCAGCTCCCGGGGATCTGGAAGCGGCCGCGCGTTTTCGAACGTGCCGTCCAGATCCAGATTGCGAACACGATATGCCCGAGGCCCCCAGTGCACGCCACAAGCAAGCCCAGCAGGATCGTGATGGCCAAGGCAACGCCAAAACTCATCATGCCAAGGCGCGACAGCACTTGGGACAGAGAGACGCACGGGCAGAAGGTGACCATGAGGCAGTTGGGCACCAAGTGCGTGAAGCAGCCGCAGAACGGGGCGTCCCATTTGCCGACCGCGATGTCCGAGGTGCCCTTGACTTCGGGGTCTTCCACTTGGATGGTGTAGGCTTGGTCCGCGTCCGCCATGGTCTTGAGCTCTTGAGTTCTTGGAGCGTCCGTGCGGGTAGTAGCTTGCGAGTCGTGGAATGAGACCGAAGGCAGCGATGGCATTTGCGGCCCACGAGTCGACTGTCGAGTCGAACACGCGCTTCTCTACGGAGCATTCAGGGTACATGGTGGATGTCGTTGAAGCGGACAGTAAAACGCCTCCTGTTCCGCATAATATATCGCCAAGATGAGCTGACACGACCCCCTCTCAGGACGTACCGCTTGCAAGCACCACGAGGCGCAATGCTTCACCACGTCTCTGCGAAAGCTGAAGCTTGAATACCACGCCATCGATAGGATATCACACGAAACCATGGCCTATGGCCCGCGAACTGCGAGCATTGCGATCGAACTGCACGCCTAAGTGCATTCAAGGAAGGACCACGCACATCCAGTGGATGATCCACAGGCTGAAAAATGCATGGATGTTTCCATTGAAGTATGCAAACGAAAACACACTACAAGGGAGAGCCACATTGGCCTACGCTCGTATCGCCTTCAGCTATCTCAGCTTCCTTCAGCTCGCGACAAGTTCACGTCCGCGTGTACGCCGGCAGCGTGTCCTGTGGCCCGAAGCTGCAGCTCCCGGCCTGGTAGCTCTTGATGTGCGTGGCGATCTGCGCCAACGCGCAGCAGCCGCAGCAGCACGCGGCGCAGTAGTCTTCGCAGGACCCTCCGGGGATCTGAAAGCGCTCGCGCGTCTTGGAGCGCGCGCTCCAGATCCAAATGGCGAACACGATGTAGCCGATGCCGCCGGTGAAGGCGGCGAGCGCGCCCAGCAGCAGCGACATGAGGAGCGCCGTGGTGAAGTTCATCATGCCCAGACGCGAGAGCACTTGGGCCAGCGAGACGCACGGGCAGAAGGTCACCATGAGGCAGTTGGGCACTAGGTCGGTGAAGCAGCCGCAGAAGCCGACTCCCCACTTGCCGGTGGTGATGCCGGCCGCGGCCCCCTTGGGGTCGTCGATCTGGATAGCGTAGGCTTGGTCCGTGTCGGCCATGGCGCAGGGGTAGAGGGGGTGGTGGCGGGGCTTCGTGTGTGTTGTAAGCTGCGAGTTTGGGAATGTGCGGCGCGAAGTTTGGGGCGTGCTGCATCCACTCGCTGGGTACATGCCGTTTGTGTGAAAATCCGTTGATGTTGAAGTTTCCGCCGCCAAAAGTGTATGTCGCCACTCTATCTTCTCATATCCCGTTAAATCGATCGGTAGGTCAATATCACTTTATAAAGAGATCATTGATGATATCAACTGTCATTTCTTATATCACTTCAACATGGGTGTGCACCCGCTCATGGCCAAACGCAACGGCGGAGAAGTTTTCGCCTGCTTCTGAGGAAGCGGATGTCAGGTGATATCGTATCGCTTTCCAAGCGATCCGAGCTAGGTGTAATTACGTGGGTTTATCCAAGCAGCTTGTTCGCATCGATGGAAACTTATAGAGGTCGTGCTTCGTATTACTTGCTGGACATCTTCGGTTTGTACTGTACTCGGGATACATGCAAAGCCTCACCCTTAAAAGCTCCCGGTCTAGACAACGGGGCTTGCAGTCCGGCGCTTCGTGGAGTACATCACGGCTGCTGCCGACAGTGCTACTAAAGTTTGCGCGCGGTAGGCGTGTCCTTCTGGACACCATTGGCGACTGGGCTCGGAGTCGGGTAGTAGAGTTTGCGAACGGTAGGTGTGTTCTTCATCGCGCCATTCGCGGCAGGACTTGGAGTTGGGTAGTAAAGCTTGCGCGCGGTTGGCGGGTCCTTCTGGGCGTCAACGTTAGCCGAGGCATTGGCCGGAGCGAAGCACAGCGTGGTGGCGATAACTGTAACAGCGACAATGTTGATGAGCTGCATAGCTGGAGTCGATAGCGAGACTTGGTGTGCACGAGGCAAGTTGGGGAATGGCAGTGGAAATGCCACGTGACCACGGCCCATGCCGCCAGCAAAGCCAGTTGTTCTGGGGTACTGAGCCCGGTCACTTGAATCTTTTAGATTAGTTTGTTGGGGCGAAGCCCCCCCCCCCCCCCCCCAAAAAAAAAAAAATTGAAATCGCTCTGTTTTATCGCTCTGATTTACTTTCTTTCGATGATTTTATGGATCAGGCTAGGGAAAGGTTTAATGGTTGCCTCTCCCAGTGGCAAAAATGCTGCATTTTACCTCTGTATAAGATCCTTTCAGGCTCACTGTCCGACGGTTCCGAGTGATTATTCATAGAAGTTCAGGGGTTTAGCCTCCAGCAAAGGGTGCGAAAGCCATTAAACTGAGGCCCGTCTTTTAGGAGGCCCTTCCAAATAGGGTATATATGGGCTGTGGACTCTGGAAAGTGGATTTGGCGTAAAACTGCATTGTTTTAGCTTAATGGATACTCTGTTTTGATAAACAAGCGACCCTGTTTTAGCTTCGGAAACGTTGCTGCGCGAAATTGCTAGCTTCGTTGAGGCTTGCATTGGCTGCAAGACGCTAGCTACTCCGTGGAGCCGTGAGCGATGGCGAACCATGCACAGCCGTCACCGCCCGCCACAACCTTGTCACCACCTTGTGTTGTCGACACGCCTTCACGGACCGTCTTCGGGCGCGCCAAGTCAACTGGCCTGCTCCGTGGGTGCTCGTAGACACGCACATCGAGGAAGAGAACCGCGACAACACCCACCGCCAGATCCCCTTGCAATTCGTAGTAGTATCCGCCAAGCGATGACTACTGTGCCGCTGCTGCTTCTGGACGTGGCTGATCGAGGTCGCCTCCGAGCCACGTCAATACTCGCTCGCAGCCCATATTGACGGCCGACCTTCGAGACTGAGACTCCAAGCCGAATCCAACCATGAGGCTTGCCTTGCCAGGTTTTGTTTTCGCGGTGCTTGTACCCAATGTGAACTTGGGTCGACTTGGACGCCTCGCCAACATGCTTTCTTTTTATTATCTTGGCGACATATCGAGATTGTGGAAAAGTGCTATCGTCTTCATTTCCTTTAGAAAAATATTTGCATGAAGTGTAGTTTGGTTAACAAGATGAATGATGCGATCCCTTTCAGTGTCAAACGATGATCGACTCTCTGGGGACGCTGTGAGCTTTTCCAAACTCAAACGATGCGTAAGAACTATATATTCTCTTTTTCTAACGCGGGAAAGAGCAAGGCAAGCATAGGATGCATTTGGCAGTGAATTGGAATGAAATACGACTTTTGAGCATGTAACCCCTTGAACCTTATGAATCGTCATAGCGTAGGCAAGCCTTAACGGAATGCCACAGCGAACGACTTTAAAGTCACTCCTTGTACTTCCCCAGCTCGTGTCCTTTGAAATGATGGGGATAATGTTAGGTACGTTTGGTAAAAAGGATGGACCAAAGTATTCATCAACTATTTCAACCAAAACGATAGGAAGTTCTGATCCAGACACAAAGATCATGTCGTACACAGTAGCGTTCGTTCCATTGCATAGCCCTGCTGTTTGCTCAGCATTAAATGTTAGTGTGACAGGAGCACCAATTGCTAAATTGAGTTGGATTGGTACAACTCGGTCTCTCCTTGGGATCTTTTCTTGTGCCTGATCTAAAAGAGCTTTAACTGTGCCTTGAGGTACTTCTCTATTTGCGATCAAGCGTTTTTGCTTCACATTGTGCACGGACTTTATGTGCACAATTGGAGAAGAAGCATTCTGCAGATTTACGTCATTAGCACTATCAACATCTGCGTTAAGGTATGCAATGTGCTTCGCAGCATGCACCCACTCAGGCATTGCGTTGGTTTTGAAGATTCGAGTCAATGTCCTGCTGTGTTGGTACTTTTTCTCGCAATCTTCGTATCGCTTCAAACCATTCCGGGTCATCCTTCCCTCTATGTTGACTGCTTAACGAGCATACGCATTTAATTTCCTCCCAAATTCCGCGTCCTTTGCGCTGGATATTGTCACGTATTCTATCTGTGGATGTCGCTAGACTGTAAGGGGTTACAGGGTCCAACTGGGCACTGTCTCCCGTGAAAATGGCATCTCTTCCACCAAATCGGACCTCGCGCTGATCAGGCCATATCTCTCGCATTCTTTGGTCTATCCAATATAGCATTCCACATGATATTACGCTAAATTCGTCAATTATTACCAGGTGTATATCCCTGAAGCGCTGCTGTAGAGACAATAGCTTAGCTGGGCCGTTTTTTTGCGTGGTCATTGCGACGTAAGGTTTGGAAAATCTTTGTTTGTGATCGGGGGATTGCTGTAAATTGAAATGAAATGCTTCTCGCTGATTTTTTGCCCATGGCCGCACATATTTTGTCATAAATTCGCGTGCTCTATTAATGTCTTCGTTAGAGTAGTTGTGCTTTGGCTTCCATTGAGTATGAAGGTCTGCAATAAGTTTTTTATCTATCTCGATTTCCATCTCATGCTCATTGAGGTGCTCATCAGGTTCTTCGATGAAAACATTCTCGGACGGGGGCAGATTAGTGCAGCATTGGTTCTCGCGAGAATTCTTCAGAAGATTTAATTGACAGTGCCTCGTTACCTTTAAATTCACTTCAGTTCGGAGTTCATTGTCGAGGTTTTTATTTTGTTCGTCGTAGAACCGACTAATACAGTCATCGTCAGTAATCGGTAAGTCGCTTAAGTGTCTCCAAGGAACGTGTAAAAACAACTCAGCAAAACAAAAGTTAGGGTTTGATGTGTCTGGTGCCATCCATGGCGACATACGAAGAACCTAGATTATCGATTCGCTTCCAATACTTCGCTGTTGAGGTTGCGCTTTCAACTACCTCATAGTGCTCTACAAAGCTAGCATATGACATCGACTTAAACGGTTCTTCCTGAGGACGCGCCATGTAGGCTTTTTCGTATGATTCAATTTTAATATTATCGAGTTGAGGCGGTTTGTCGATGCCCAAGTTCCGTAAGGCTTCGGTAATATCGCAAGTGATGACGCAAAACCTTCACTCGGCTTACTTTACGAGACTTACCATACATTTTTAATTCTCGAAGCAGTATGAAGTAAGCTTCTTGGGCACTTACCTCACGAACAGCCAATGTGGCGTTAGCTATTCTTTTAAGACTGGGCAGTAGGATTGGACTCCTCGACTTGTTCTTCTACGTCCCCGTTCTGCTTCGAAGCCATCTCATTCTCTTCAGTCTGGCCTGCGTCTTCTTCGTCGTCCGCGATTCCTAGCGCTAGCGACAACAACTTATCATCAGCATCGTCTAGCGCGTGGTTCGATGTCGGAGGCGCGACTTTCTTCTCGGCCGTCGACACAGTAACAGCCGAGACGTCCTTCTCGTCCTCCTTCTTCTCGTGCTTCTTCTTCGTTGTTTTCTTCTTCTGCTGCTGTTGTATAGCGGAGTAAGGGAGATTCGGGTCACATCGCTTAACAGCTGCAGCGACAGTGCTTCGGAAGCGCAATGTGTCAGGTTCGGCTTTGCTCACGTAAGCAGCAGTATATTCGGCAGCGCCATACGCGTTTCCTATCATCTGAATATCCATGTTTGCGCGCCAAGTCGAAAGAATTATTGGCGAAAAATTGTTTACCGAGGGTGAGTCTCTATTTAATAGTACTTTTAATGACGGGGTACCGTCAGGTGCAGTTCTTACCTCAACTTCAGTGCGAGGATGAAGAGTTTTGGGAAAGCCAAATCTACATTCGTCGGCTTTCTTTCGACAAGAAGATCCACTGTAGCACATGGCTGCACTCGGCGAGCTAATCGGGAGATATCGCATGCCCATTCATCTGAATTGCCACATGGCGGTCGCATTGCCAAAATATCAATGCTTGCAGACCGTGATGACTTACAGACGGAGCACTGGCACGAATCTAGGTCATCGAGCGACTTTATCAATACAGAAATATACTTGTCAAGGACATCAAGGGCATCTTTTATCCACAATAGTGCATGAATATGAGGTGAGCCTCTTTGCTGAAACTCAACTCGCCAAAAGAAATCAATAATTTCACCCAGAGGTTGGCTTGGGCCGCGAAGTACGTGGTCGAAAAAAGCTTTAAACCTTCTGTTAAAATGCCTGGCAGCAAAATCAGGGTTTTCGTTAAGGTACTTACGTCGTTCTTTAGACGTTAGATGTGCAGCTCGTTCCATAGTCAATGAAGGATTGCAAGCCCTAAAGAAATCGGGCCATACTGTGTCTGCCGCACTTAACGTTAAGAAAAAAGTTGGCCATCGCGTGGGAAGCAGGTGTCCGAGCAGGTGAAAGCGCGACTGGCCGGCCGAGACGATCAAGAACGACTACCTATCTATAACTACTCTGTGCGATGTGGCGGAGCAAAAACCGCTGGTCCCTCAGAACCGAAGGTTCCTCGGACCCCGGGGTGAAAACCGCTTATCGGACAGTATATCCTAATCATAGCCATGGGGCTCTCCAGCATGAGCGGGTCGCTGAACTTGATGCAGCTGAGCGCGAACCATGACTGGGCTCCAGTTTTGGGAACGTGGCTTTCTCCTCTTGTGCAGGAAATACCGAAGTATGCTGCCAACGTTCTCACCACTTTCAGTGGTACTTTGAATGTCATTCCTATGAGGCGAATTTTAAATGAGGGGCATATGGTTTGTGCTAGCCGTGAAGGGCGTCTCATGAAATAGTTTTCGAAGGGGTATCTCGTCAGGTTTCCCTAAGACATTAATAAAATAAGCACTGATCCAACCTCTTGCAAGTACAGAGCCTCAATCTTAAACAAAAAGCGGCACAAAGACTAAAAGGCGCAATACACGTCAACTCGGGGACCTACTGGCCACGAAAGGATTGCTAATGCAAGTGTTGCTAAAGCGCTGAGAAATTAACATTATTCCTGTTGTCCTGTTGCTACCCAATTGCCTACCGTTATTCGTTTTCAAAAGTACAACTATTTTCAGCGTACTTTTGCGCGGAGGTAAGATTAACCGAGAGTTCCAGGGCTCGGCAACGGTGTAGTAGTGCACTAAAGGAAAATGTCATGTTATCAAAATAGATCAGCAGAAGATTAGACAGCGGAGGACCGCAAAACCGACCAAGCAATTGATGCAGCTTGCTATACAAAGCAGCTACGTCAAAGTACACAACAGTTACAGATAAAGCAAATCGAACAGACTATCAACACTCCAAGAAAGCACTTCAAACGATGTAAAACCTTCAAAATTTCTCCCATATTCTGTCAGTGATCGCCAGGATATAGGAAAAATTCGGAAATTCCCGTATTGGTAGAGGTCTGCGCATGAGGCATGCGTGTGAAGTGTTGATACACAATCTCGATACACTCGCTTACTCCTAGCACTACAGGTCAACTAAATGAAGTTTGACGACAAATTAAATGATTTCTCATCGTATCAGGCTGTTAAGCTTTCTTGCACGAAAAGGTTTCGATCGGCTCGGGGGGGGCATCGCGAAATTTTGTGTAGAGCACAATATTTAGTGTCGCCCCAAATTAGCAGCGAGGAAGCGCAGTGAACGAGGTGCTCAGCTAGTATTATACTGGGATAGGAAGCGACGAAGTGCTGATAGACCAGCCCAAACAGGATTAATTCGGGCGATGTCCCCCCTTCCAATCGACACCGGTGATGAACCGGTAACGTCTTTAGGTCAATTTACAGTAAGTGATGTCTATTGACCAAGTGTTTTAGACTTCTCAAGAATGATGGAGGCTGGTCCAGTTCATTTTCAAATTCGTCGAGTTAGATTCGTCATTGATTTTGCTCTGAAATCGGTTGTACGTCGAGACCATAGTGGCGTCGGGCAGATTCTGCGGCTGCGAAGCAGGCGTAGGAGATGCCCGTGGAGCGTGCGGATTGAGTTTATCAATGGCGATCAAAGGTGAGTTAACCAATCCTATCCCAGCCTTCGCGAAGCCCTAGTCGCCTTGCATGCTTTCTGTCTAAACAACGACGTAATTCGTTGTTTTAGTAAATCACGGTGATTAGCCCATCATTGAGTTAGGAGGCTAACTCGTCGATTTTAGATAAAATAGCTGCTAAGACAACGAGTTAACGTTATGCTCACTTTCGTTGAATGGCTGGAGTAAATCCGACAATACTACGGCCCTGACATTCTAATTCTAACTCGCTCGCTTTGTCTGATTGCTTTCTAGTCGATGATTGACATGCGTTGGCGATCTATCGTACTAAACTACGTCTACAATATTGAAGAACATCCCTGTTTTTATATCGAGGAGCTGCAAGCAGCTTTAAAGTCTGTTTCCTAAACATTTCTAGTAGAAATTTTCTACTGCTACTATACGCCGTGCTCTGAAATTCGAGCTTGGTTTAACGCGCGAGGCCACGACGAAGGGAGCGAAAGAAAACGTCCCCGCCGAAATCGGTACTTACTATTATGCAAGGAGATTGCGCCATTCTATCGGGGACCTTATCCGTTTGTTTTCTTGCAGCGACAACCGATTTATTCTTGCAGTGGCAACCGCTCCGTTCTTGCTCTGCGTTGTGCTTGGTAGTGGCGGTTGATTAGCTTAACTTTAACTTAGAGTTGGGCTGCGAGATATGATCACCGGGAAGGATTTGCTCGTTGGTTTAGAGCCTATTGAGGAACGCCTGTGTTGTTGATGGCAAATGCCGAAGTGAGTTGATTAAAGTTACCAAAGTTGTCCTACTTGTCCTTCTCAACTCTACTCCCCTCTTCTCCTTCTTGTTGTCCTCTTGTGTCTGCTTGGGCAATCACCGCTTTCTGCACAGTCGAACCAACCAAGTTGACCATCCCGAAGATTAGCCAATAGGAAGCATTCCAGGACGGTTCAGGTACGGAACGGAACCGTACTTAGCGGTACACTTCAACACTCCCACTCACCGCTACGGTACGGTGACCTTCTCCCTGATGCCGCTAGCGTCCCGCAAGTGCTTGAGCGTCTTCGTCCCGAGCTCCTTCGTCAGCATGTCCGCCAGTTGCTGCTTCGTCTCGACGTAGACCACCTTGACCGTTCCGCGTTCCACGTTCTCGCGGATGAAGTGGTGTCGAATGTCCACATGCTTCGTCCTAGCATGGTACCCAGCGTTCTGGGCCAGCGCGATCGCTCCTTGGTTGTCTTCCCAAAGCTGCGTCGCGTCCACTTGTTCCTTGCCCATGTCCTTCAGCATCGCACGCGTCCAGAGTACCTCCTGCACGCACAGGCTCAGTGCCATGTACTCAGCTTCCGCAGAGCTGAGCGCAACCGTTCTCTGGAACTTGGACTTGAACACTACGGGAGCGTTCCCGATCATCACCATGACTCCCGACACGGAACGCCTGTCGTCAATGTTGCTTCCCCAATCGGCGTCCGTGAACGCTTCAACCGTGATGCTGTCGTCGCCACCTTGGTACACGATACCGTACTCCCGGGTTGTCTTCAAGTAGCGTAGCACGCGAATGGCAGCTCGCCAATGCTGCAGACCGGGGTTCTCCAGGAATCGCGACAACTGGGTCACCACGTACGCGATGTCCGGTCTGGTGCATGTCGTGATGTACAGCAGACATCCGATCAGGGAACGGTACGGCCGTGACTTCATCTCAGTACGCTCTTCATCCGTTCCGGGCGACTGCGTCTTAGTCAGCTTCAGGCCCGACGTGCACGGGTTGTCCACAGGCTTAGCGTTCCGCTGGCCGAACCGTTCCGCCACGTCGTCAATGTACCTCGTCTGCTTGATCATGAGCGTCCGAGCGTTCTTGTTGTGATCAATCTCCATACCCAAGATGAACTTCGCCGTGCCGAGCTCCTTCATCTTGAACGCGTTCTTCAATGCGTTCTTCACCTCATGAACCTCACCACTCGTCTTCGCAGCGATGATCATGTCGTCGACGTACTGACACACGTAAATGAAGCCGTTCCTGGAACGCTTGACGTAGACACACTGGTCCGCCCCGCAGCTCTTGAAACCGTTCCCCAAGAACACGCGGTGGATGGTCTTGTTCCACGCATTGGTCGCCTGCTTCAGACCGTAGATAGCCTTGTTCAGCTGGCACACGTAGTTCGCAGCGTTCTCAATACCAAATGGCACCTCCATGTACACACGGTCCGTCAGCTCACTGTTCAGGAACGCTGTGTCCGCGTCCAACTGCTCCATCACGTATGCGTCTGCCACGCACACTGCCAGCACGACCCGGATCGAATTCATGTTCGCGACCGGGGAGTACGTCTCGAAAACGTCGACACCGTACTTCTGCTTGAAACCCTTCGCAACCAACCGTGCATTGTACCGGATCACGCGACCGTTCTCGTCACGCTTCTTGGCAAACACCCACCGGCTACCAACCGTACGCGTATGCGTTCCACGTCGTACCAGCGTCCACGTTCCGTTCCGTTCGTGCGAGAGCAACTCCGTGTCCATTACATCCCGCCAGGCATCTGCATCTTCGCCAGCAATGGCCTGCGCATACGTTGCCGGGACATCCGTTCCATCGTCGATCCTGGCCACGTACGCCAGTACAGCCTCCGCAATGAGACCGTCCTCGTCGATCCTGGGTCGCTTCGGGGACGGCGGCCCATCACTTTCTTCCGACTTGCCTTCCTCGCCATCTTCATCGTCACCGTTCCCCAAGAGAAACACCGGTTCACGGGATCTTCTTGTCCGTTCCGGCTCGGGGTGGAACACCAGGTGGTCGTCCTGGAACGCTTGAGGTGGAGGTCGGTACGCAGTCAACTCCAATCCAGTGGCAGCTGGGCGTTCCGGTGCCGGCAGCCGCAGTACCTCCTGCTCTGGCTCAGCCTCATCCATCTCGACGTCTGGAACGGGTTCCTCAACAGCTTCCATGGGTTCGTCCTCGACCGGTTGCCGTTCCACCTCGATAGGAACGATTGGCACATCTCCGTCCTTGGTCACATGGATGGCCGTTCCATGCTGCGGCGAGTGCGTTTCATAGATTCCGCCCACCTCGCGCTCGTCCAGCTTGACCGACCGTGACACCTTGACCTTGGACGCATCCATGCTGTATACACGGTACCCCTTCGCGTTCTCCGCATACCCGAGGAACATGCACCTAAAGCTCTTGGGCTCGAGCTTCGTCCTCTTCGCATTGTCAATGTGAGCGCACCCCGGTGAGCCGAACACACGCAGGTGATCCATCCGTGGCTTCACCTTGAAGCTGACCTCGTACGGCGTCACATCCGAGCGTTCCGTGTTCGTGGAACGGTTGATCAGGTACACCGCCGTGCTCACAGCCTCCGCCCACCATTCCGTCGACACGCCCTTGTAGTGTAACATACTGCGTGCCTTCTCCATGATCGTCCGGTTCATGCGTTCCGCAACTCCGTTCTGCTGCGGACTGTAGGACGCCGTTCGCTGATGCATGATACCGTTCCGGCGACAGAGATCCGTGACCGTCTTGTTCACGAACTCCGTTCCATTGTCCGAGCGCAGGCACTTCAAGCGTTCTCCCCGTTGGTTCTCGTAGAACGCCTTGAACTCTTTCAGCTTGTCGGTCACTTCGCTCTTCTTCTTCATGAAGTACGCCACGACATACCTTGAGTAGTCGTCCACGAACGTCAGCACGTACTTCGCACCACCCTTGGAGACCGTTCTCATCGGCCCCATCACATCCGTGTGGACTAGTTCCAACACACGCGATGTCTTCGTCGTCGACCGTGCCGGGAACGATGTCCCGGTATGCTTCCCCTTCATGCATCCGCCGCACAAGGTCTTGATGCTACGCCCCACGGTTGGCAAACCGTTCGTAGCACGCTGAGTCTTGGCCATACCGTTCTCGCTCGGGTGCCCATGCGAGCGTGCCAAAGCTCCCACTGACTGTCAGCCCCGGCGTATTCCACGAACCGTGTCGACACCTGCTCGCAGTCGAGCACATACGCCTTGCCAATCTTCTTGCCCATCGCGACCGCGCTGGTGTTCCCCCAGATGACACACGAGGAAGGCTGGAACTCAACGCTCAGACCGCGTTCCGCAAGCTTCCCTACCGACAGCAACCGTCTGTCGAGTCCCGGAATGTACAGCACGTCCTTCATTGTGATGTGTTTCCCGTCCATCCCGGTCAGCTTGACCGTTCCTCGCCCGACGACCGGCAGCTGCTTTCCGTCGGCGATAGTCACCTGCATGCCAGTGACCGTTACATCCATTTCAAAGAGGTCATCACGATGCGGGGTCATGTGGGATGACGCCCCGCTATCGATCAGCCACCCGGCGAGGCGTTCCTCACCCACGGCGAACACGGTGTCGTTCCCAGCGCTACCGTTCTTGCCCGGGCAGTCCCGCTTCATGTGGCCCACCTGGTCGCACTGAAAGCACTTGTCCTTGAAGGCACCGTTCTTCTTCGGACCGTTCCCCTTGCGACCGTTTCCACGACCGCCCTTGAACCGGTCAGCGTTCCCGTTGGCGCGGAACGCTTTCTCCGTAGTGGAATCCTTCTTCTCGAGCCGTTCAAACTCCTTCAATAGCTTCTCCTTCACGTTGTTCAACGTGACATCCTTGGCGTTCTCCAGGATGGACGCGATCAGCTCGTACTCCGACGGTAGGCTACTCAGCAGTACCACGAGCTGCTGTGCCTCGTCGACCGGTTCTCCCATCGTCTGCAGCCCAACGATCAGTTCGTCGAACGCGTCCAGATGCTTGGCCATCGACGTTCCAGAGTCCATCTTGAACTCGTGCAGACGCCTGGTCATGGCGACACGGTTGTGCAGCGTGGTACGGTTGTAGTACTCCCTCAGAGTGTTCCACGCCTGCATGGCACGCGTCGCGGAACGGATCTTCGTCTGGTGCTGGATCTCCATACCCTGCGCGATGATGCCCAACACCTTCGCGTCGTTCACGAGTCACGCCTCCGTGATCTCATTCTCCGCCTTGACAACCTCCACATGCCCAAGCAGCCCCTTCCGGGCCAGCGTCATGCGCATGTTGTACTCCCAGTGGAAGTAGTTCCCACTGCCCAGGAGGACTTCGGCGCGCTTGGTCGTCATGTCTTGAGCGGAGCGTTCTTGGTCGAGCGTTCTTGCGGCGAGCGTCCTTGCGGCTGTTAACCTATTGAGGAACGCCTGTGTTGTTGATGGCAAATGCCGAAGTGAGTTGATTAAAGTTACCAAAGTTGTCCTACTTGTCCTTCTCAACTCTACTCCCCTCTTCTCCTTCTTGTTGTCCTCTTGTGTCTGCTTGTGCAATCACCGCTTGCTGCACAGTCGAACCAACCAAGTTGACCATCCCGAAGATTAGCCAATAGGAAGCGTTCCAGGACGGTTCAGGGTGAACCGTGCCAACGGTTCAGGTACGGAACGGTACTTAGCGGTGCACTTCAACAGAGCCCTTAATCGCATCCAGTACAGGGTAAAAAGTTTAATGTTCAGGATAACGTGCACGATGAGATCGATGAGTTATCATGGAAATACAGCATCAGTTTTATTCCTTTTTTGCTTGCGATCCATTAATGCAAACATTCAAAACTTGGGGTGGCCTGAATTGGGCCCATGACCTTGGAGCACGCAGCGAATGCTATTATCTTTGTCGGCCACGTTGCTCGCGTTCCAGCCGATGATGGCGAGCGTACAGTAGCTGCTGTCCACGGGGAAGCTGCTGTTGTTGCTTCGTGATTCGTACATCGCATGGGGATGCGATTCAATCATGTAGTACAGTGCACTAGCTGTGCAGCAGCTCATTTCCAAACTGTCTGGTTCCTTACACTACTGCTGCACTTGTCCCAACAAGAACATCATCTCAACATGCGCGCTGGCTATATTCACCGCCTGCATCGTGGGCGCTGAGGCGAAAAGCATCCGCATGCGCGTTGATATCAGCGGCGAGGACAACCAGGACGAAGGCAGGTTTCGCAACCTCAAAAGCGAACGGGGATTCGCTGAGGACGAGGAACGGAGCGAGTTATCACTTAAGTTAATTAACGCACTGAAGTCATTCTTTGGTTTCAAGACGAAGCTTACCTCCAGTCAGATCGCAGCAAAGCTCTCCAAGCCTGAGCTTACGATGAGGCAATACTATTCAAGGCCAAGGGTCAGAAAGTTGCGAGCGAGATTTCCAAGACCAAATTCACGCCTGCTGAGGCCAAGAGCCTCCAGAAAGTCGCTAGCGACGTTTCAAAGACCAAGTTCACGCCGGCTGAGACCAAGAACCTCCAGAAGGCTACTCGCTACGTTGCCGAAGGTAAGCTGACCAAAGCTGACTTAAAGAGCGCACAGCACGTCGCAAGCGAAATTGTCAAGAAACCAAAAGATTGGACCGACCGTTTAGTAGATGATGCGACGAGTGCACTTTTGGCTCTCGTTATAGTCTGTGGCTGGATCGAAGTGGCTGCCTTAGTCGCTCACTTTACTGGAAAGTAGCTTCCAAAACACACTTTCGGGGCTTTTGGTGCACTCGGTAAAAATGGGAAACTATTGGCACTTGACAGGTTTTTGACAGAAATCAAAAGCTGTATCGTGCCATTGATTTCAGGTTCACGCACAGTACAGGGCTATTCAACGAGACCAGAGTCCCTATATCGCGTCTGCTGTTGGGGTTTGAAATTCATGGCTTCGGTGCACACAAGGAGGAGGACGCTCTCAGGAATTTTCTCTTAGTTTCAATAAGCAAGGAGTGTGAGGAAAACTACCGCTAGTAGTTTCAGGGATTAATAAATAAATAAGTAGGATATATTAATATTTTAATATTATACTAGTAGTGGAGCATCTCAGTCGCGTTGCTCCGTCGAGTTGCTTAGGGGGCCGACGTCCCCGCTCTCCCAATGGATCTGGTGAAGCTGTTGATTAATTGGGTCTAAGCCATCACGTCACGTGATTCACGTGCAGATCGGTGCAGCTTCCGATCCGACATCACATCTTCGATTAGGAACACTATTATCATAGAACTGCACGAAGAAGTCGTTATTGCATGTAAGAAGTGCATCGCAAGCTTTACATGCTGGGGGTTGCACCCCCAGACCCCCGCGATAGAAAACTAAGCCCCAGTTGCGGCAACGGGTCCGTTCGCTGGAATGCTCGTCGCTGGGCCCGCCTACGCAAATACCGCGCGGGTTTGCTGCGGCTACACTCGCAACGGCTCACTACCGCTTCTAGGACATTTGCCAAGCACGAGCCCATCCGTGTCAACACAAGGCTGTGGAACATATGATTGCGATTGTATTATTGTCAAGATTGTCAATCACAATAATTGATTGTTCCGTGATCTCAATCGACAATCCCGTTCCCATATTGTCCCTTTACTGATTTTGAGCCTTTGCCAGTGATCCGGTAGAGCAATATACAACACCAAGCCCATGGAACCGATCCTAGACTCATCAAAGCCTTTCTGTGTCTTCTGCTACTTCGAAATGCGGAAATTACATTGGGTGCCCGAACGGGGTACACGCTCAACATGATGAATACAAGACCCAACATTGCTTTTTGCCAAGGCTTTTGAAGGTTAACACGTATGCAATCGAATAAGCAAAGATCTTAGGGCGATAGCGCCGCCAAACGAGTAAAAATATGAACCTAGCAGAGGAAATACAAGCGAGAACTTAGATTGCAATCTTTTGTTTTTGGGATTGTCAAGATTGCAATAATTGGTTGTTTCAGATCTGAGTCGCCAATCAATAAACAATCTATATTTCCACAGCCCTGGCGTCAACATGCAGCTCCAGATCCTGCTCGCCAAGAAGCCGAATCTGACCCTGGCGCAGTGCGCCCTCTGGCTCGACATCAAGCAGCCTACGTTCTACTCCATCTACAAGAAGGTGGTTGCGCTGCCGCCTGAACGGACGGACTACTCGCGTGAAAACCCCAAGTTCTGCCCGGACTATATGTTCCAATTCCAGCTACCGCTATACACGCTGCGCATCGAGGCGTTTGGAGCTGTATGTTGACACGGATGGGCTCGTGCTTGGCCTTCGGGGCGGGCCCACTCTTGCTCCATGGCTCGCCCTATGTGTAGTTCTCGTAGATCTTCTGCACTGTGCGGTAGTCGCGAGTAGGCTGCAGATGAGCGGCCACTACCTTAAGCGTGGGGGTCCCCTCGGCGCGGATAAGGGGCATGAGCTTCCGGTGATTTTGAGGTGCTCCGCCGGAAGGACGCGGGGCGCGAACTGCACGCGCGTCTTCTTGCTGGGTCGCTTGCCCGCCGACCCGCCTCCCTTGCGCTTGCCTGCCGTGTTTGCGCTCCGAGGAAAATCCGATTGTGAAGGCACAATGGGCCAAAGACGCCCGCCGGCCGAATATTTGAAATGGGTGCCGAACGATCGCGCTTCAAGGTGATGGGCGGGTTCGTCACCGTTCGGTCGCTTAAAGCGCCAAACGTGGAGTACGCCGGCATCAACTCGAGCATGGGCATGTTGTTCTGCGCGACTGGATTCATCGGCTTCATCGCGTTCACGAGCGTCGTCCCAATCGCAACGGAAGACCGACTGGCATTTACAGTGCGCTCTGGTACTTCGTGGGCTCCACCGTCGTCGAGATCCCGTCTTCTTCAGCACACTGCTGCTCGTGGCGCTGTACTATCCGTTGGTCGGCTTCACGGGCGTCAAGACCTTCTTCGCCTACTGGCTGCACCTCTCGATGCACGTGCTGTTGCAAGTGTACTTCGGCCAGTTCATGTCGTACCTGATGCCGGCGGTGGAGGTGGCTTCGATCTTCGGCACGCTCTCGCAGATGATCTTCTTCCTGTTCCTCGGTTTCAACCCGCCTGCAAGCGCCATCCCGACGGGATACAAGTGGCTATACCACATTACCCCGCACAAGTACTCGCTGGCTTTGGTTGCGTCGCTCGTATTCGGAGACTGCCCCAGTGATGGCGATGGATCGGAGATTGGGTGCCGAGTAATGGCGGGAGCGCCGCCCTCGCTTCCCGAGAATATGACGGTCAAGGAGTACATGGAGGATGTCTTCTTGATGAAGCACAGCGAGATCTGGGAGAACTTCGGCTCCGTCTTGGGTTTCATCGTACTTCTGTCTCTTGGCTGCGCTTCGTCAACCACCAGAAGAAGTAACTCACCAATATGACTAATATAATTTCTTTTGGCTGTGCGCCTTCGCCAAGCGTACCGAACGGTGGCTGCTTCATTTCACGAAATTGGGGGACCGGGGCCGGCATGTACTGCGGCGCGACTCGTGGCCAATGCATTGAACGCAAACTTAATTTCTTGCACTTTCAATCTTGTTCTTGTACGACGTACAAACAGTTTCCTCCTTTCTGGTATTTGCGCTTGGTCCTCAAAGACGAGAACGTGAAGCAAAGAAAAAAGTCACGGCGCTGCTATGACGCAGCCAAAGCAGCGAGCGTAGGAATGAACACCTGAGCACCCTGGTCCATGTCGGCCAAGACGCAGTGTCGGAGGTGGTGGGGCTTCGTGTGTGTTTGCTGACTGTGAGTTTGGGAATGAGCTGCGCGAGCACGCGTCCAGCGTAGGAGCTTAGGCTGCTAAAAGTCAGAGGATAAGGACATCCACTGTCGTTTCTTAAATCGGATGACCACTTCAACCACTTCAACTTGCATGGGTTCATGGCCAAACGCCAAACGGGCGGTTCAAAGCTTTATAGTTGCCTTTGAGGAAGCACTCGCACCGCCAGGTGATATTGTATCGCTAAGCTGGCGGGTGCTCTTGTAATGACGTCGGGTGTCTAGGCAACATTAGAGAGATTGCTGCCTAGTGGCCTAGTGCTGCGAATACGGCGGCAAGGTGTCCGCTGGTGGGGGTCCAAAGCTGCAGCTGCCGGGCGTATAGCTCTTGACCTGGGTGGCGGTCTGGGCCAGCGCGCAGCACGGACACCACAGCGACGACCAGCAGTCCTCGACCCAGTTGCCGCGGATCTGGAGCTCTCGACGTGCCTTCGCGCGGAGCTGCCAGACGTGGATCGAGATGAACACGTAGCAGACTCCTGCCAGAATGAGGTAGATGTACCACGTGTCGTCCTCGCCCCAGTGGTGATACTTGTACTTGATGTAGCCCCAGACCACCGAGTCGCTCGTGAGGATCTCCGCCACCTCGTTGATAAACAGCGCCAGCATCACGTACTGCCCCACGACGACGACGAGCGACGACGCGAGCGCGAGCCAGTATGGAGTCAACCTGACCTTGGCAGAAAACTTCTCCATGACCTCGAGCTTGGACGCGACTTGGGCGACCGAGACGCACGGACAGAACGTTACCATCGCGCAGTTGGGGACGACGTCAGTGAAGCAGCCGAACAGGCCGGTGGTCCAAGTTCCGGTCGGACTCAGCGCGCTTGGAGTCGAAGTATCTGCCGGAGTGTCAACATGCGCAGCGTACGGAGCGCCTTCGGGTTCACCTGAGCGCGCCGACTTGACGTAGTGTTCGTCCATGTCGAGATGGTCTTCACCGCAACACAGTGAATTCGCGAATGAATGAGGCGCGCGCGCAGTGGTCAACCACCGTCTAAGAAAACGGTGCATGCCATCCAATGTTCCTGTGTCGGCCTCATCTCTCTCTGAATTGAAACCATTTGCAATTACAACCATCGACCGTAGCTGCCTTTGAATATGGTGGCTGTCAGATATTCACTTCGACACACCCACGCTTTTCGAGCTTCAATTTCTCTAACCGAAGAGTGTATTACGACGACTTAGACTTAGACTTGGCCTCGGTCCGCTCTACAGTAGACGGCAGCGTCTACTCCGTGTACGCGGGCAGCGTGTCGGCCACGGGGCCGAACTCGCAGCTTCCGGGGTTGTAGCTCTTGATGTGGGTCGCCATTTGGGCCAGCGCGCAGCAGGAGCAGCAGCACGCGGCAGCGAAGTCGTGCTGCGGGGTGCCGGGGATCTGGAAGCGCTCGCGCGTCTTGGTGCGCAGGTGCATGACGAACACGATGAGCACGAGGTGCAGGAAGATGGTGGCGACGCGGTAGAGGAAGACGCCGAAGCTGCCGCTGTCGGTCGTCAGGTAGCCGAGCATGATGCCGTAGCTGCTGGTCTCCATGAAGTAGCTGGCCGGGTTGAAGGCCGACGCGAAGCCGCTGAGCGCAAACTCGGCCACGATGACTGCCAGGCAGGCGGCGATCGCCTGCGAGTAGGACGCGACCCCGAGGCGCGCCGAGATCTGCGCGATCGAGACGCACGAGCAGAACGTGACCATGAAGCAGTTGGGCATGAGCGTCGTGAAGCAGTCCCAGAAGCCGACTTCCCAGTGGCCCGTCGTCAGTCCGCCCTCGCTCTCGAGGTCCTTCGGCTCGGTCGGCTTGACAGATTGGGCCGCAGCATCGGGTTGGCCGGAGTACGGGACCTCGACGGGCTTCGCGGGCGTCTCCGTGGTGATCGCTTCGCTCATTCTGGACAACGAGCTGTCAATGTACGCAGCTGGGAGCTCGGCGTTTGCAGGAATTCGGACACTGAGACCGTGGAGGAGATCCCGTCTCATGCATCAAAACGAGGAAGCTGTTTTCCAGGATAGCAGGACATCTGCCATTCGAGAGCGAACGTAATGAACGTGGCAACGATACTGGGGAGTCTCCAGTGGGGACTTGACGTAGCGACACCAGTGGCAGAATTCGCTGCTTGACTGGCAACTTGCCAATGAGACCCGAAGACTCTTTGGATCTCTTCGGCGAAGAGGGCCTAATTCATGTAGAACAAGGCATCTTCTCTTCCGAGCTGTAGGGACCTGCGAATAATACTTTGGTCGCTGTCACGATGCTTGTAATTGACACGCATGAAGTCGGTGTGGACGCGTTCACGCATTTTCGAAAGTCTCTCGGAAATCCACTTTACGTGCAAGCTATCGATCGGTACAGGGGTAGGAACTCTGTTGCTGCTGCGTGTACCTTGTTGTCCACGCCACAAACTTGAGTGCTTCTCGCCAAGTGATGGAATTCTTGCAAAAAATAGTGAAGTTGAAGTTTTCTCGTGGTAGATCCTCATTATTGCGATCTTCTGAGCAAAGCGGCGGAGGATAGGAGGCTAAACTCAAATAAAAAGATGTAGATTCGCATCAAATAGGTTTTCTATCTGCCGTTGCTTACGAGGTGGCGCCCTGAGCCCCCGAGTACGGAGGCAGCACGTCGGGCGGACCAAAACTGCAGTCGCCCGGCTTGTAGCTCTTGATGTGCGTGGCGATCTGAGCCATGGCGCAGCAGGAGCAGCAGCACGACGAACAGCAGTCCCCGCAGGCGCCTCCAGGGATGCGAAACATCTTGCGAGTAGTTTGGCGGAGGTGCCAAACGTACACGAAGAAGATGACACGGACAATGATGATGACCCAGCTCTGGATTGGGTTGCTTTGGCTGCTGTCGCCCGAGTATCTCCTCGACGTCGACGTTGACGTTGAGCTGCTCCACCCGCTCGATGAGCTGCTGCTGCTCGACTTGGACGGGATCAGACCCACGATGATCTCGGCGGCTACCAGCAGCAGGAAGATCACCAGCGTGCGTCGGTACGGGGCCACGCCCAGCCGCTCAGAGATCTGAGCCAGCGAGACGCACGGGCAGAACGTCACCATGAAGCAGTTCGGGATCATGAAGTCGCAGCAGCCCCAGAAGTCCGCCGACCACGCGCCGACCATCACGCCCTGCTCATTGACGCCAGCCTGACGAGTGTGACCTGGACTTCCGCCAGCAGGTTCCACGTACACCACCGTCTCCACGGGCGTCGCGTACACCGTCGGGTAGGCGTACGTCTCCGGCGTCGGCGGGGGCTTCTGGATGTCTGCCATCGTCGGACTCTTGGCCTGGACTGCAAGTCGCACAATGGGCTCGATGTCAATCGACTGCCAGCCGCGCTAAGCGGACGAGAGGCTAGAAATACGAGGTTCTCAAATAGTTTGACTGGGATCCTGCATGGGATATCTATCCTCGACCAGGTCTCGAAGGAAGTTTTAGGATTGGGATTGCGTGGGGGATATATTTCGTGCAACGGCACTTAGGTGAACGGTAGGGGGGATATGCAAGTGCGCATAAGAGGCTTGGAGCGTCCCAGTGGTTGGGTTTTACACGGCGTACGACTTGCCCGGGTACGCCTGGAGCACGTCGGGGGCCCCGAAGCTGCAGTCGCCTGGCTGGTAGCAGCGCAAGTGGGTGCGGAGCTGCGCCACCGTGCAGCAGGAGCAGAACCACGAGCTAAGGCAGTCGGTGGCGGCGTTGCCCGGCAGCTGGAAGCGCGTGCGCGTCTTGACGCGGAGCTGCCAGATGTAGACGAACAGCAGCATCTGCACCAGCAGCGTGAGCACCGCGAAGGTGCCGTTGGCCACGGCGTTGCCCGAGTGGCCGCTGTGCTCCCATCCGTAGAAGTAGTAGCTTCCGTCGCTCGAGTCGTCGTCATCATCGGACATGGTCCACACGAGCGCGAACGAGGTGATCTCAAGCGCCGTCACGAGCAGCAGCAGACCCAACACGAGTCGGTACGAGGCCACACCCAAGCGCGTGGACAGCTGAGCCAGCGCCACGCACGGGCACAAGGTGACCATGAAGCAGTTGGGCATCATGTTGTCCAAGCAGTCGAAGAGGCCGGCGGCCCACGCGCCCGTGGGGATGCCGGCCCCCGTCACCACTTCCACGGCGCGCGGAGTGTCGAGCTCCAGCGCCATCGACGGGGACGGCAGGTGGTTGCTCACATTCGCTGTGTCCGGCTCGCCGGGCGTCGTCACCTGCGTGAACTGGGCGCGGGTCGACTGCGGGTCCATATCCTGCATGGTTGATTGGCTTTTGAGGTCTTGCTGCACCAAGTTGGCAAATACGGCAATGGTGGAGCTGTCACTCCCGTTGGGCTCCACACATCGAGCCCCTTTCCGAGAGTCGCACGCCCGAGCCCCATATCCACTATGCGAGACTTGAAAATTTGCTTTGACGCGCGCTCGGCCAATGAGCGCCGCCGGTTGTATTGTTTAGCGCGACAATGGCTTCATCTGCGCAGCCACTGTCCAGCGCTTCAACGTGGTGCCAGTGCAAATTCCAGTCCCAATCGCGCATGCTAGGTCCGCCGCTGGGGCGCTACGGGCTTTGTGTGGCGCTGGAGGCGTTGGAAGCACTGGTCAACAAACATCCGAGCGACGCCATCCGAGCGATGGATACGGCATTTTCCCTCGGCGCCGAACGGCTGGCGACTCTACTCGGCCGAACAAACTCTTCCTACGCACGTGCATGAAGCCAATGCACTTTGTTGAGGGTTGCCACTCTGAGGTCAATCGCCGTAGGAAGATCGCAATGCGAACCACGGGGTTGTGCTGCTACTGCATTCGCTTCGTCCATGGTCGGGGAGCGTGATAAGCTCAGCTTTACTCATCGGCGCGGTGCGCTGGTCGGCAGAGAGAAGCAACCCTCATGCATAATTACCAGCTCGCACGTCCATCCAGGTGACGAATGCCTTGCCAGAGCTTGCTGCAGAGGATAGCAGGAGGGCCGCCGAATGTTTTGGACAATTCTTAGCCCACTTCAACATCATACGATTTAATTTCTGTGGGCTTGCAATTCATCTTGTGCGTCGACCACGGCGTCAGTCGTTTTAAGGCTCCGCGCCAGGCAGGGTAAGACAGCAGAGCCCGCCAATAACTCCTGGTTGTTGGTGGCGGAAAGTCATACTGCAGGAATCGTTGTCGAGCGTGGACACAACTTGAATGAACAAGAGCAGCGTGTTTCTCCTGGATATCCATATAGCTTACAGCTCATGAAGATGGCACAGCAGGAAAACGCTCCGGATGGTGACTATGCTTGTCATGCTCACTTGGCTTTGGAAACCTGGAGTTGTCGTGGTTTGCCTTGCGGCGATAGGCTGCGCAGCGTTGAAAGCACCAGTCAACACATGCGTGCTATTAGAACTTCATTACCGTCTGCGATCTACGTACAGATACTTCGCTCACTCACTGGTAGGCGTAGTGACTATCGAGGCCTTGCCGTGCCGCGTAGCCAGAAGATGGGGGAGTACTGCCAGCGACGTTCAAATTGGCGTGGCTGCTTCCGTAGCTTCCTGGTGGAGAAGAATCTTCGGCAGCAATTGTCGCGGTCGCATTATCACCGCTGTCGAAAAGTCCATCGTTCAGTGCCATGCGCACCGGCGGCTTCCGCTTGTACGTGTAGCCGATGAACTTATTGAAGGTCAGCGGCTTGCCATCCGGGCCAAATGCTTGCGGCAGCTCCCCTCCATTAGCCTGTCCCGCTGCCATCGCGCCGTTACCGTGAGCCGCAGCGTTGGTGCCGCCCATTGGTGGTGCTGGAGACATTTGTCCCATGGCGGACGCTGGCACCGGAGCGGGAGCTGGCAACTCACATGGCTCCGTGAACTCGTCGAAATTGGAAGTAATTTGCCGTACGAGCTCGTGGTACTGCGGGCTGCACTGGTCCGGGTCGTTCGCCTGTAGCTGACTCAGCACGTAGTCGAACTGCGGGCCTCCACCTGGAGGAATGTACGGCGCTCGGATGGAGCGCAGCGTCGTCCAGTCCACGCCGTGGAACCACGGGTGCTGCTTGATCTCCTCCACCGACCCCGTTCCCAAGCGGTTCTCTGCATTGCAAATGAGTCTCCGAACAAAGTCCATGCACTGCGGGCTCAGTCGAGCGATGGCCTCGGGCGGGAACGCAAAGGACTGCTTCCAGTTCACGATCTTGCGGCAGGTCTGCACCGGTTCGTCCGCGTAGAACGGAGGGTAGCCCACCAGACACTCGTACAGAATAACGCCCATGGACCACCAGTCGCACTCCTTGCCGTAGCCTTTCTGCGCCAGCACCTCCGGTGCAATGTAGTCGGGCGTGCCGACGGTACTGAACGCCACCTGTCTGTTCCGCGAGAACGGCTTGCTGCGCGAGGCGTCCACGCTGTTACCGCCGCCCCCTCCTCTCGTAGCCGCGGCCGCAGCAGCCGCCGCAGCCTGCTCCGGGTTCATGGCGTGCTGCGAGACCGGCAGCAAGTCCACGCGCGAGTCCATCTTCTTGCAGAGCCCCAGGTCCGTGAGCTTCAGGTGGCCGTGCGCGTCCAGCAGCACGTTGTCCGGCTTCATGTCGCGATGGATGTAGCCCAGGTCGTGCACGGACTGGATGGCTAGCACCATCTCGGCCGCGTAGAAGCGCGTGGTGGCCTCGTTGAGCGTGTCCTCCTTCATGAGCAGCCCCATGAGGTCGCCCCCGGGCAGGTACTCCATGACCATGTAGAGCCGGTGGTCGTCCTGGAACGAGTAGTGCAGCGTGACGAGCCAGTTGTTGTCCTGGTCGGCGCTGGCCAGGATGTCGCGCTCGGCCTTGACGTGGCCCACCTGGTTCTTGAGCACCATGGCGCTCTTCTCGAGCGACTTGAGCGCGAAGATCTCGCCGCTGTCGCGCTTGCGCACGAGCCGCACCTCCCCGAAGGCGCCGCGGCCGATGACGGCGAGCGGCTGGAAGTCGCCCACGGCCAGGCGCTTGCGCTGGTGGCGCAGACTCTGCAGCTCCTTGGAGCGCAGCTCCTGGCGGTACTGCTCCTTCTTGCGCTCCGTCAGGCGCAGCGCCGCCATCTGCTGCTCCAGCGTGTTGCGCCGCTCGCGGCTCTCCTCGCGCTCGCGCTTCATGGTCGCGTACTTCTGCTCCAGGTACGCCTTGGTGGCCTTGGCCTTCTCCCGCGTCGAGTTGGAGATCATGGCGCTCGACCTTCCTTCAGTCCAGGACTCCAGGCCGGCAAAGTCGCTGCTGGTTTGTTTCTGTCTGACTGACGACCGCCTCGGTTCGTCCGGCGCGCTGTAATTGGTCGAAAAGAGGCGATATGCGAGAAAGTGGATACCTGTGGGAACGGATGCGGAATGGAGGTTCAACGGACCTGTTAGATATTATATATTTTGCCGTAACGAGCGTGACGGCGGTCTCTTCCAGGCCTTCTTAGCAGGCGCTGCAACCGCCGTTCGCGCCGGCTTCACGCCAGCGCGCGCGCGGGTCTACGACGGCGGTGCACCGGACTGTAGCCATTTCGGTTCCCCTATTCAACAGCATATTTCGTATTACAGGAGTGCAGTGTCGAAATCACCCGAAATCACCCAAACCGGGTGAAACTCCATCCTTCATTTTTACACATCAAAACTAGCGGGTTTTAATTCCCTTGTAATCACTATAGCTAGTTTAATCCAAGGGTTTTACTAATTCTGGTACTGAACCCACGGGGCGAAACGTGGCCGAAACATAAACGGCGAAGCCGGGCAGCAATTCTGACCAATTGCTGCCATTCTCCCTCCGCGCCCGCCAAGTCTCATTCGCGTCACCTGCGCGCGAGCTTCCTGCGCTCCTCGCGGCGCCCCGATCCCCTCCCGCCCAGCAGCACCGCCCCGCAGCGTTGAAGCGCGTGTGCAGCGTGTTTTGCGCCCAATTAGCCCCATGATCGACGCCGAGACGGCGCCCAAGGCTCGCGCCAAGCCGCGGAACAAGAAGAGCGCGCCTTACGACGACGCGGAGGACGGCGAGGACCCCAGCAGCGTCAAGAAGGTCAAGCGCAGGTGCGAGAGCTCCGTTTTAAGCGTGGAATTAGCTGTTGTTGCTCATTATTGAGTGTGATGTTATTTCATTGAGGCAGGCGCGCGAACCAAAAGCGACGCGACGCTGCAGAGGACGAGGACGACGAGCGCCAGCCCTTCAAGGAGATGAAGCAGCTGCCGCTGGGCCCCGATAGCCTGCACTTGATGCAGCACATGCACGAGGGCCAGCGCTACGACCGGCAGCCGAGGCTGCTGCCGGAGATCGACGGCGTCCAGAGCCTGTCGCACCATGAAGCGCAGCTGGACATCAAGAGCATTCAGCAGGAGGTGGCGGCCTTTGAAGCCAAGTCGGGGATTAAACTGCCCGGAGGACCTTGGAACAATGAGGACAAGGAGCATCGACGATTGTTCCTGGTCGATGAGAATGACAGCGACGCGGATGTGGCTCCTTTGAAGAACCGACGATCGAGACCTAGTGGAGTTATTGCGCCTGAGGAGATTGTGGAGACCTTGCCGGCTGCGAGACGAGCGGTGAGGATCACGCAGCGTGAACTGCGAGCCATGCGGATCGAGCGGGAGGACCTGGAGAGAGCGTACGTGCGGCATCGATGCACGCTGCTGTGGCAGGTCGGCGAAATGAAGCGCATGCAGAAGCAGCATGAGCGCGTGACGCGCGCGTTGAGTCGCGACGTGGTGAATACGGCGAGAGAGTTGGAGTCCAGTCGACGACGCACGAATGCGCTTCAGGATATTATGAACGAGCTTGAAGCTCGAGGAAGCAGTATTTTGCGTCTGACTCGGGAGAAGAGCAGGCTCGAGGCGTTGCTGGAAGTCAACAGCATTGAGCTCCCAGAGATTGACGAGGTGTGTGTCGGTGACCGTGTGAAATGCGTTCCGTTTGGGATTGGTCGAGTATTAGAACTGCGCTTGGATACCAGGCAGCTTGTCGTGAAGCTCGATTTTGGTGGCGTTGGATATATTCAGGAAGAAAACGTGGAGGTTTTGCCGACAGACGCTACGTATACGGAGAATGAGGAAGCCCTCAAACAGCGTTTCTTTGAGAAGATCGGCGCTTTGGTGAAGCCTACGGGCAAGCTGCGCATGCTGAACGGAGGTTTCGACTTTACAGGAGACAGCGACGATGAGGAAGAATCTGAAGACGACAGCGATGCTTCATCATCCGATGATGAATCATCAGCTGCTCCGGCAGATGACTCGTTCGAAGAGACCATTCAGCGTAAGGGCAAGAAGCGACGCCTCATTATGACAGCGCCACCCGGAACGAGCACCAAGAAGTCGAAGAACCGCCGTGTCATTGAGTTCCCAGCGTCTTCAGTCCCCATTGCACCATTTGATACTGGCCTTTTGATCAGTCCGCTGAGCGAGCTGCCTGAGCGTGTAGCTGCTGTCGGCCCCAATGCACTTCAGTGGCTTCCATCGTATTTGCCTAAGAACATGGACGAGTGGGAGCAAGAGCGCTACAACTCGCTGCAAATGAAGGGCGAGATCGAGCGTCTGAGGTTCCAGCTTCAGAAGTCGGAAGGTGAGTCGACGCGACTTGAATTTGTTTACTTAAGTCAGAAGTGCTCATTGGCATTGGTATCTCATGTGTTTTGTTTTGTTTATTGCAGCTCAAAAGTTGGATGCTCAGCAGTTAGCAAGCGACCAGCTGGAGTCTATTAACCAGCTTGTGTCGCAGGTACATGTTATTGATTCGCATGCTGTGACTGTTGATGGTTCTCACGCTCGTTGACCCGGTGGTGCTTGCAGTTGGACAAGTTGCGCGATAACGCTGGAATCTCAGGTCCTGGAAACTCAACTGACGCCTGCCCCACATGCGGCAACCACAAGACCTCCAGAACGCACAGGAATACGCACTATGGCAGGGGTCACAACTTGAGGAAAAATTCCGCTGCCAAAGACGATGACAGTACGTGGTATTCGTTCTGTCAATCGGGGCATGTGTGCGATATTGATGAATTCTTGTGGCTGTAGGTGGCGACGAACTTTCAGAGACCAATAGCAGAAGCTCTCGAGCTGGTGATAACGATAGCGTGCACAGCGAGCCAAGGAGGGTCTCGAAACGAAAGCACAGCAGTGCTGAGAATGCCGAGGACGAAGCTGGGAACGAGTCCAGCGATGCAGCACCCGCGCCCTCTACGCAAACCAAGGGGAAGGCCAAACCCGCTAAGCGCTCGCTGCGACCGCGGCGGAAAGCTGCCACCACCGCTTCTCCGAAGCGGAAGTAGACTCATTTTGCTAGTGTGCAGGGCGGAGCTGTGTGTCAGCCCTGAGGAGTCTTCAGTGAAGAGCGTACTGCAGTAAAGCATTTTCTTTGTTTAAAATGTACCAACAAGCAGGGAGAGAATGCATCTGTAGGGGGGCCCGATCGATGGTGAGACGGGGAAGCGAAAAATCGACAGTTCTTACATGACCACGCAGCACGAGTTGGTCTTCTTGGCCTGCTTGTAGAAGACCTTGGATTGGCTGCTGAGGTCCTGTGACTTGGACACGAGGTCGTCCAGCTTCTCGCCGCGCTCCAGCACGTTGTCGATCGTCTTGGACAGCACGGCGGTGGTCTCGTCTAGCTCCTTCTGAATGGCCGAGATCTTGTCAGCCTTGGACGGGTCCTGGTACTCGGCCAGGGCTGTGGTGAGCGGCGCGAACTCCTGCGGGGAGCCGGACTGCGTCTTCCAGCCACTGCAGAGCGACAACAATCGATCAATCCCTCGCTGTGACGTGGCAACCCCCAAGCACTGGCCAGAAAACCCGTCGCTCACCTGTTGGTCTTGTCAAACTCGTCCATGAGCTTGTTGAGCAGCGCGAAGGCCACGCGCGGCGGGTACTCCTGGTCGCACACGACGATGCCCGCCAGCCCGTCGCGACGCACGTACACGTGGCAGTTGTACTCCTCGTGCTGGATCGATTGCCGCTGGCCGGGCTCCGTGCGCTTGACGAACGTGCGGCTGAAGAAGTTGATCATCTCCCGCACTCTGCAGCAGAAATAACAACAACAACAGCGATGGCGTCACGCCGGTCAGCATCCTACAACCCTCTAAGACGCAGTAATACCCCCTTGGATCAATTCACGGCCACGCACCCCGAGCGCTGGAAGTAGCCGAAGGACGACACTTCGAAGCCCGCCGACAGGATGGTCGGGTCCTGACCCTGGCCGTCCTGGCGCAGCAACTCTGCAGCGTAATAAATAATAAAATAATTTAAAAAAATAAGCCAGCATGGATTAGGAAGGTTGCGACACACACAGAGCTTGGAGGCAGCTCTACTCGCCGCTCTCTGTGGGGTGAAGGGACACGCACCGATGGCGACGATCTTCATGGCGGAGAGAGCGTGGATGTGGAGGCTAAGGACGACGACGAGGGACTGAGCTGCAGGCTATTGCGGGAGCCGGCGGTTTCGACTGTGCAGTTGTGTGTTCTCTCTCTACGTGTTCTGGCCGGGGCGGATAGTGCCACGTCAGTGAAGCGGAGATGTGATTTGGCGAGGTCTGATTGGCCCGCTGGAGTTACTTGAAAAGTTGCCTCACACTCACATTTTCTTAGCCATGAGCGGCAGGCCGTATGCGCGCAACCCGCGCGCGCCGTTCGCGGGGCCCAGAGACCTGGAGGCGATTCTGCCGCACACGTTCCGACTGGAGGCGCCTATGAGGCTGCGCGACGCGAAGCATGAAGCCATCCGCAGGTGAATTCCGAGCAGAATTGAGCGAGAAGTGTGATGCTAGAGTTTATGGCTAATTTCTGGTGTTTTTTTATTATTTATCAGTGCGATCCGGCGGCGCTGCATGCAGAAGAACTGGCGCAAGATGATCAGCATCCGGCACCGGAGACTTGAGAGCGAGAATGCGCCACTGAAGGCCGCAGAGGAGAGCAAGAGCGAAGAGAAGGGGCCGTCGAAGGAGGAGAAGCAGGAAGAAGAAGAGAAGGAAGAGGAGAAGGAGGAGAAGAAAGAAGAACAAGAAGACGTCGTGGAGACGTCCAAGAGGCAGCTGCAGGAGCTGGAGGAGAAGCTGCAGGGCCTCACGCAGCAGAAGCACGACAAGTTCCAGCTGCTCAAGGACATGCTCATGGCGGAGGCCAGGTCCAAGTTGGCAGGAGCAGCCTCTGCCTCTGCCTCGACCTCTGCCCCCGCCAAGAAGCGGCGCGTCGAGTTCAAGGACGTGATCTTAACCCCTAGTCCAGCCAAGATGCAGTCTCCAGTCCCAACTCCTTCGACTGACGCTGGGAATGCCCCTGGCAGTGCAGAGAAGGCTTAAGGGGATGGATGGGGAGAGCTTCGTGTTGGTGCGTTCTAGATGCGAACAGGGGGAGGTAGATCCACTACTGTGTGTATATATTTTGCTCTCCTTCTCCGTGATCAGGATATCTCCTCTTGTGCATTTTGCTTGACGGGTCGCTCTGTTCACAAGTGCCTTTTCGTGCAGTAGTCGCAGCGGAGAGTCGTGCTTCAGGTTGGCTGTAAAATTGGTCGCCGTCATGCTGCGACGGCATCGCGTTGGCGATGATTCGGGAGCGGAGCCGGAGCAGGATGCGAAGGCGGAAGGAAGCGACCCCAAGAGCGCCGAGCTCTCACTAGCTGCTCCGACGTCGCCAAGACCCACAACTCCAGACCCACACAGCTCTGCTGCTGCAGCTGATCCGTCGACTCAAGCCCAGCGCGACGAGAAAATCAAGCGCATTGCAAGGAACCCGGTGCCGTTTGGGAGCTTGGTGGAAGCGTCCAGCTATGCAGTGTTCCTCATCCTGTTCATCTTGGCTACTACCGTAGTGGAGGAGAACACACAGGCCTTCTACTTCGCCAATCGACTCAAGACGGCTCTAGTCGACCAATCTTTCACGGTTCCGACAGTCGCCACTACGTCTTCAACAACCACAGCAACTACTGATAGCGATACTTCTTCACTGCCAACCAGTTTTACGGCGATCCGTGACCAAGCGCAGATGTGGGCGTTCCTTCAGGGGCCTTTCGCCGATGTCGTCTACGGATCAAAGGAGGAGACAAATGATGAGACGTCTACGGCTACGTCGTCCGAAGCTGGCAGCGTAGTATCGAGCTCGAATCGCCTGCTTGGTGGCGTCCGATTGAGGACGCTACGCGTAAAAGCTGGATCGTGCCCATCGCTCAGCCAAATCCCCGAGTACGAGATGATCGTCCCGTTCTGCTATGGAAAATTCGATAGCAGCGTCGAAGAGAAACAGGGGTACGGTCTCATTCTCAACAGCGCAGACATCGTTGCGTCGATCAGCTACGCTACGGCGCGATTGTTTTTCACGGATCTCGAGACAAGCGGCGTTACGAAAGCCTACACACACTTGCAAACGTGCTATTCGGACTGCGAACGTGTATGTGGAGAGGCGTTTGGCGTGGATAAATTTCGCTACACATCGCAGTGTACAGCACAATGCGTGGTACAATGTGCGTGCATTTACGAGGAGCCCGTGGGGGTTAAACTGTGTGCCGACCCGAATCCAAACGGTGAAGGGAAAGCGGCTCCATCAGCCGTACACGCATATAATTGGAGTAGCGCCAAGGTCACAGAGGCGCAGACAGTTCGGGGATATACCGATGTGTCGTTTCCAGGGTCCGGTTACGTCGTGGATCTCGGGTTAAATGGAACTCTGTCGCGCGAGAGATTAGCGGAGCTCAGGGTTGACCGGTATTTAGACCTCCCAACACGCGCGTTGATCGTGGACTTTACGGTTTACAACGCGTACCTCCAGCTTTTCAACATCGTGGAGATTGTGGTCGAGTTTCCTGCATCGGGCGGGGCTTTCGTGCAGCTTTCGGATGCAGTTTTACGACTATTCCGGTACTCGTCAGCCAGCACCGGACGCATTACACTGGAGGGCTTCTTGGTGTTTTACATTTTGATCCAGTGGTGGCGCATGGTGAAGGATATGCATCGAGATGGCGTCAAAGGATACTTGACTGCGTCGCTGTGGAACATCCTAACAGTGCTGCATCTCGTTGTCTTCGCGGTTACGATCGCCGTTCGGCTCTACACCATCGATTTGGCCTATGGCACTATGAGCGGCAAGGCGTCGAAAGCGATCACCTCGGCAACGCTGGAAGAAATCCCGAATTTGCAAGGGCTGGCGACGGTGCTGTATGCTGAAAGTGTCATTGAGAGCATCAACGCTGCTCTGGTCTGGGCGAAGCTCTTGCAATACACGACTATCTCTAAGCGCATGAGCCTCCTATTGCGTATGCTGGGCCGAGCTGCTCGCGATCTGGCGTGGTTTTTCGTGTGCTTCTTGGTGTGCATTTGCGCGTTCGCTCAGATCGGATTGCTGCTGTTTGGACTGGACGTGCGTGGCTTCAGCTCGCTTGGACTAGCGATTGTGACGCTGCTTCAGGCTGTAGCGGGAGAGCTGGACTACGCTGGCATGGCGGACTCTCATCGCGTTGCTGGACCCGTCTTCTACATTTTGTACTATCTGCTGCTGCTTCTCATCTTGGTGAACGTCTTCCTCGCCATCCTCAACGACGCGTACATGCAGACGATCACGGAGCAGGAAGAAGAAGACGAAGAGCTAGCGACAGCCGCGCACAACCACGCCATGGGCTGGGATGAATCTGGAGACGTGGTTAACGCTAACGCAGACATCTCTCCGAGCGAGGAGCGAGCACTTCAAGCTGCGCGACGCGAGATGGAGCAGCTACGGAAGTACCCGTTCTCGAAAGGCTTGACCACAGCGTGTAGGCTCCTCGTGGCCGATGTGAAGCGCGTCGTGTCCGAGATTCGCAATGGGAACAACGGAGTCAACCTCACCAAGGTCGACCCTCTCATCATGCTGTCACCTAGAACTGGCAGCCAGTGGCCACTGCCAGGCGAAACAGCATCTCGGAAGCTGACACGGCACGTCAAGCGGCAAGTAGCGAGCGAGCTGCTGGAAGCTGAAGACCGACTGCGCGTGAGCCGGCGCGTGGAGCTGCAGCAGTCGCAGATCGAGAATCTGCGGCACACGGTGGACGAAGACGTCGCAGCTCGACTGGAGGCTCTGGCGGAGAGCAATCGGCTCAAGACCCAGCGGATGCGCGACCTGGAGAAGACGCTGGGATCCATCGAGAAGCTCTGCCAGCAGCTCGTGAGCGACACGGCCTGCCTGCGCGTCGGCAGCGATGAAGAGGGTGCTGGCTCGCGTCCATCGTCACGCCCCGCTACCTCTCGGCCGTCACGCACGCCGTCTCCAGCCGTGGGCTCGAAGCGCAGCCTCTCCGCGGCAATCCTAGCGAGCCGACAAAAGGACGCGACACGCAGAGGCGAAGAGATAGAGGAGATCAACTTGTAGCTGGCATCATGAAACCCCCCCTACAAACTCTTGAGACATCTCGATCACCGAAAACCGAAAAACTGATTGCGATCCTCCAGCACTCACGTATCAACGTCCCCGAGTGACGACGCGGTCACTTCCGTTTCGACCATGGCTTGGCGACATCTCGTGCCCCCCGGTCTTTGCGCTGCCGCAGGAGCCTCCATCTTCCTGTCCAGCAGCGCCGATTCCGCCTCGGCCTCCGCCCCCTCCATCGTCGCGCTGTCCTACAATGACGGGCACCAACGGCGCGCCCCTCGAATGATCATCGGAGACCCCGGTACAGCCCCCCGTCCCCATCAATGCTAGGACGTACAGTCCTCTCTAACCATTGCAACTGATGCTGATGCAGACACGTTCGCGCGCAAGATGAACAAGTTCACGCGCGACGGAGCGGGTCAGTTGCTGGTGATCGCCGACTTCGACCGCACCTTGACGCCGTACTACAAGCAGCGCAGCGACCCGACGGAGCCGCTGGAGCAGGAGAGCAGCAGCCACGGCCTGCTCATGACCAGCAGCGTGCTGTCTCCGGAGGTGGCGGCCGCCCACCAGGAGCTCTTCGCCCGGTACTACCCCGTGGAGATCTCGTCCACGTTGTCGGCGGACGAGAAGTTCCCCTTCATGGCTCAGTGGTGGGAGAGCACGCACTCGCTGCTGGTCGAGTCCAAGCTCACCAAGAACCAGGTGAAGCAGGCGGTGGCGCAGGGCTCGCTGGGCTTCCGCCCGGGCTTCCACGCGCTCTTCAAACTGCTGCACGACCAGCAGGTGCCCACGCTCGTCTTCTCCGCGGGCCTCTACGACGTCATCCACGCGGCGCTCGAGAAGGAGTTCGCAGCGGAGCAGAAGCGCAGCGAGGGGCCCATCGCAGCCGACGACATCCCCGACGCGCAGCTCTTCACGCCCGACAACGTGCACGTCGTGTCCAACATGATGCGATTCGACGCCCGGGGCCGCATCAAGGGCTTCGACGGCCAAGGGATCCACCCGCTCACCAAGACGGCGCACGCGCTGCTGGACTCGCCCTTCTGGAAGGACCGCGAGCTCGACAAGCGACGCAACGTGCTGCTGCTCGGAGACTCGCGGGGCGACGTGCGCATGGCCGACGGGCTGGACGCAGATGAGATCATCCGCGTCGGCTTCCTCAATGTGCACGTGGACGAGGCGTTAGATGAGTACCTCGAGCTCTACGACGTGGTGTTCACCAACGACGCTAGCCTCATGCCCGTGCAGATGCTCATTGAGCAGATGACGGCCGACAAGAAACAGTAGAGGGGGATCCATCCATCGTATTAATAGGAGAAGAGCATGAGGAGAGGAGAAGAGCTCCTGAGCTCTGGCTGCATGGTGGTTGGGGTGCCATTTTTGGCTGCTGTCGCCGTGCTGCTTGTCTATCTCTGCAGGATTGTGGCGTTGTGTGCTTTGCTGCAGTCTTGCGCACGTAGAGCAGTGATCCTTTCGCTTGCTGGCGCGGGCTCAGTCTGTGCGCACTTGCAGACGCGTATCGCTGTCTTCGGCCCATGAACGCCGACTAAGGCCGCTGCCCCGCACCCCACACTTGCCGAGTTCCCACGACGCGACCGAGTGGTGATGACAGCGCACAACACGAAAGGAACTGCCGCGGTTATGAACCCCTCCATCCCACAGGCGCCCGAGTCGCCCGTACGCAAGACGAGCATCCCCGACAAGAGCTCGCCCAGGCACAAGCAGCAGCAGTTTGAAGGCGTCTCGAAACCCCCTCAAGACAACGAAAAGCAGCAGCAACAACGAGCCCCGGAGCGAGTCACAGACCCACCAGCAGTACCGTCGTCATCGACCTCATCTACAACGGCAGCAACAGCAAAGACCGCAGCTAACTCAAGTAGTGGAGACGGTAATGGTGATGTTATCGGCGAGTACGTGTTGGGTGAGACGATAGGGAAAGGGACGTTCGGCAAGGTGAAGCTCGGACTGCATCTGCTCACGGGCGAGAAGGTGGCGGTGAAAATGCTGGAGAAGAAGCGCATCGTCCAGGCGGCGGACGTGGAGCGCGTGGCTCGAGAGATCAAAATCCTCAAGCGCAATCGCCACCAGAACGTGATTCAACTGTACGAAGTGATCGACTCGCCCGACCGCATCTTCCTCATCATGGAGCACGTAGACGGAGGCGAAATGTTCGAATACATCGTGGCTCACCACCGCATCCGTGAGCCTGAAGCCGCGTTCCTCTTCCGACAGATCGTGGACGGCCTCGCCTACTTGCACTCGAACGAGATCACCCACAGAGACCTGAAACCCGAGAACTTGTTGCTCCAGTCGAACCTCAATCACAACCATAACAACCGGCAACCGCAACAACAGTCTACGCCTCCTCCTTCGAATCTCTTGGTGAAGATTGTGGACTTTGGTTTGAGTAATATTCACGACGGTGGGCGATTGCTACGCACTGCGTGTGGTTCGCCGTGTTACGCGGCTCCGGAGATGATCCAGGGACGAATGTATCACGGTCCTGTCGCCGACATGTGGAGCTTGGGCGTCGTCCTCTTCGCGATGGTCTGTGGATTTCTCCCGTTCGAGGACAGCAACACGAATTTACTATACAAGAAGATTCTGAGTGCCAACTACAAGATGCCGACGTTCCTGTCGGCGAACGCGCAGGATTTGATCCGGCGCATCCTCGAGACGGACCCGGAAAAGCGCTACACGGTAGACAAGATCCGCCAGCACCCGTGGCTGGCTGGTGTGCAGACCCCCGAGCTGTCGGGCTGTGATGTGGGCGAAGGTGTAAAATCTGAGGAAATTAAGGCTCGGCATGAACTTGTTTTGAATCAGCTGGAATCATTGGGTCTTCGTAGGGAGGACGTGCAGTCGGCGCTGGCCAAGAAGGCGTACAACCGGTTCACGGCGTCCTACTACCTTCTGGATGGAAAGCTCCAGCGCATTATGAGAAATCGTGTCATACCAATACCCGCGTCAGGTAACAGTCCCAACTCCTTGATCGACCGCCCCGTTCGGCGTGAGAGCAACACTAACAGCGAAGGGAGGCGCCAGGAATCTGTGGTGAGATCTGGAGGTCACGTTAGCGATGTCCGCATCACTGGGTCGGGTTCTACCGCTGGATCTGGGAAGAGTATTGAGGTGTCTAGCCCGCCTCACAGGCAGAACTCTGGCTCACGGGCCTTTCACGAAAGCCCGCGACGGAAATCAAACCCGCATCATCATCACCCGCCGCACTCGCAGCAACATGGAGAGAGTCCGTACGCTCGGAGGGCGGGTACACCGTCAAATGTAGCGTCTCCACGCCACAGCAGTCATCATGGCGATGGGTCTGTGGTGACACAACGGCCGAGCTCCGTACGAGGCGGAAGGAACTTAGTGATGATCAACAACGGAGCTGCAAAGTCCCCCGCTGCGGGCTTCTTACCGGTGGCCCCCAACCCACCGCGTGACCCTCGTCACTCAGGCATCCTCACAGCGAGGAAGCCGCAGGGCAACACCCGTGTGACGGTCAGCAACGGCATGGTAGCTCTTCGCCCTCTAGCTCAGCCAGTGCATCCACCAAGACGAGAGCTACCATCGTCAACGCCGCAGTCAGCTACGCGTCGGCATTCGTCGGAGGTTCCTCCATCCTTCCATCATATCCACGACCCCACACCCGCTCACATGGCTCCAGTGGCGGAGATGCCTGCACGCAACTCAATCACTTCGGCTAATGGTGGCGTGGTCATCCGACGACGCCCTCAAGGGCCTTCACCTCCACCGCATTCCGTTCATACACACAGCCCGCATCAATCCCCCGTAACAGCATCTTCTTCTGGCCCGACGACCCCCTCTGCTCATGCTACAGCAGCTTCGAAATCGGACGACACTCGGTCACCGCAGCGAATAGCACCATCGGCCCCTGCAAACTCATAGACGCCAGAAATTGAAAACGAAAATGCAAAACGTCCGAAAAAGTTTCTTGCACCTCGATAGGGATCCTTAAGTACCCATAGCAAAGAAGCGCTTGCGATCACCCATCCACTCCAAGTTGACGTTAGGATATTTGTTCGTCCATGCTATGAAGTACTCCTTCCACAGCAACAGCTCGGAGAGTAGTCCTGGTTAATTGTGTGCCCAATCGATCGGCAGCTTTCGAAGTCGGCATCTTGTAGTTGGAACTCAAAAAAAATTCAGCACATTCGTGTTACCATCCTCGAAAGTCACAGACCATAGCGAAGAGGACGAAGCCCAAACTCCACATGTCAGCGATATGATCGTAATGCACGCGAGCACATAGACACCAGAAAAAATCGAAATTCAAAATGATTGAAAAGATTTGTGGCCATTTTTCTGAACTCGACTCCGAAAAAAAACACAGAGGTGAGCGGGTACCGGCATCCCTTTGTCATCACATACAACCCACCTACACCTATTTACCCTAACCTCACAAACAAGCTGAAACTCGATCTACACTTGGAGCAATGCAAGGCGAGCCTGTGCATCTATTTATCTAGCAGTAAAACTCTTCGTCGAAGTCGTCAGCTTGTCCTACTGCCTTAATAACGGCAAGTAGACAATAAGCTCAGTCGCCTGTTTGACTGGTGTTGTATCCGAGCTCTATTGCCCTTAGCTACACTTCTTCCTCAAACTCCGCAGCAATTTTAGCGAGGATCTGTCCTTACCGAGCGGTGGCAATACCATCGTCTGGGATTTTCGCTTGTCTGCTCCGCTTGGCACTGCGTACAGCAGCTCGGTGCTGGCGCGTCCGCGCTTCCAGCTCTGGATGAACGTTCGGTTGGGTACTGTAGAGTGATGGTGGTCACGGATGTTGGTGTGCTTACGAGGTGGGCTTACGAGGTGGGCTTACGAGGTGGTCAAAAACTTCAACCTTCGCTGCAGCCGGTGACGATGTCACCGAGTACCTTAATGCTTCCTCCTCTTTCCACCTGGCAGGCGAGGCCGCCCGAGTCAGTCCGCAACTGAGCGTAATTGGTAGTAGGCGAGGAGCGCCTGTATGCCATGACAAGTGCTCAGGTGAAAATGCCATTGATTGGCTAATATTAGCCTGTATGTCATAACAAGCAGTATGTGATGACAAAGGGATGCCGGTCTACCTTCATTCGGCAAAGAAGCGCTTGGGATTACTCAGCCAGGACAAGTCCACTTTGCTTTCCCATGTAGGATTTTTCTTCGTCCACGCATTGTGGTACTTCTTCCACAACACTAACTCGGGGGACCAGTCCTTGTCCATCCCGCGCCCGGCTCATCGTCTGCCGTTTTTGTAAAGTTTGAGGTAGTTGTACGATGATTGCCGTAGCGTTTCGCGTTTTCCATTTGTTAACGACAAAGTCGTGCCTCCGGTCCGAATGTCTGAAGTTTGTTTGAACTCGCCCCTACCCTAAGAAGAAAAAAATTGTAACTAGTTAGTGGACACAACGTTTTGGTAGCTGCATGCACTTAGTTCTATCTACTTGGGCAACTTGATTATTGACGTAGAATCCAAACTCGGGGTAAAGTTATTGGCTTTGGTGCAAAGCCCAGTCGTTGAAGAACCGAAATCATTGCATCGCTATCCAGCTTTAGCTCGCATGAATGCTGAAACATATTTTGGCAGTGTCGACAGAATGGGCTGGTTAATGCTTGAGTTCTTGATTGCTCCACAGCAGCTTCCCTAAAGTGGATCTCGTTGCGTGGACTCCACAATAGCAGTGTAAGGAGGCCGACGACACGGCGAAGGACGAGACGGTGGGCGCGGCAACCACGCTGTATGACGGCGTTGAAGTAGACGGCAGCGTGGGACGTGAATCCGGCTGGCATTGGCTGCGCGGTACCGAGGGATCTACTGGATCTTCGGGCCCGCTGGACTCCGCGAGCCCCACGACGGAGCTCACTTTGGTTTTTGACGGCCAGCGAGCAGGCCCGAGGAACGCGCGTTTGGCAGCAAGCGCAACAAGCGGTGAACGGACAAACGGCGGTGGACACTAACGACGACCTCGGTGGACGGCTGCGGCGTGAACGACAACAGAGTGACGAACAGGAAGCACGTGGCTTCCGCGTTCTTCGACGGCTGCGACGAGTAGGGCAGGCGCGTGTGGGCGTACGCCCGAGTGGCTAGAGGAGCGACTACGGAACTGAGTCGTGCGCGTTCGACGTAGACGTGTATTTGTAGTTAGTCGGTGGTTGACACCGCGCTAGTTCATCTAAATAAAGTAGGTGTTGCTGCCAGTCGGACACGCACCGGCACAGTGTCTTACGCTTGGACACTGTCGGCCATCCGGACTTTCGACCGCATCAGCACGGTCGCGACCAAACCCCAAGCGTGTGGGGCACCAAACACGTTGCATGGTGGTCATACAGGGGCCTAGTGTACGTATCCGACGCAGCCCTCGACTTACGAAGACACCCGAAGACGCTCGGATGGCTCGGACGAAGGTCGTCATGCAACCCACGACCCGTGCGACGAGGAATCAACCGGCGACTCAGACTTAGACGTCTGTTCCCGTGCCTACTGGAGGATCGGATCTGGCGCGACAAGACGGTCAGAACGCGAACGAGAACGAGGACGAAGAAACGAAGGAGAACGATCCGGGCGACGCAGACAACCCAAGCGACGAACGCAACGACCACGGCGCTGACGACACGCAGGACGCGCCACCCGACGAAGCGGCAACTAGCGGCAACGACGACGGCACAGCGATGGCTCCCGTAGCGGCGCTGACCGCTGCACTGCAGCAGATGGCAACGACGATGGCAAGGATCGATGCGAGACTGGACCAGCTAAGCACCACGGTGGCCAACCCCGCGCCGTCCCCTGCGCCCGCGGACGCTGATACGCAGACGGTGGGAACGACGAATCCGTCGACACAGCAGGCACCGCCACCCGCTGCACCACGGGACCCTCCCCCAGCGGCTACAGCTCGGCAGGTGGCCTACCAGCCACGTGACGGCAACGACGACGGAGACGACAGCGATGATGACAACGACGACGGGTCTTCGAGCAGCTCCGACGACGACGACGAATCTGACGACGGCCACGACGGTGGAGGACGCCGTGCCAGACGCCAACCCGTTACGAGGCCCGGTGATCGAGACTTTCACCGCAACAGACGGCGAGCCATTCGAGACTTGGACTTGCCATCCTTCTTACCGACACCACAGACATCTGTGACGACGTGGATCGCGCGCGTTGACCTGGCACTCGAAGGAGCACGACTATCAGGACGGGGCGAATGGACTGATCAAGAACTGTATTACATCTTAGGCAATAAGCTACAGGACAGTGCTGCCCGCTGGTGGGTCCAGCTGGATCGTAAACTACGCGACCGTGAGCGAACGTGGACGAAGTTGCAGCAGGATAGTTTGGTTAATATCCCAGGATTGTGGAAAAAGAGCCTCCAGCTTATTTTAATAGAGTAATTAAAATAACTCTGCATTACTCCATCGCTCCCGCAAAGATTACCATGTATCTTTCAAGCTGGGGCATTAGAAGAAACAGTGCGCGAGCGTTGCAATAGCCACACACAATTCTCGCACACACTGTGGAACCGTAGGATATAGCGCCTTGAGGAAATGCAGCCTTGATCCGACGATGAGACCACCGAAGATAAACTCGCCTGCACTAACATGCAGATCAATGCGAAGAATCGTTGTACTGTGAAGGTGGGAACGCCTTTCGCTTAGGGAACGAGGGAGAGTAAAGAAGAAGACAAAAACTCTCGAGTATACCAAGAACTGTACGCAAAACGAAGTGTAGTGAATCCCGAGGAAGACATCACATCAGAGAAGAAGAACACACAGCAGGGCGGGTGGCAATCCCCAAATTCAAATCGATTACTTTACGGTATATTCTCTCTGTGCATGCAATGCAAATTTATTACCACCACATCTGTCACCACCACAATTCAGTCCTAAGCGGTCGGACGTGGCAAGCCTAAAGTATTGAACCAGAACGAATGCGCGAGGAGAAAAACGTAGACGATTCACGCTAAAAAATCGAGATCAGTTTAGCAGTGCTAAAACTCAATTGGACGATATGACCAAACCAAATAGTTATTGATTGCTTTCAAGTTCATCCCTACACTCCGTCGGGGGTCTTGTTTTTGGTACTTGTTAATCGTGTTGGCCTTGTCCGTGGCCTCGCGAAAGCTCGCTGTATGTGGATTCTGTTGGCACATGGATGCAAATTGAAGTGATGCAATAGCTGCGATCTGATTGGCCGATGAACAGCTCCGCTTCAGTTACTGTGGACCACACAAAGTGGAGCCATTTTGCAATCACATTGCGATCGTCGAGCAGCAATCGATCAGTCGAGGATGATGCTCCGCCGCCTCTGCTCCCGCTCCTCACCGCTCTTCGCCTGCAGCTCCGCGGGCCTCGCGCTTGTTGCCGCCGCCTCAGTCTCCTCTCCCCATAATGACAGCAGAGTTGCGCGCGCTGAGGCGCACCGCCGGCCCGAGGGCAGGCCCATGATGTTCGTGCGGGACCCCGTGGACTTCGCCCGCAAGTGGAAGAAATTCTCCACCGACCGCCTCGACAAGCTCGTGGTCATCGCCGACTTCGACTACACGCTCACGCCCGCCTACAAACCCACGGGTTCGTGACAAAATTGAAGTATTGACTACTTATATTCTAGACCAATACTGAATATTTTTCTATGGTGATTTTTTGCTAGACGACCAAGCTCTAAGCACGCACCGCCTGTTGATGGAGAGTGAGGCGCTCGGTCCGGACGCGGAAGATGTGGCGCGGGAGATTTTTGAGAAATATTACCCAATCGAGCAGTCGGCGACGCTGACAATGGAGGAGAAGCTGCCCTATATGATCGAGTGGTGGGCCAAGACGCACGGACTCATGATCCAGCACGGCGTGTCCAAGAGCGCGGTCAAGAAGGCGGTGGACGAGAGTGACATCGCGCTCCGTGAGGGGTTCATGGAGATCTTCGACCTCCTGGCGCTGGGGAACGTGCCTACGCTCATTTTCTCGGCAGGGCTGTACGATGTGATTCACGCCGTGCTGGACAAGGAGTACGCGAAGACGGAGGCCAAGACGCCGCCCAAAAATGTGCACGTGATCTCCAACATGATGCGGTTTGACGAGAGCGACAAGGTGGTCGGGTTTGACGGAACGGTACGACTGGCTTGGCGAGATTGTTGGGTTTTGGCTTATCAGCTGACAAGTTTTACTCTGTTGCAGCTCATTCACAGTTTGAACAAGAATGCGAGTGCGCTGGTGGAGACGGACTTCTGGAAGCAGTGCCAGCTGGAGAAGCGACACAATATTCTGCTGCTTGGCGACTCACTGGGTGATGCCAACATGGCGAACGGCCTGGACTTCCAGGAGGACGAGATTGTGCGCATCGGATTTCTCAACGACGGCGCCGAGGAGAAGTTAGAGCTGTATCTGCAGCGCTTCGACGTTGTGCTCACGAACGACTCGAGCTTGCTGCCGGTCGAACTGCTATTGCATCAGATTCAGCAATGATGTCTGTAAAATGAGGCGTGGGTCATTTTGAGAAGGCTGTCCTTCGTCGGCCAGAGAGTTTTATTTAGCATGAATTGTGCTTCTGAAGTTTTCGCGCAACGATCGAGCTCGCGTGGTATGATAGCAGATTGTCAACCATTACGTCCGTCAATCGACTACGTAGCGCTGTCGTCTCGCCAATATGCCTTCTGCTGGTTGATTTTCTTTGGGCTGTACTTAATTGCGTGCATTTTCAACGTCAGCTACGCCAAATTCTACTGGGACTTCGATGCAACCGTGTTGAGCTACACGCTTGAAAGCTACAAGGTTGGAATGCCTCGTGAACATTTCCGAACTATCGCTTACGTTCACATCGCGTTGGCTGCCGCACATGGGGTTTGTGCCCTGCTAATGATTGGCGGGTCGCTTCGACAACGCACTTTAGCTTTCTCACCGCGGAAAAGAAACATGGATATACGTAATATTCAGCCAAGCAACGACAGCAGAAATATGTCGAGTAAAGGAGCACTGAGGCGTAGTACAGTGCAGATTTACTACAGACTGCTGAGTCGACGTGGATTGTTTGGGGTCAATGGACGGCACTTCCATACCGTTCTGATCTGTCGCGAGCTCCTCGAGACTTGTCTCCAGACCGCTCAAGCTATCCGAATGAGCAAGTATCTGCCACGCGCAGTACTTAACCGGTTCTACGTGAGCTTGCTGCTGGTCAACTGCTGGTCATCTGTGGTGATTTACTCGCGGTGCTTCTGGCGGGGCGAGGCTCGTCGTAGACTGGCAACAATCGCATGCGATAGCGTTCTCGATATAATGGCTGCGATCGGAGTGCCCGTCACAATTGTTCTGAGCTATGTGGAGCAATACGATGTGGTGCTCACGAGCTTTGGCTTTGAGTTGACCGATGACGACGAATGGGTAGCGCGCATGCTCAACGAAGCGCAGATCGTTTTGGTCGTGTCGTGGTTAGATCTGGCAATGCGGGTTGTCTTCTCCCTTGGACTCATTATCTCCATAATGAATATGAGCGAGCTCCTGTATCGTACTTCAAAGAGTGAAGCTTCGGCTTTGTGTGGGCCCCCTATCTCGACGCACTTATTAGGGTTAGATGACGCCCAAATTACAAGTACCAGTCCAGCGATTTGCGTTATAAGAAGCAGCTCTGTTGTCCCTACCACCACACACGCCCGTCAACTTTCTAGCAAGAAAGCACGTCCACGCCGTAGTTTGCTCCACCATATCCACCTTCTCTTCGCTGCATGGGGGGTCATAGTTTTGGTGATGCACGTGTACGCCGCCTTCCAGAAACCGTTGGTTGAGTGCAACCCCCAAGTGCACCCCATGGCTGGTGCAGTTCCGTCGTGCTTTGTGGTGAACTTCGACTGTTATGAGCTTAAGATTTCCGGCAAACATAACGAAGTGCAGACAGAGTGGGAGAAATTGGACCGCAATTCAGCCGTAAAGATCCGAGTTTTGCATTGCCCAACTCTCGAGATACCCGATAGTTTCAAGGATTTCACTCGGCTGCGTTTAGTCCAGGTCTACAATTCCACACTTTTGGAATGGGGAGACAACGCAGCACTCACGAGTTCTCACCACCCAGAGCTGATAGAGCTTTCAGTGGTCCGAGTTAACATGACGAAGGGCCTTCTACCACTCGGCTTTCAGTCCTCCGACTTCCCCCTTCAACTCTCCCTGATCTCGTTCTGCGAGACAAATTTGAAGACTTTACCCTCCGACCTTGACTCGAAATGGCATGCCGCATCCATTCTGTACATCGAAAACAGTCAGCTACAAGCCGCGCCGCCAGTGCTAGCGCGCTTGCAGCCCCATTACTTGACACTAGTGGGGAATCCGATCACTGAGTTTTCACCTGAGATCTTCGAAGCCTCGTACGCGCAGTATTTGATCCTCGACCGCACTAATGTGCGTGAATTACCGCGAAATGTGTCACAGCCGATTGTCGGCCCGGCTTTTATCTCTCTCTCCAATACTAACATTTCGTTCTTTTGGTCGTGGATCGACCCGTTAGTCGAATCGATGCTGGAAACCATGCCCCCGATCGTTGCAGGTGGCTCTCCGTACTGCAATGACCTCGAGAAAATCGTGAACGGGGAAATCGATAGCTTCAGCGCGCCATTCGACGAAGGACAGTCCCCAATTCTCATGAACGCGTCGAAAGAGAATTGGGAGATATTGATAAAAGCAGTCGATTGTTCGCCAGCATTTTGGAGAACCCGGTTCCCTCTCCAGCTGTGGGATGAAGCCTATGCCCTACAGTAATGTAATGCAGTGGATACCCTGAATGCTGCCCAAATACTGTACGCTTTAATTTTTATGATCGACAAATATGAGTATTTTATCTCTTACGAAGAAGCTGGACCCTTTTCACCTTGCTCCAAATGTATCGACTCCTTCACCACATCCGGCTCCGATTGTTCATCAGATTCGGTATCACTCTGCTCAACGATCTTCTCGTGGTCATAGGACGCGAGCCTGTTAAATACTCGCGAAAGCCGCTGCGCCAGTAGCTGGGACGGATACTCGATCAGGTAGTACGACGCCGTGGCCAGCATGATCACGAGACCGAAGATGGAGAACGTCTTGTCGTAGTAATTGGTCTGCTGCTTGACCGATGGAGTAGCGATCACGAACACGTGCAGCAAATACACGGAGAAGCTGATCTTGCCCAAGTAGCGGAGAACGATCCACTCGAAGATCAACGACACAGTGGACGGCTGAATCATCTCGATCACGAACAGCAGCGACAACTTGACGCTCGTGAACGGCATGATATAGTGTTGGGACGGTTGAAGCGGCATCCCCAACCAATTGAAGAACAGTCCACGGAAGACGACGCTGAGGTAGGCTGCGATCAAGACGGCTTCTACCACTCGCAGTCCGACGATATGCAACGTGTTGAATTTGAAACCCGTGCTCTTGATCCACGCCTCAAGCTTGACGAAGATGACGGCAGCCATGGACCCCGCGACGAACGTCGGGAGGTGCTTGCTCAACGGTTGGCGAGGATAATTATCCCTTGTCGTGTAGAGTCCTTCGTGAATAGCCCAGACGTAGAGCGGAAGGAACGCCATCCACCAGAAGCGACGCATCTTGAGCACCGCCAGTACAAACGCAGGTAGAATGAAGTAGTACGAGATCTCCAGTGGCAACGTCCACATGAGGTAGTGGCGGTGTTCCGGGTGAAAAGTGAGCGTCTGGAACAGGTTGAAGTCCTCAGGTCGGTTTACCATGTAGTACCGCTGTTTGTATTCAAACGGCATGAGCCACAGAGTGATCGCCACCAGCGCAAACAACGGGTACACGCGGAAGAACCGCTTGGAGAAGTAGTCGGCCAGCGTCCACCCCCACTTACGGTAGGACACCTGCTCTGCCATCAGCTTGATGCTCTTCTTCATGAAGATCATGGTCAGCAGGAAGGACGACAGCACGAAGAAGGCGTCGACACCAACCGCGCCCATGTAGACGTCGTGCATGTACCCTGTGTGTTGCGTGACGACGAAGATGACGGCAGCCCCACGGACGCCATCAAGGAATAGGATCTTCGCTACCGGCGACGAAGACTTCGTGGCCGAGGTGTCGCGTGATTGATCCTGTGTTGATGTAGGCGCCATCACTTTGGAGGCGGCATGGTGTTCGCGAGGGCCGTCTTCCTTGTCTTGTATAACCTGAAGCTGTAAATTGGTGTCGGGTCCCTGCATTGGGCTGGTTGTCTTGATCGAGACCCGGCGAGTTGAGGAGTGATTAACGACAACTTGGACGTCAGTTAAGTAAGTACACCTGGCAATCAAATTTTACAGATGCAATGAGGGATGTGCGATTTGCTGTTCGACCCCACGTGTTGGAAAGGCACTAGGAGACAAGCAGCGAAATGATCCAGCCGACTTGAAGGCGGCCCGGTGTCGTCACTTGAATAAAATACGAGAACACTTTTCTTCTTCTTCTTTTATCCTGTTTTTTTTTTGGCTCACCTACAGTGCTGTAGTGGTCCCGAGATTCTACTGTCGGCTCCAGAGAAATCAATGCCTCAATTCTTAATACTGTAACTCAGTTATGTAACCTTGAGGCAATTCGCATGAAATATTTGAGGATAGTGCTAAGATTTGTATGCACAAAACACCTTGTCGGGGAATCACAGGAATGCGTGGCGCTGCGATTGACGTCGAGAAGGAGGAAAGGTGTAATCCACAGACAGAAGTATTATTAATAATATAATAGGCAAACTACAGACTGTCGGACAAAATACAGAAGGGGTAGGTTGCCTTGCCGAATTTGCCACCCCTGTCTTCACTGAATTTTGCTCAATATCGGTATTTGCAGGTTCAATATGGTTGGTGTAACTGCTGTTTCCTTCGTACCGTGTTACCGTAACTCGGAGCATAACTCGGTAAGGCGACCGTGTTACCATAACTCGGTGAAGTTTTTGCTATACGTCTCCATACCTCGGAAGCTGGACCAGATAGCTACCGTGCAGACAGCAGCACCGAGAAATCTACTAGCCGCTGCCGGCGCAAACGCAGAACACCATGCGTGCCGCTACTTGCAATGGGGGCACAGCACAGCAATAGATTCTCGCATACATTAGCTGGGTTCTACGCTCAGGTGAGGGCACCTCTGAAGCAGCAGCTCAAACACGTTGCTGGTGACCGACCTGCTTACTGAACCAGGAGGTGTTTTCCACTATGCCCTGCGGCACTGCCACCATGTTATCATTACTGGGTAGTACGACCGCGTTACCATAACTCGGTACGGCGACTGTCTTATGATAACTCGGTAAGACAACCGTGTTTTCATAACGCAGTGAGGTTTCAAGTCGCATTATCTAGGAGGTCCGATCACATACCGTGCATAGTGCATAGCACACTAGGTATATCGAGCCAATATCGCTGTATATTTATAACTACTTGCTCTCACTACACATTCAGCATCGAGACCAGCTTGCCATTGTGCTCTTGATCTATCGCGCCATCATCACGAATACTGGGATATGAGGGCTCATGCTGCGTTCTGGGCCTTTGTTAGTGCAGAAGGTGCGACTACCGTGCTGAGCTGCTTAATGAGTGACGTGGGCTGGCGCTTGACTGGAGACAGTAGAAGTACTGTCGTTGGTGCAATTCGCGAGGCGGCGTTGGAGATCGAAGCTACAGTAAGCGCCTTACTGTCGTCTGAAAGTGAAGTGACCGACGCGATGGGCGACTGCAGCTCACACGTGTTAAGCACTCGACACATACTACACGATGTAGTTGCCGCGGGCCAAGAAGAAAAACGTTTCTCTGATCTCTTTATATCGCGGGACCGCCACCCAGTTAAAACGCAACTGTTTTCAGATCTCGGCTGGTTCGACACAACCCCAAGTAGCCAAAAAGGAAAATCGAAACGCCACCGAGCTCGTAGTAGCTCTAGTAGCTAGTGCCACTTAGTTAGGAGTTGGTCCAGAAGAGCTAATAAACTGCCTCCCATCCAGTGCTTTAAAAACTTTTATGCTGCTGATCAACACTTCACACGAGCAGAACTATTCGACCATCGCGATCGTAGTAGATTTATAAAGGCCACAATTAATTTGCAGATGCAATGCTCTTTATTCATGCAGTTTTTAATTTTATCAGTATCCTTGTTCGCAAAAGATAGCAGCTAAGGAATGCGCGAGTCCTAGTGATTGCTATCACCGTGATGAAGTTCGCAGCATGAGCACAAATTTACTCGAGACTGAGGGCATGGCCCACTTGCGATGGTCGACCGCGCTTTTTCTTCGGCCGTTTGTCCGGAAACGTAGGTCGACGCGGCGGTGTCCCATCAAAAGGCAATCCGAGCGCGTCTTGTGCAGCTAGAATGTGCACACAACAACCCAGCTTGAACCATGTTCTGCAGTTGCACGTCTCAAGTGCGCCACCCGATTCCAGGCTGATCTTCCACTTCAAACTCAGTGTCGGTTTTTTTCTTCGGTCTCCGCATCAGTTGACTCTTTGGCTGGTGGCGTATCTTCAATCGGTAAGCGCTGATAAACACAAAACACGTCGCGATCCGTTGTAGCGGAGCTGTCAACTGGGTTCACCTGCACGGTTGATGCCGCTGTAAAAAAACTTATCGAATACCGACTTGCAAGAGGTTGTGCTGCTAGCACCGACTCGTTGATAGCAACAACGCTCAGTAGATGTTGTGACGAGAGTTTTCGATACTCGCGGACAATATGTGGCGCGGCTCGTGTTGATGTCGCGTAAGGCTTGGTGAGCAGGGAGCGAATGGTGCACACCCTGAGCAGCTCGAGGAAAAGAGGGTTCAAGCGGAGCAAACGCCGCATCGTGTGCTGATTTTGAGTTGGCGGTTGAAATTTTCAGCAGGGTTATTCGTTTTTGCCATCCCAGTACTGGTTTCAAAACACTGCCACTTGGAGTACCGCCCTTTTAGCCATTGCTTGTCGAAGTACTCATGAAAGGATCGGCACTCGGCGTTGCACTTCCAAGCTTCCTTGGCCTCAGCAATCCGAGTAAGCTTTTCTGATTCATCACGCGCGTAGTGAATCCGGTAAACGTGACGGAAAACAAGTTTCTTGTCTTCGACCGACATTTTAGCTGTGTGTTTACGCACGTTTGTCATCACGTGAAAAAACACATTATAAATGTAGGCTGCTCAGCCAACATCTCGTGTGCAATAACCTTGAAAGCGCCGCGCTGAGATTTATCTGCGTCCATCACCACGTACGTTAGTTTTGCTTGCTCTGCCGACAAACGCTGGTACATCTCGAGCATAGACCGCAATGCCTTCTCCCATTGAGGCTGCTGAAGATCCGACACGAGGAAGAAGCAAAGGAAGATTTTTAAATGGGTCTTATGCAGAACAGGTCTTGGATTTGATCAGAGCGTGCTTTTTCTTTGAACTTGTGATTGGATCACATTTGCCATGCTTTGACGACGTAAGTCGGAAAAGTCCCAGTCCTCACTTTGAAACCTCAGCCGAGCGCCTACCACGACCCAAGCTTCCTAACCTCTGTCTGCGCCTCGGTGATGCCCGAGCCACATCGCCATGGACCGAGCCGTTGCAGCACCCCGGGTCGCTGCCCCTGCAACACCGCGGAGGAAGATGAGCAAGATCCTCGCCATGAAGAGCTCCAGGGTAAGCGAGCGCAAGCACCACCAGCAGAGCAGCAAGGAGGCCATGGGAGAGGCCGTGAAGATGCAGCAGCACCATCGTAGTGGGCAGCAGGTGGGCAAGATGCGTCAGGAGAGCACAAGCAGCAGTCGGCTTGGAAGTGGCTTATGGAATCGATGGGTCAAGTCGGCCTCGCGCTACGTGCAGCGCGCCATACTGCGCTGTGCAAGCTATACCATTTGGTGGGCGAGGACGCGAAAAGTGATGTGGCGCAGCTGAAGATGCCGTCCGTCGCGGTAAGAACAGGTGATGCACGTGCACTCGTGCAGACGGAGGCATGCCTCGTGAGTACGGAGCGCGTCAAGTCCACGCAGGTATCCGGATATATCGTTGCTGCCCTGTTGTCCAAGTCGGCGTAGCTGACCGCTGCGCCGTGCGCCACTCCTGCCACGTGCTCAGGCTGCCGCCGCCGTTGGGCTCCGAGTCGAGCGGAAACGCGCGCACCTTTGGCTGTCACCGTGAGCGAGCTTGGCTCCCGCTGGCAGATGTCTACGACACCTCCATGGTGCGCGTCAGGCGGTGCCTGAAGTCCACGCATGAGGATGCGGAGCCCGACGAGGTGGGCGCACAGTGGAAGAGGCTGCGTCGGACGTCACGAAGACGCGCCAGTCCTGTCGCCACCGCCGCTGCTGCTGCTGCTACTCCGTCTGCTGGTAAGGTTGGTCGCAGTGCAACGTCTTCGCTTTGGAGAGTTTGTTGCCGTGCTGCGGCTGTGGCACCTCGCTACGAGCTGAAACGCTATATATTTCTCCTAGTCAAGCAGGAGTGAAACATATCGATCACATGCCGTAGCTAGGCTACATAATTCTGAAGTGCATGTACCTGTTACTTGTTGGTAAACTAATTTTACAAGATATGTGCTAATTGCCAACAGTGGAGTGTCGATGCTGAGAGTGTGAACGGAAACCAAACCAGGTGTGCACTGCTTTGACTAAAAAAACACCAGTCGCGAATGGGATACAATGCACGCACTGCAGCAACTGCATTTGGACTACTAGAAACATGAACAGCGTGTGCTATTGGAGATAATGAATCTTGCTGTCAAGAGAAGTAGGAAAGGGAGGCATGTTCGACTGCTGCGGCGACTCGTTCTACCTATCCGATACAGTGTAGTAGGTGATAGCCCATGTAAGCAGTGAATGCAATGCTTTTGAACACGATCTACTGCCAAAATACCTGTTGAGCCAAGGTAACCGGCCAAAATGCACACCCTTTCACGTAGATACAGCACCACGACATGTTGCTAGAGTAGGAAGCCGAACGGAGCACGAACCCAGTCATGCCAGGATCCAAAGCTGTGGCTGTTTGGTTCAGGTCTTTGATTCGGTCTCACAATCAGCATGTTCAAATCCTGGACCTGATCTGCATAAGAACCAAAATAAAGGCAACCGAAGCAAATTGGGTGGAACTGCCGCCAAAAGTCTGGGAGTCTGACCACAATCACTGGATACCCCTTGCTATTCAACTTGAAAGTTGCGTCGACATGCAAAATAAAGTTTTTTGCGTCTGCAAGGCGCCGAAGCGAAGGTTTCGTAGCGAAGCCAACAACCAGCGGATCATTCCCGTCGACACGGCCCAGAATGGGTTCGTTTTTTTTCGTCGTAGTCGAACCCAAATGCAAACGAAGTTGTATCGTCTAAACTCTCTCGGTAGCGGTGCTTGGACGCAAGCGCTACCATCTCGTCGATATAGTCATTGTCGTGCAGGGCAGTCCGCCGATAGGAACGGACACAGTTCTGAACGCTGCGTAGAAACTTCGTCTCATCCACGTCACGAAGTCCGAACGCGAGAACTAGGTCGTATTTTTATTTTTTGCTGGTCTTGTCCCCGCTTCCGCACCTTTGACTACGAAGCGCTTCATCATCAGGTTCAGCTTGTTCGGTCTTGGGGACGGAGGGGCTGCAGAGACGTGGGAACCGTGCTGTGATATTGTGCTCTCATCTGTCACCTCACACAATAGTACTTTGAGACGCCACGGGCACTCGCAGTGAGCCCTCGTTGAGTCGCATGTCCTCTTGCACGTCTCCGAAGCGCACTTGAAGACAATGTACCGCATGGGATGAATGTCAAAGTTCACAGGGCAAACCTGACAAATCTCCGGCTGACTTTTGTGCTTCACCCGGCATTTCTGCCCGTCCAGGGCTGTTCTTCTGTGTGATAAGCGAGAACGAAGCTCCACAAGTATGCAGCTCGCATCACCACCAAAGTCGAACCAGGAATGACCGCATGGCGAAGCGATGCCTGGCGGAGTTAAAAATATTAGGGCTGTTTCGTGCAGTGCTCGAAAGTGCACGATTCTCTTGAATTCGTGTGCGTCTGACCTCATTTTTGTATCAAAACTTTTGCGTTTCCTGCGCGCACACGAATTCTTTTTGCCCGCGACGACCTTTCCATACAAACTGCTGTTAAGCTGGTGGAAATGCAGAGTCGTTACGAATTCGTGTGCGTCAAACGCACAGAAAAACTACTTTGAACCTCGAAACTCAATACCACACAGGCGCATAACAACCGCAGTTTATACAGCCACAAGTTCGAGGCGACAGGCAGTAGTGCGTCGTCGCGCATTGCCTTTGTATAATGCAGCGTGAACCCGTGGCCAGGCAACCTGGCTACACCAGCGCCCATTAGGCTCCATATAACTCGTCCTCGTCCTCGGCAACTGCATCAACGACGTGACGTAAGACGAGCTGAATTATCTTTTGCTTATGTGCACGTGTGTTGGTGTTTCGACGCTAACCTACGCGTCTTGGCTCGATCTACGGCGATTTTCTCGAATCTCGTTCAATGCAGTAGACCATTTGAGCTGATCTTTGCGCCTTTGACGATTTTTTGGTGTTACATCGCTGATACGAAGCTTCGGAATAGCGCCTTGAAGCATTTCGCGAGCCTGCTGCACAGTTGGGGTTGATATCCAGCAGCCTCGCGGAACTTTGGCTTGTATCTCCATCATTATACACCGATAGGCTGAGAGCGTCTTCCGCTTCCCACAAGTGGAAAGGTCCTGCCACTGCAGGAAGCGATATGGACCAATTCGCCCAGATGGGTCACCACAGCACCAGTGCTCCCAAGCACACCTTAACGACATGCTGGGAATAGTAAAATCAGCAGGTGCTCGCGTCAATCTTGAGTTCGTAAGAGTCAGGTTTTGTGTAGCCATTTGGACTCCATCGTTATCATCTACATCTAGGCGGTCCTGAGATTCTTCTGTAGTGCAACCCAATGGCTGGGGTAAATGGCTTCGGACCGCTGCAACTAGCTCAGCTATTCCACAGTCATTAAGCGCCCGCGATATACTGGCATTAAGCTCTGTTGACGACAAAGAAGATCGACAACGGGACATTTCTTCTCTCATCAACTGCACCACAGTGGGCGCCAGCTCACTAACCGACAATGATAGCTGCTGTAGCTGCGCCGCTTGCTGCTCCATCGATGCCATCAAATGAACGTGCGGAGGTACACCAGTAGGCCTTATTCGATCTGATGGACGTGCCGTTCGGCAAACCACTTTCTGTTGCAACTGGGAAACTAGTCTGGTATTTCCGAAAAGCGCGTTGCGATACAATGGATGCTGCTCACTCAGCGTGGTTCTTGTAAAGCCATGCTACATAACGACATATTCCACGAACGTAGTCTTCTGGCCGATCACATTATGCTTGACTGCTTGTACCTGACTGGCGAGATCCGCAGCGTCCGGGTTCGTGAGCATGTCGGCATTCGGACCCGTGGTCAAGGTGGCGTCTGGGCTCGTGGGCATGTTGGCGTCTGGATTTGTGGTTGTGATGGCGTCTGGATTGATGAGCATGTCGGCGTACGGATCCATTAGTTTCCACCCGCTCTCGTCGAGAAGAATTAATAAAACGGCTGTAGGGCTCCTGCATTTGCATCTGCTATTATAGCGTGGGGTAGTTTACGGCCTGGCCAAGGACATTCTGCACCGGATCATCTTACTGTACTGTGGTACATGTAAGTACATGGTACAGTAGTGAGAATACGAACCTCGTCATCGATCACTTCACTGCGCCTTGTGGAACTTCCACAGTGGAAGAGCGGAGGAAAGCCTCCGTTCAACAAACAAAATGCTAACAATGTCACGACTCGGAGTTCGAAAGGATGGTGGATTTGCACATTTCACGGCAGCACTCTTTGCGTTTGTACGGTGTACTGTACGTATCTATAATACCCTCCCAAATTGGGAATTGGGAGTCCCAATTGTATTGTAATAGTCTCAACGGAAAACAACAACGTACGAATCGAGCAGCCCCATGACGAGCACTTCTTCAATAGGTTTTTTACCCAGGGGTAAAACCTTTGTTACGACTCACTATGAGACCCGCGCAATCTAGCTGTGTCGAGCTCGCCCGAGTCAAAATCAACTTCGCAAGGAACCATATTATGCTCCCGAGCTGCTCGTTCAGCGAACCAACGCGCAAGTCGCTGCACCAATAGCTGCGACGGATACTCGATCGAGTAGTACGACGCCGTCGCCAGTAGAACCGCCAGCCCAAACACCGCGAACATCTTGTCATAGTAGTCTGCCTGCTCCTGGATCAGCGGCGTGAAAATCACGAACACGTGCAGCAAATACACGGAGAAGCTGATCTTGCCCAAGTATCGAAGAGCTGTCCACTCAAAGATCATCGACACGCTGGACGGCTGCAGCATCTCGATGACAAGAATGAGGGACAAGTTGACGCTCGTGAACGGCATACTGTACCTGGTCGGACGCGGTAGTGGGATCCCCAACCAGTTGAAGAACAATCCACGGAAGACGACGCTGAGGTAGAGCGCAACCAATGTAGATTCCGCCACTCGAAGTCCAATGACGGGCAGCTTGCTGAAGTTAAACCCGGTCTTCTTGATCCATGCCTCCACCTTGACAAAGATAGCTGCGGTCATGGAACCCGCGGTGAATGTGGGCAGGTGTTTGCTCAATGGTTGATGGTGGAAGTTGTCTCGGGTAGAGTAAAGTCCCTCGTAAATGACCCAGGCGTAGAGCGGGATGAATAATACCCACCAGAAGCGACCCAGCTTGAGTACGGCAAACACGAACGTGGGTATAATGAAGTAGTACGCGATCTCAAGCGGAAGCGTCCACAGAACATAGTGCCGGTGTTCCGGGTGGAACGTGAGCGTCAGGAACAAGTTGAAGTCCTCGGGCTTTGTGATCCGATAGTAGCGGTTCTTGTACTCGAACGGCATCAGCCACAACACCAACGAGAGCAACGCAAACAGCGGGTAGACTCGGAAGAATCGCTTGGAGAAGTAGTCGGCCAGCGTCCACCCCCACTTGTGGTAGGACGCTTGCTCTTCCAGCAGCTTGATGCTTTTCTTCATGAAGATCATGGTCAGCAGGAATGAGGACAACACGAAGAAGGCGTCGACGCCCACGGCGCCCATGAAGAGGTCGCGCATGTAGCCAGCATGCTCCGTGACGACGAAGATGACTGCGGTTCCTCGCACGCCGTCGAGGAATAAAATCTTGGTAACGACTGGTGAAGGCGAAATATCGTGGGTTGTTGTGGAGGATATCACATCGTATTCAGGGTGGAGGCGGCATGGATGATCTTCTTTGGTCTGGATTAGCAGCTCCGTGTCGGATTCTTGCATTGTGGCGAGTGAATTGATCGGAAGTCGACAAATCGAGGAGTGAGATTCGACTACCGAGCATTGGTTGGTCAGATTTCGCGGGGATACAGTTCGTTCAGCCCTATCACAGAAGCAACCGCATTTTTTTTTGATAAATTGACGAGGAGGGTAACCATCTTGAAACATTGGTTGAGATGAAAGTGGACCTCCTAATCGACAAATGAACACCTTGAACCGCATGGACAGTTAACTTGAGTTGAGTATTGGGTTGTTAAGTTTGATATATCGGGAATTTGTTATTAACCTGAAACTTAACGATCAGATCGGTTTGACGTCTCATATCGTAGATATGATCGATCATAGCGTATGACCCCGGTGAAGTTCAAGTGCAAATTCAGTTCGATTTCGTATGTAGTTCTTCCCGCGCGCTTACACGACCCCAGCAGCGCCCTCCTTCCTCTCCAGTAGCATATCCGACGATTTCTCCGTCCCAGCTTCGTCGGACGAGTCGGTGTCGCTTTCCTCTGGAACCTTTTGGTGCTCGTGGGCTGCTCGTTCGCCAAACACTCGAGAGAGCCGCTGCGCCAGTAGCTGGGACGGATACTCGATCAGGTAGTACGACGCCGTGGCCAGCATGATCACGAGACCGAAGATGGAGAACGTCTTGTCGTAGTAATTGGTCTGCTGCTTGACCGATGGAGTAGCGATCACGAACACGTGCAGCAAATACACGGAGAAGCTGATCTTGCCCAAGTAGCGGAGAACGATCCACTCGAAGATCAACGACACAGTGGACGGCTGAATCATCTCGATCACGAACAGCAGCGACAACTTGACGCTCGTGAAGGGCATGATATAGTGTTGGGACGGTTGAAGCGGCATCCCCAACCAATTGAAGAACAGTCCACGGAAGACGACGCTGAGGTAGGCTGCGATCAAGACGGCTTCTACCACTCGCAGTCCGACGATATGCAACGTGTTGAATTTGAAACCCGTGCTCTTGATCCACGCCTCAAGCTTGACGAAGATGACGGCAGCCATGGATCCCGCGACGAACGTTGGAAGGTGCTGGCTCAGCGGCTGGCGGTAGAAGTTGTTTCGTGTCGTGTAGAGCCCCTCGTGGATGACCCAGACGTAGAGCGGGACGAACGCCATCCACCAGAAGCGACGCATCTTGAGCACCGCCAGTACAAACGCAGGTAGAATGAAGTAGTACGAGATCTCCAGTGGCAACGTCCACATGAGGTAGTGGCGGTGTTCCGGGTGAAAAGTGAGCGTCTGGAACAGGTTGAAGTCCTCAGGTCGGTTTACCATGTAGTACCGCTGTTTGTATTCAAACGGCATGAGCCACAGAGTGATCGCCACCAGCGCAAACAACGGGTACACGCGGAAGAACCGCTTGGAGAAGTAGTCGGCCAGCGTCCACCCCCACTTACGGTAGGACGCCTGCTCTGCGATGAGCTTGATGCTCTTCTTCATGAAGAGCATGGTCAGCAGGAACGAGGACAGCACGAAGAAGGCATCAACGCCCACGGCGCCCATGTAGACGTCGTGCATGTAGCCTGAGTGCTGCGTCACGACAAACACGACGGCGGCTCCTCGCACGCCATCGAGGAACAAAATCTTCGCTACCGGCGACGAAGATCGAGCGGATGGCGTGTTCTGTGGGAAACCTTGACCTGCTTCGGTGGTCTTCGGGTCGTCCTTGCCAGCAAGAACCAATCCACCTTGTTGTGAGCTCCCATGCTCCACTGCTTGGACGTTTATTGTCGTGTCTGGTTTCTGCCGAAGCATCTTAACGCGCTCGTGCCGGAATGGAATGGGAGGTTCAGTCCAGTGGGGGTGGAGGCGAAAACCCAAAGTGAGTTGTCGGCCTCGATGGCACGAAAGTTGACAGCCATGGGTGGATACACAACACGCAGTCTCGCAATCTATCCGTCCAAACAGCGGTGCGACGGGTGACATCAAGAAAACAGGAGGGATGGTAACCTGACTGAACATGTACAGATCTCCCCGGCAAATCAAGAATAGCGATGTCGAATGTACCTCGCAGAGCTAGTACAGCCATGCAGTCGAGATTTGCGCTTTCTAGATAATATGTACTGAGTCTAGTTAAAAGTGGAGGGAACATGTCCACCAGCGGGAAGCAACTGCAAGTTGCTAGTTAGCAGGAGTAAAATGAAAGGCTCAAAATGAACTTTAGATAAGTTATTGCTGCAGCAAGATGCGGTCATTACGGCATGCGGCAGGGGCGTCAGTGCCTTGCCCTGAACGATGGGGCAGTACGGACATTAGAACTCCCTAAATGACCGTCCCAGGCAGCAGTCTACGCGACGCGATGCTCCGCGAACAAGACAAATCATTCACTACATGTACAAGTACAAACACAAGAATATCGGCGATATTATATCGCCGACCCCCTTCAAATTGAAGTTCAATGGTGCCCTCTGCTTGAAAACTGAGCCGACGGTACAAGACGAGGGACGCTACTTTCCATTAATTGAGTAATTCAGTACATTGGCACTTCTGTCAAGCCCTTTGCAAGTTTCGCAACCTCGCAGTTTCTATTGGTCCGACCTTGCCGGGGCAGATTGTACAGCACAGGAACAGCACACGGATCATTTATCCGTGTGATCCAGTGCTGTACCGCAGCTAAAAATAATCAAAGCGCAATCACCGGCTGCTTTTCCTGCTTGTTTCAAGTTGACCTGGTGACGGCTACGGTTGCCGTCAGAACAAGTAAGTGCCGGCTTTGGCATGCTCGCGCACTTCGTACAATGGCAAGTTGATGTTTGATGAAGTTGATCTACAGGTATATTGTAAACTCTTCAGCACGCCTTTGACTAACCCCAAGATGACGTGCTCGCTTCAAGATGACGACCATTCCGCTTCCGGAATGTTCGCAGATTCGCGATTGCTGATGAGCTGGACAGAGGATACTTGCACCGGGTCAGCTCCAGTCGGTGCACGGTAAAAGAATAGGCTGACACTCTGTTTTTTGTCGAGAACATTTCCGTATGTTGGTTGGACGTTCCAACCAAGTTGGCAGTAAGTTGCTGCCACCAACCAACCAACCCAGTGAGCACCAGCACGAGCATGGGCCAAGTGGCCAAGTCTGGTCAATTTGGCCACAGAGTTGGAGGACTTGATCGCCAAGTCCTTGGGTCTAAGTGTCCTCACAGTAACACTACATATCACTTCGGTTCGAGAGCAAGCGGCTGAGCTGCACTAAATGCTGTATTCTGTATGTTACTGTACCATTGCGTGTAGTCTGAAGTAGCTACAGTACTGACAAAAGTGCTTCGAGGCGCTAAGCAACACACGCTGGATCTACTTTAATGTTTAGTGCCAACTACTTGTTACCACAACATGTTGCCTGCCGGGCTGCGCTTGGCTGGCCGCCCCCGCGCCAAGCAGTCTAGCGAGCCGAGTGCGCTGACAAGCTCGGTGCAGGGCCCCCCTCCGCAAATACCGCGTGCTTGTGTTGGCCCTGTGCGCACAACTCCCCCCAGCTAACACGCAAATGATACCATGATCTTAGCACACACGCACACCCTCTCCTAGCTAGCAGGGGCTTGCATTTCGACGGCCTCGCACCTGCCGACGTCCGCTTGCCTCCTTCTCGTCCTTTTCGCAAATGAAGGAGTTTCTTCACCGATTTTGGAGTGTTGAACGTCAAATCACCAGCTGTAGCTCTAAGCACATCTCAAGATCTCTTACTGGCTGGCCCGGTGCAAGCAGCCACTATCGATGAGCTGTCCCTTTGTATCCCGATAGAACTGCCTGCTTGCAGCCTGCAACGATCGCGATCATGATCTTGCAATGCAGGGTCATGATCATCGGAATTTTTTTTTACCCATACGGTGCGGTACCCCCTGTTCAAGCTTACCGTACGGTATTACATACTACGTTAGTACTCTATGTGCCCTACAAAAAGTATTGCTGCAATGATTGACTCGCATTTTGGAAAATTGTAAAAATAAAGGTTTACTGTAGTAACGTTTCGGCTTCGGCAGCACAAGCGAGTCGTACGGTACGGTGAATTTCCCATCCACCCGTTGGAAGTTCCAACATGGGAACGCCCGCCCGCAATGGGACAGTTCCTGATGTCTGTGCGAAGGATTGGATTATTGGTGGCTCACCGGATGCGGTGCATGCACAGGCATCAACAAACTAGGCACTTGGTACATAAACAATCCAAAGTACCTAGATGGAGTTTTCAAAATGTCCTTGTTTAAGAGAATGGCTTCAGGCTCGGTTCTATAGTAAATAGTGGTCCATTGATGGTTATGTCGTTGGTACATGTATTTCTCGGTGCTTTTATCTTATCTAGCGCAGTAGCAACTGGGCTAGAACTACTAGAACCACTCATTCCGTCGCCGCTACAATAACCACTGCCACCACCCTCCTCCCGTTACTTTCGTCACTATGCCTTCAAGCTTCGCGCCAATATAATTCGTGCTAGCTCGACCTCCCTCTGCTCTGTGCATTTGGCACGCCAATGAGGCTCTCATACATGACAGCGCATTCCGCGGCAGCCGTACCTGCCAAATTATGAGATGGGGCTGGGTCGACCAGGCAATCGTAACAGACCAATATACCAAAGTAAGTATTTTAAACTAGGGCTCCGCGAAGGATAGGATAGGAGGTTTTTGGTATTATCGCTTTCTATTGTTATGAGTTTTTTTACGAACCACGGGCATCTCCTGCGCCTGCTTCGCAGCCGCAGCGTCTGCCCGGTAATTCACCTCAAAACTGTAGATACATGATATGCCTTGGCGGTGCTTATACACAGTGATAAAACGAACCTTGCTCGAGATCTGTTTGTAGCTTGTAGAAAATGAAAATGTTTACCTTTGTATGCTTCTGCCCGCTTCAATCATTCATTTTACTTCACTCCTATTATTCGATATATGTTACTGACTCATACCGGTTCAATCTGCCCACGCATATAAACCTTTTGGAACCGCGGCCATACCGGTGTGATGGGAATCCTACCAGTTCAGCTTCCCCACGCATATAAACCTTCAGTGCGGCACCGGGGTCACACCGGTTTCAGGACAATGTTCCAGTTAGGTGTCAAGAGGGGTCACCTTTTGACTTGACGTACCACGGATATAATCCTATTTGGTCTGCGATAGCAGCACTAACGTTGCTTCCTATCCCAGTACGAAGCCGTGCTTTGCACGGGGAAGCTCTGGATTTTCGAGTTTTTTTTTCATTTTTTATTTACATCTACTGTGCTTTGCAGACTTTTGGCACTTCGGACTGTAACTATCGAGCACGAATTATTGATAAATCGTACTCGAGTACGAATTGCTGAAGTCGTGGATGGTCAATCAGCACTAAGTAGTGCGCATACGCCATCTCCTGCATGATTTAGCACATCCAGCACCTTTTGGCACTTTTAGAAAGTGCAATTTCCGAACCAAACCGGGTTCGAGACACGACTTAGCAACTCGCATTCAAGGCCACTATGATTTACCGCTAAGTACGAACACTAAGTAGTGCACTACATAGAAAGGCAAACTGGATGCAAAGCACAATACTTGGATCGCACACTGCTGTCTACAGGGCCGCTCGCTTGATATGGGTCATGATGTTTTGATGAACGTTTACAGATACAGTATTGCCCCACTTGTGTTATTCACTAAACTTTGTCTTCAATAAATTTAATAAAGTTAAAGGGATTGTAGTTTTCATCAAGCGCACGTACAGTTGGCGTTTGTAGTAGGTGGTGGCTTTCTTGATCGACGTCTTTGGCAAAGACTCTTTGCTCAATGAAGCCCCCCAGTTTCGCCGGTTGTGCCTTGTCGATCGTTTAGATTGCTCGTATGTGATCCCGCAAACTGATTATCACGCGGTGTTTGAGGTGTAAACCACTCACTACCAATAGGAACAAACCGGAGAGCACGCCAAGCAAGGTATCATTAAACATGGTATTGACTTGACATGGTGTTCTGCTGCGTTTCGACTCGTCGATCTTAATATTTAAAGGGTTAACGCGAGACTCTGATTTGTTTAACACAATTATATAAAACATGATCATGGTTATTATTAATCTGTTGGAAGGGTGGGGGCGTCGGCCTGTATCGTACAGGTTGTAGTGAAGGCTCCACTGCAGCGTGTTCATTTACAATACAACTCATCAGAGCAACGCGATTGAGATCCTCCAACACTAGTCATTGGGCGAAAGCCCCATGATGGCGAGCTTACTTGCAGTGTTTCCGGCGTCCTTGCCGCTCAAATTTTTACATGAGGGCATGCTAGCAAAATGCACGTATATGTTGGTGTGCTGATGAGGCATTCATCTCACTTATACTAAGTATCACTTCTGCTATTTGCTTCCACAGTTTAGCAAAGATCCTGCTACGGTTTCCGAGCTTCGTTTCCTTTGGTAAGTAGACCTCTAGTATTTAATACTCTCGTATGTGATATTACAGGTACATATGGTCGAGTGAGTGAGTTTCATGACCATCATTATTGTGAATTCCGGCCAAATTTTCCAAATCGCGGCGGTTTGGAGACCCCGCTCCAATCGCCAAATACAAAACTCAAGTCATTTGCTCAATCTCCGGGCCCAAACCATATGGTCCAAGTGCCCATATGTCAAGACCAATTCGTACTTAAATGGGTGCCTATAACCAATCCTAGTGGCCACGGAGATTGGCCGGAGATTTATTTGGCTTGGGCGGCGCCCGCGGAAATTTCGAACAGAACACACAATATGTTCGATGTGTATTGAGGCACAAGCAACATTCAGTTTTGTCGTGAAATGATTGCGTCGGTTTAACGCAAACATAAATCTATTATGGTGCTATCATTTCAAAATTGGTAGGGTTTTTGGGATTCACCCAACAACTCTGGATTAAAATCCAGAGAATAATAAACTAACTACATGTAGCCTGGCAATCGACTTATTATCAAATCTTCGTTACCTTACATTGGCTTGTGGATACCACAGAACGAGCAAGGAGCAGCTACACTGTACCTGCGCTCTGTCGCGCATCATGGAATTTATCACATATTATGGGTAACAACAGCTCTCTAGCTTGGTGGACCTGGCATCTGACACCTTCTCGTGGCTGTAGGATGCGAGTCTGTTGATTGTACGCGAAAGTCGCTGCGCCAATAGCTGCGATGGGTACTCGATCGTGTAGTATGATACCGTCGCCAACAAATCGTCAGACCGAACACCTCGAACGTCTTGTCATAGTAGTTGGTCTCCAGCTTGACCGACGGAGTAGCGATCACGAACACGTGCAGCAAATACGCGGAGAAGCTGATCTTGCCCAAGTAGCGGAGAACGATCCACTCGAAGATCAACGACACAGTGGACAGCTGAATCATCTCGATCACGAACAGCAGCGACAACTTGACGCTCGTGAAGGGCATGATATAGTGTTGGGACGGTTGAAGCGGCATCCCCAACCAATTGAAGAACAGTCCACGGAAGACGACGCTGAGGTAGGCTGCGATCAAGACGGCTTCTACCACTCGCAGTCCGACGATATGCAACGTGTTGAATTTGAAACCCGTGCTCTTGATCCACGCCTCAAGCTTGACGAAGATGACGGCAGCCATGGGCCCCGCGACGAACGTCGGGAGATGCTTGCTCAACGGTTGGCGAGGATAATTATCCCTTGTCGTGTAGAGTCCTTCGTGAATAGCCCAGACGTAGAGCGGAAGGAACGCCATCCACCAGAAGCGACGCATCTCGAGCACCGCCAGTACGAACACGGGTAGAATGAAGTAGTACGAGATCTCCAGCGGCAACGTCCACATGAGGTAGTGACGGTGTTCCGGGTGAAAAGTGAGCGTCTGGAACAGGTTGAAGTCCTCAGGTCGGTTTACCTTGTAGTACCGCTGTTTGTATTCAAACGGCATGAACCACAGAGTGATCGCCACCAGTGCAAACAACGGGTACACGCGGAAGAACCGCTTGGAGAAGTAGTCGGCCAGCGTCCACCCCCACTTACGGTAGGACGCCTGCTCTGCGATGAGCTTGATGCTCTTCTTCATGAAGAGCATGGTCAGCAGGAAGGACGACAGCACGAAGAAGGCGTCGACACCAAACGCGCCCATGTAGACGTCGTGCATGTATCCTGTGTGTTGCGTGACGACAAACACGACGGCAACGCCACGAACGCCATCAAGGAACAAAATCTTCGCCACCGGCGACGCTGCCGGGTCATTCTGTGGGAATCCTTCGGTCGCTTCGGTCGTCTTTAGCTCCGGGTTCTTCGATCCATTTTTGAGTGAGACTCCATCTTCCACCACTTCGAGGCGCACGACAGCGTCCGTCATTGCAGCTTTCGGAGGCAAGTCGAGGAATGCGCTCTTCCTCCTCCACTCCACCGTCGCAGCCGTGAACTCTTGGTAAGTAATCGCGGCTATTCCACAAAACGACGGGTCGCGAGCAAGTGTCTGCCAAGGGTCGCCTTCAAGGATCTCCGGGCCCTTGGCCTTCCTGGGGGGAATCCTCCCTCGGGAGTGCAGGAAACGCTGACTTTAAAGCTGCTTGCAGCTCCTCCATATAAAAACAGGGATGTTCTTCAATATTGTAGACGTAGTTTAGTACGATAGATCGCCAACGCATGTCAATCAAAGCAATCAGACAAAGCGAGCGAGTTAGAATTAGAATGTCAGGGCCGTAGTATTGTCGGATACACTCCAGCCATTCAACGAAAGTGAGCATAACTCAACGTTAACTCGTTGTCTTAGCAGCTATTTTATCTAAAATCGACGAGTTAGCTCCTAACTCAATGATGGGCTAATCACCGTGATTTGCTAAAACAACGAATTACGTCGTTGTTTAGACAGAAAGCATGCAAGGCACAACACTAGTAAGTGACAATACAGTCTTCAAGAAAAAAAATAATCGAAGATGGTAAGATTTGCCGTGACGGCGCGTCCGATGACTCATCGGCGATGAGGCAACGTCTCTAGGTCTTGTGCGTGTTGAATCACATGTAGTATATGATGTACCCTGTGTAGGCCGCAGGTTGTGGGGCTAGAGCACACGTTAGAACGCACAAAAGGAAGCAGAGCAGGTCAAGGCGACACTTTCAAAGCTGTTGAGGAGACGAAAGGCGTTCCTTACGTGCACTGAGCAATGCTGGAGGATTGTAAGATGCTCGACCTCTAATCAACTCATAATACGCCACTGGGCGTAGACTAACAGCTACCGGTAATTAAGCATCCGGGGTCATGGTGGCACTGGGTCAACCACGCCTCCGTTAGGGCTGCTACGTGTATCCGGATATGGTACACGTACTGCAGCAGCTAGAACACAATGGGCACAAGGATCTGACCACCGTTGTTCGTTGTTAGTCAGCCCGACAGTGGAAAAACTATCCCAGTCAGCAAAACGTCAAAGAGACAAGGGTATGCGCACGGAGAGCAGTCTACTAACTCATGAGTCATGATGTCGTATATCCAATGAGGCAGCCCTCCAGGTACAAAATGCCGACAACAAAGTGCATTCTTTTACAAGGACAAACTCACACTACGAACCGAAACCTATCGTCAATTCGCCTCAACTCAACGCATAGCCATCGCACTCACTGCACGCCGCGGAAGAGCATCAGCTCGGCCAGCTCCTGCTTGCCCGAGACGTGGTCCGGCTCGCCCGCCTCCTTGGCGTACGCCGCCACCTCCTCCAGCGTGGCGCGGCCGTCCTCGATGCGCTCGCCCAGCGCGCTCTTCCACGACGCGTAGCGCTGCTTGACCATCTCGCCCAGCTCGTTCTTCTCCAGCAGCTTGGCCGCCTGGCGCAGGCCGCGCGCGAAGCAGTCCATGGAGCCGATGTGCGCAATGAAGATGTCCTCGAGGTCCGTGGACTCGCGGCGCACCTTGGCGTCGAAGTTGAGCCCCCCGGGCGCGAGGCCGCCGATCTCGACGATCTTCTTCATGACGAGCACGGCCTTCTTCTCGTCCATGAGGAACTGGTCCGTGTCCCAGCCCACGAGTGGGTCGCCCGTGTTGCAGTCGACGGAGCCCAGCATCTTGTAGCTGGCGGCGTAGTAGATGTCGTGCTCGTAGTCGTGGCCCGCGAGCGTCGTGTGGTTAGGCTCGACGTTGAGCTTGAAGTCGTGCTGCAGGCCATACGTGTGCAGAAAGGCGATGACCGTGGCGGCGTCGTAGTCGTACTGGTGCTTCATGGGCTCGCGCGGCTTGGGCTCGACGAGGAACTGGAAGGTCGCGCCCAGCTCCTTCTTGTAGGCCACCACGAGCTTGAAGAAGGCGGCCATGTGGTCCAGCTCCATCTTCATGTCGGTGTTGAGGATGCTCTGGAAGCCCTCGCGGCCGCCCCAGAAGACGAAGTTCTGGCCGCCCAGCTTGAGCGTGATCTCCATGGCCTTCTTGACGCGCGCCGCCGCGTGCGCGAACACCTTCATGTCGGGGTTGGTGCTGGCGCCGTTCATGAAGCGGCGGTGGCCGAAGAGGTTGGTGGTGCCCCAGAGGCACTTGACGCCCGTCTGGTTCTGCTTCTCGAGCAGGTAGTCCGAGATGTCGTCCAGCAGGCTCTGGGACTCGTCGAGGCTCGCGCCCTCGGACACGAGGTCCACGTCGTGGAACGTGTAGTACTTGACGCCGAGCTTGGTGAACATCTCGAAGGCGGCGTCGGCCTTGCACTTGGCGGCCTCGAGCAGGCGCTCGCGCGGCGACAGGTTGGCTCCGTCATCGGCGTTCCACGCGCGGTTCGTGTACGTCTCGCTGCCGAACGGGTCGCCGCCCGTGTTGCCGAACGTGTGCCAGTAGCAGACGGCGAAGCGGCACCACTCCTCCATGGTCTTGCCCAGGATCACCTCGGACGCGTTGTACTCGCGGAAGGCGAGCGCGCTCTTGGTGTTCTGGCCCTCGAACGTCACCTTGGGCACGGTGGGGAAGTACTCCTTCACTTGGTGCTGCACCATCGTCGCTTGCTGGTGTGGAGAGCGGTTGGTTGGCGGGTTGGTTGGTTGGTTGGTTGGGTTGCTTGCGCAGACGCTTGAGTGAGTCTGTGTAGTGCTCGGCGGATTCGCGAATGAGCCGAGACGCAGACCTGTGAGTTGAGATCGGATCGGGTGAGCTCGCGGGCGCTTGGAGGACTCGTCCAGGCGTTGGCTCCTGCGGTCAACGGCGAGTTCTGACTGGCTGGCAACTTCAAGGTCTCGGCTCGTAAAACCCGGTGATCGGTCGGTTTTCGGTAATCAGATGGTCATCATCTCGGTGTCGTTGAAGCTGCGTCAAGATCCTCGCCGGCCCGCCGACAACGGTGGCAGGAATCCTGCCGCAGGATGCATGTACAGTGTATTGTTGTGCTGCATGTACTATTGCTCGTACGGTATCCTATAGGGCTGTTTATGGAGCCGCAAAGATGGCGTGGACGAGCCTAGCGTCGACAGAGGTGCTAGTGGCGTCACAGTGCGGCCTGAGCTGGTTCCGCTTGCTGTTGCTATGCAGCTGGGTGCTACGTTGATGGCACGGTGCTATCCTAGCACTGCTCGGGTCTCCACTCGAGATAATGCAATGACGACCAAATGATGGCTCCGCGAATGCTTGCAGCAGTTGGGATGTCGTGAACCCAGTGCGTACAGCTCCATGGGCAATGCTACCGGTAGTCCAACCAGCCCATGACCACCTCTCTTGGTAGTGTAATGCGATGGACGGTTCTGTGAGCGCCTCGACTAATGCCAGTTTGTACAAGTGCGCGGAGATAATGCAATGACGAGCAAATGATTATCTTGGAGATGAGTCAACGTCGCCAATTGACAGTGACCTGCACCGGTAAATGCGTGTTGTACCCACATCGAGAGGTGCAAGTAGTGTAACCACAGCAATTGCAGTCCAATGGAGGGCACGTTGTCTAGGTAACATGTTAAAGCTGTGCTGCTCCAACCTGCAATTGATGACATCGCGTGGGTTTGTGCTCCGTGGCGTAGTTTGAAGGCACTACAGTATTAGTGTATTAGAAAATGTTTAGCAATTTGTACGTGTACTGTACCAACATACTTGGTGCAGGGCTAGACAAGCCGGCCTACATGGGCAATACCATATACTGCACAAGTCTTTAAAAGGCCGCCAGCCTCAAATGCTATGGAAAAAAAAAACTTACCACAAAGAGGACGCCGAATGAATTCTCTCGATTCGTCAATGACATCGCTGTCGCCTACATGCTGCTGTAATCAAATGTCGGTGATTGCATTCCCTCCAAGCTGGTAATCTATTCCGCTGATCCAATTTTTAGGCGTCATCCGCTCCAAGTACTGTAACCTGTGAGGCTCGCATAGTGTTAGCTCATACTGCATAATACCATCCAGTAGACAGCTCACGCATGTATCACCAATCCAAAATACTAGAGCAGATGAATGCGGAGGCTATGGAATAGCTACCGGTGCATGTAGTTGAGTGCACGATGCCTACATTCCGCGGACCAAAATGGCAGTCAATAATAGCCAAACTATCCAACCGGCATCATATGCTCGTCATTGCATTATCTCCAGCAGTGGCCCTAGCAGTGCTAAACTAGCACCGTGCCATCAACGTAGCACCCAACTGCATAACAGCAAGCCGAACCAGCTCAGACCGCACTGGTGACACCACCACCTCCGTCGGCAGAATAATAGTCAAGCCCACGCCATCTTTGCGGCTCCATGAACGGCCCCATCAGTAGACTACAGTACATGTATCATACGCTACAGGCAATAGGTACGTGCATGTGGTACGATGTGCAGGCAGAGGTGTTGAGTAGGAAGCAGTAGCAACGAGATCAATGAAGACACGAGTCTTTCCCACGGAGTACTTTGGGGTTAAGGAGGAGAAAACCTCGTAGATGACAACCCCCTTTGTGTTAGGCTGAGACTAGACGCTAGAGAAAAGTACCCAACTGCAACAGCACGGTCCCAGTAGTCTGTCAATATGGAAGCAGGAACACGACCTTCGCCACACTCCCACTTCGTGTTGCTGGTGACCATCCTTGCCTTTCAATCTCGACCTTCTTCATCAGTCCTCGCACGCTTGCGCTTGCCAGACACAGGTCGCTTGTCAGGCATTGGTTCAACGTTCAAAAGCTGTCGCAGTCTTCTGAACTGCGTGGGGCCAAGCGGTTTCGTCAAAATGTCTGCCAGCATTTCCTCAGATGGGCACTACTCCAAAGCAAATTCACCCTTCTCATAGTAGTCACGAATCTTGTGATACTTGAGATCAACGCCCTTCACCTTGAAGTCTCCGGTGTTTGCTTTGATGACAGCAATTGCCGCTTGATTGTCATCATACAAACTGTCTGCTTGCGACACAGTCCAAGCTCTTTGCACAGATTGTGTGTCCACTTGATCATTGTAGAACACTCTGCAGCAGCTACAAATTCAGAACTGCACGTATCGTCCGTGATCAGCCGCTGCTTGTGGCTCGAGTACGCGTACGTACATCCCTCCATTTGCAGCACGTATCCAGTAATTGAACGGCGATCATCCTTCTCATTTCCTAGATCAGCGTCCGCAAAAGCCACGATCTGTACTTCCGGCTTCGTAGGTCTCCACGCATCTACATACGCATCGATCTGCATCCTCTGCTCTGTGGTCTTCTTCTTCGTCGTCCACACGAGGCCGTAGTCCGTCCCGCGTAGATAACGCAGCACCCTCTTCGCTAACACATGATGCTCTCGAGTAAAGCAATTGAGGTACTTCCCCAGTGTTCGTACCGCGTTGGATATATTTGGGCGTGTGCACTGCACCAGATATTGTAGAGAGCCAACAATCTGTCGGTAGTCCACCTCTGGATCCGGATTGATACAGACATGTTCGCGCTCCGGGTCTCCAGGCATAGGAAATTTACCCTTCACTTGAGGCGTAGGAACAGGCTTGCACTTGTCCATCTTGCAGCGAGCAAGAATCTTTTCCGTGTAGCCCTTCTGTGAAATCATCAACACGTGCCCCGGCACATACGTGATCTCCATTCCTAGCAAATGCTTCACCTCACCGAGATCCTTAATCTTAAATTCACTGCTGAGCTCACCCAGCACCATCTCAATGTCGGTCTCAGTACCAACAACCAGAAGATCGTCAACGTAGACAGTCACAAACACTTTGTTCTCTCCCACTGTCCTAACATATACACCAGCGGCCATCTTCGTGCGTTTGAAACCACACTTCCGCAGGTACTCGTCGAGCATCTTGTACCAGATCCGTGGCGCTTGCCTCAAGCCATACAGACTCTGCTCGAGCTTGCACACGCGACCTGTACCGTCATTGAAGTAGTCCAGTTGCTCCATGTAGATGTCGACACCATCCAGCGGTCCATTCAGAAATGCAGTTACAAAGTCCACTTGGCGGCACAACAGACCCAGCTCCAATGCTAGGAGGAGGATAAACCTCACAGACTCAGCCTTTGCTACTGGAGCGTACGTCTCCCAGAAGTTGATGCCATATTCCTGTTGGCAACCCTTGATAGTGATCCGCGTCCGATACCTGCACACTTCACCTTGTGCATTTCTTTTCCGAACGAAGACCCACTTGTTCTTCAGGATCTTAACTCCATCAGGCCGGTCCACCAACTCCCAAACATGGTTCCTCAGTAGCTCCTTGTACTCCGTGTCGAGAGCATCAACCCACTCTTTCGCATCAGGGGCGCTTAGAGCTTCCTCCACTGAGTTCGGCTCGAGCAGCTCATTCACGACCTGAATCACAAGGCTTGTCGGGATATCAACCTCGTAGTCATGCAACCTCACATTCTGCTGCCGAACACGAGTTGATCTTCGAAACGATGCACTTGGATTATTTGCTGCTTCATCATCATCCTCTCTATCTCCCCCCACGAAGCGGGAAATATTTTGCATCGGTTCTCCATTTCCAATTGCAGTCTCAGTGGCTTCATCATCATCATCAAAGTCACTGTCACTTATCTCCATGCGATCCCCATCTGAATTCCTGAGAGCTAGTGGACTCGCTAAAGGTACAGAGACTCTGCGGTTAGACAGATCCCCATCGACCTCATTCGGTGCTGAACCACTGCTGTTAGACAGGGCCACGCCACCGTTAGCTCAAACTCCACCGTCTCCATCAGTATCCAGTTGGTCACGCAGAGATCTCCATACGCGTAGTCCGCGCGCACGCGACGATCGAACCTCAGCCTCTGCTGATCCCGACGGATTCGCGCTCAACGTTCCGCTCGGAGGCACGCTTGCCAACGCAGGCTCGCCAACAGCGTTCGGAGCATCGACCACAGTACTTGAGTCACGATCCCTAAGATCCTCACTGCAATGTCGTTTTCCACTGGGCTCAGCTTCCGACGCCATGCCAAAAGACATTGAAGCACTCGGTGCAGTTAAATCACCCAGTCGAACGTATGGAAGCTTTGACGGGAGCTTGTATTTACCGCGTGAAAATCGGTTGAGCAGAAGCTTCTCCACGTAGCTGCGCTCCACCGTCCAGTCTTCCGCGAACTCGACCGTCCTTAGCTCTTGAACATTGCCCGAACGCAAATCCAGCACACGATAACTGATAGAGTTCTTTGCGTAGCCTAGGAAGATGCACGGCTTCCCTGGATTCTCCAGCTTACTCTTGCGCAACACTTTTTGCGTGAAAGCAAAAGCCAAACAACCCCACGTACGCAAATTAGAAAGCTCTGGTCGCTCACCAAAGCGCCGTGTGTATGGAGTTTCACCCGCCAATGCACTGCTCGGACTAATATTCAGCACCTCAAGAGCAAATGCGAACGCCTCTCCCCACAAAAGGATAGGCATGTCCACCATCGTTAGCAAACTCCTCACTCGAGACATCACAACCCCATTCATATGCTCCACTAACCCATTCTCCTCTGGGCTGTAAGCATTAGTTGACGTCCACTCAATTCCACGAGCTCTCAAAAATGCCTTCAAGTCGTTATTCAGGAGTTCGCGTCCCTTGTCGGACCCAATTACTTCAATTCTGTGTCCTTGAGCCAGCAGCCACGCGACATACTTGATCACCACATCGTCAGACTGGTCTTTCCTTTTCAACAGGAATCCCCACACATAACGCGTTGCTTCGTCTTGTACGAGCTGAAAGTGCTTGAAGCCATCGTAGGTCAGCTCATTGACGTAGCACATGTCGGACATGAGTTTCTGGTAGGGCCTTTTGGATCGTGAAGTCTTCACTTTCTTGTAAGATATTCGCTTCATCCGCGATTGCACGCACGTCCAACAATGATCCGGAGGTACACAGCCACTCCCTGCAACATCCATGCCTTTCACAGTTTTATTTCTAGACATTTCTTGCAGAGCTCCAAAATTCAGATGTCCTAGTCGAGCGTGCCATCGAACAAGAGCTTGCTCATTCTCGCGCGTCACTGCGTCAATCCTCTGTTTCGGAATGACCGTGGACTGCAATCGATATCGGCCGCGAGTTTTTACCAGCTTGAGCAGTTGATTCCCTTTACGAAGCCATGCACTTGTGTGGTTCTCGGGCTTGACAAAGTCCCAGCCAGCTTGCTCCAACTTGTCCAGACTAAGCAAGTTGTTTGTTCCACTTGGAGTGTGCAGCACATTCGAGAGACAGAGCTTTGCCGCTTCATCGGGCTGGTTTTCATTCTTCACTCGAATTTCCACCTCACCAACCACGCCTCTGTTCCGAGATGGCTTGCCTTCCCAGTCGAACACTAGTGGGCCATCATCTTGGCGCACATCAGAAAGCAACTCCTCGTGAATACACACATGACAGTCACTAGCAGAATCAAGAACCCACTCCAATTTGGTGTTCATCGAATTCTGCGTAGCTACAGTCTCTCTAAGTCAGAATCACCACGAGAAATCATGTCAATTGTTCTCTGGTTACCACCACTTCTTCCACCACTTGCTCCAGAATTGCCCTTACTGTGCCAGCGTTTGCGTTCTGGAAGCTGTGAATCTGATTCGTCATCGTTGCGTCTCGGACGAGGGCAGTTTGTCTGAATGTGCCCAGTTTGATGGCAGTTCCAGCACTCTCGTTTGTCTTCTTTCTCATTCTTCTTGCCGCCTTGTTTTCCTCTGGGACCACCTGCATTCCGGACTGGATTAGCCTTGGCCTTGTATCGACCTCGACTACGCGTTTTTCCTTTGCCTGGTTGCTGACTAGGCTGCTTTCCCTGCTTCTTGCCAGCTTCGGCGGACGAGATGTCGTTGTCATGCGGCTCTTCACTCCTTGCATCAAGTTCCGACTCGGCGCGAAGAGCGTCCATGACTTGGGCAGCTGAAGGAGTTGCACTCTTATGCCCCGGGTCATAATGCCGCGAGAACTGACGGACGACGTCTCGATGCGTTTGCACCACATTCCCCAAGATAATCTCTGCGAATTCCTCATCAGAAACACCTCGCTTATAGTGCACTAGGTCATGACGTAAGAGCTGCATTTCTCGTAGCCAGTCATCCATATTTCGATCAGGAGTAAATGGGTTCGCCACTAGTCGCTGTCGAGCGAAGATATAGTTCGCATATTCTCTCTTGGTCTGCTTGTCCACAAAAGCTGTCCACATTTCCTGGGCGCTCTGCTCGTGACAAATGAGCTCAGCGTCTGCTTTCGGAACACCTCGGAGAATTGCACCACGAGCTAAATTGTTCATTCTGCAAAACTGTGCATCACTCACAGTCGCACGCACAGCTGCAGCATCTTCAACAACACCCCAAAGCTCCAAATTGACCAGAAACGTCTTCAATTCTTCTGCATACAAGTCAAAGCTACCTTGCATCACAGGAGCCTTGTTGTCCATCTTCGTCCCGTACCAGCTGCCAGTATACTGCGGAGGAGCCATTAATGGCGAAGTCATCAACCCATACGCCGGAGGAGGCGACCACATCGAAGCCGCAGACATCGCTGTAGGAGATGGATTTCCAGCCAATCCATAGCTGCCAACCAGTCCTGGAAACATAAATCCTCCACTCATGACACCAGCCAATCCACTAGCACCCACAGATCTACCGATACTCGTAGCTGCACTAGTACCAGCACTCACAAATCCACTAGTACCACAACTCACTCTGCCAACAGCAGCGCTTCCAATCGCACGAGCCGTTGCACTCAGGTTCACCGTCGACACCCCAGTAGAAGCCACAGTACTGGGAGGCACGTTCACTACCACGAAGCCTTGCGAAGATCCGCCGCCTTGTCCGGTCGACGCACCAACTGGCGCACTTGACGCTGGACTTGTTCCCGACATGCTTCCTTCTCTCAAGGCTCACGAAAAAAGTCCGTAGAGCTTCAAAGCTTTGGGCTCATAACCTGGCACGATGCACAGGCAGAGGTGTTGAGTAGGAGGCAGTAGCAACGAGATCAATGAAGACACGAGTCTTTCCCACGGAGTACTTTGGGATTAAGGAGGAGAAAACCTCGTAGGTGACAACCCCCTTTGTGTTAGGCTGAGACTAGACGCTTGAGAAAAGTACCCAACTGCAACAGCACGGTCCCAGTAGTCTGTCAATATGGAAGCAGGAACACGACCTTCGCCACAGCATGTATCCTGCCACCGTTGTCGGCGGGCCGGCGAGGATCTTGACGCAGCTTCAACGACACCGAGATGATGACCATCTGATTACCGAAAACCGACCGATCACCGGGTTTTACGAGCCGAGACCTTGAAGTTGCCAGCCAGTCAGAACTCGCCGTTGACCGCAGGAGCCAACGCCTCGAGTACAACGCGTCCGAGGTGATCCTGGGCAAGACCATGGAGGAGTGGTGCCGCTTCGCCGTCTGCTACTGGCACACGTTCGGCAACACGGGCGGCGACCCGTTCGGCAGCGAGACGTACACGAACCGCGCGTGGAACGCCGATGACGGAGCCAACCTGTCGCCGCGCGAGCGCCTGCTCGAGGCCGCCAAGTGCAAGGCCGACGCCGCCTTCGAGATGTTCACCAAGCTCGGCGTCAAGTACTACACGTTCCACGACGTGGACCTCGTGTCCGAGGGCGCGAGCCTCGACGAGTCCCAGAGCCTGCTGGACGACATCTCGGACTACCTGCTCGAGAAGCAGAACCAGACGGGCGTCAAGTGCCTCTGGGGCACCACCAACCTCTTCGGCCACCGCCGCTTCATGAACGGCGCCAGCACCAACCCCGACATGAAGGTGTTCGCGCACGCGGCGGCGCGCGTCAAGAAGGCCATGGAGATCACGCTCAAGCTGGGCGGCCAGAACTTCGTCTTCTGGGGCGGCCGCGAGGGCTTCCAGAGCATCCTCAACACCGACATGAAGATGGAGCTGGACCACATGGCCGCCTTCTTCAAGCTCGTGGTGGCCTACAAGAAGGAGCTGGGCGCGACCTTCCAGTTCCTCGTCGAGCCCAAGCCGCGCGAGCCCATGAAGCACCAGTACGACTACGACGCCGCCACGGTCATCGCCTTTCTGCACACGTATGGCCTGCAGCACGACTTCAAGCTCAACGTCGAGCCTAACCACACGACGCTCGCGGGCCACGACTACGAGCACGACATCTACTACGCCGCCAGCTACAAGATGCTGGGCTCCGTCGACTGCAACACGGGCGACCCACTCGTGGGCTGGGACACGGACCAGTTCCTCATGGACGAGAAGAAGGCCGTGCTCGTCATGAAGAAGATCGTCGAGATCGGCGGCCTCGCGCCCGGGGGGCTCAACTTCGACGCCAAGGTGCGCCGCGAGTCCACGGACCTCGAGGACATCTTCATTGCGCACATCGGCTCCATGGACTGCTTCGCGCGCGGCCTGCGCCAGGCGGCCAAGCTGCTGGAGAAGAACGAGCTGGGCGAGATGGTCAAGCAGCGCTACGCGTCGTGGAAGAGCGCGCTGGGCGAGCGCATCGAGGACGGCCGCGCCACGCTGGAGGAGGTGGCGGCGTACGCCAAGGAGGCGGGCGAGCCGGACCACGTCTCGGGCAAGCAGGAGCTGGCCGAGCTGATGCTCTTCCGCGGCGTGCAGTGAGTGCGATGGCTATGCGTTGAGTTGAGGCGAATTGACGATAGGTTTCGGTTCGTAGTGTGAGTTTGTCCTTGTAAAAGAATGCACTTTGTTGTCGGCATTTTGTACCTGGAGGGCTGCCTCATTGGATATACGACATCATGACTCATGAGTTAGTAGACTGCTCTCCGTGCGCATACCCTTGTCTCTTTGACGTTTTGCTGACTGGGATAGTTTTTCCACTGTCGGGCTGACTAACAACGAACAACGGTGGTCAGATCCTTGTGCCCATTGTGTTCTAGCTGCTGCAGTACGTGTACCATATCCGGATACACGTAGCAGCCCTAACGGAGGCGTGGTTGACCCAGTGCCACCATGACCCCGGATGCTTAATTACCGGTAGCTGTTAGTCTACGCCCAGTGGCGTATTATGAGTTGATTAGAGGTCGAGCATCTTACAATCCTCCAGCATTGCTCAGTGCACGTAAGGAACGCCTTTCGTCTCCTCAACAGCTTTGAAAGTGTCGCCTTGACCTGCTCTGCTTCCTTTTGTGCGTTCTAACGTGTGCTCTAGCCCCACAACCTGCGGCCTACACAGGGTACATCATATACTACATGTGATTCAACACGCACAAGACCTAGAGACGTTGCCTCATCGCCGATGAGTCATCGGACGCGCCGTCACGGCAAATCTTACCATCTTCGATTATTTTTTTTCTTGAAGACTGTATTGTCACTTACTAGTGTTGTGCCTTGCATGCTTTCTGTCTAAACAACGACGTAATTCGTTGTTTTAGCAAATCACGGTGATTAGCCCATCATTGAGTTAGGAGCTAACTCGTCGATTTTAGATAAAATAGCTGCTAAGACAACGAGTTAACGTTGAGTTATGCTCACTTTCGTTGAATGGCTGGAGTGTATCCGACAATACTACGGCCCTGACATTCTAATTCTAACTCGCTCGCTTTGTCTGATTGCTTTGATTGACATGCGTTGGCGATCTATCGTACTAAACTACGTCTACAATATTGAAGAACATCCCTGTTTTTATATGGAGGAGCTGCAAGCAGCTTTAAAGTCAGCGTTTCCTGCACTCCCGAGGGAGGATTCCCCCCAGGAAGGCCAAGGGCCCGGAGATCCTTGAAGGCGACCCTTGGCAGACACTTGCTCGCGACCCGTCGTTTTGTGGAATAGCCGCGATTACTTACCAAGAGTTCACGGCTGCGACGGTGGAGTGGAGGAGGAAGAGCGCATTCCTCGACTTGCCTCCGAAAGCTGCAATGACGGACGCTGTCGTGCGCCTCGAAGTGGTGGAAGATGGAGTCTCACTCAAAAATGGATCGAAGAACCCGGAGCTAAAGACGACCGAAGCGACCGAAGGATTCCCACAGAATGACCCGGCAGCGTCGCCGGTGGCGAAGATTTTGTTCCTTGATGGCGTTCGTGGCGTTGCCGTCGTGTTTGTCGTGACGCAGCACTCAGGCTACATGCACGACGTCTACATGGGCGCCGTGGGCGTTGATGCCTTCTTCGTGCTGTCCTCGTTCCTGCTGACCATGCTCTTCATGAAGAAGAGCATCAAGCTCATCGCAGAGCAGGCGTCCTACCGTAAGTGGGGGTGGACGCTGGCCGACTACTTCTCCAAGCGGTTCTTCCGCGTGTACCCGTTGTTTGCGCTGGTGGCGATCACTCTGTGGCTCATGCCGTTTGAATACAAACAGCGGTACTACATGGTAAACCGACCTGAGGACTTCAACCTGTTCCAGACGCTCACTTTTCACCCGGAACACCGCCACTACCTCATGTGGACGTTGCCACTGGAGATCTCGTACTACTTCATTCTACCTGCGTTTGTACTGGCGGTGCTCAAGATGCGTCGCTTCTGGTGGATGGCGTTCCTTCCGCTCTACGTCTGGGCTATTCACGAAGGACTCTACACGACAAGGGATAATTATCCTCGCCAACCGTTGAGCAAGCACCTCCCGACGTTCGTCGCGGGGTCCATGGCTGCCGTCATCTTCGTCAAGCTTGAGGCGTGGATCAAGAGCACGGGTTTCAAATTCAACACGTTGCATATCGTCGGACTCCGAGTATTAGAAGCCGTCTTGATCGCAGCCTACCTCAGCGTCGTCTTCCGTGGACTGTTCTTCAATTGGTTGGGGATGCCGCTTCAACCGTCCCAACACTATATCATGCCCTTCACGAGCGTCAAGTTGTCGCTGCTGTTCGTGATCGAGATGATTCAGCCGTCCACTGTGTCGTTGATCTTCGAGTGGATCGTTCTCCGCTACTTGGGCAAGATCAGCTTCTCCGTGTATTTGCTGCACGTGTTCGTGATCGCTACTCCATCGGTCAAGCTGGAGACCAACTACTATGATAAGACGTTCGAAGTCTTCACTCTGGTGATCTTGCTGGCCACGGTATCCTACTACACGATCGAGTACCCATCGCAGCTATTGGCGCAGCGGCTTTCGCGTACATTCAACAGACTCGCATCCTACAGCCACGAGAAGGTGTCAGAGCAAGCTGACACGGCCAAGTCATCGATGAGCCTGCCACAGTTGAACGACGGGAACGAAATAGAGAGCGAGCCGAGCACAACAAACTCATCAAGTGACGATGAAGTACGCCCTCAAGGCGTACCATTCCAATCCAGACGATGAAAAATGAATTGGATTCGCTTGCGCTCAATGCATTCGCGTTTTGTGTTGTCTATTCGTCTTTACGAAAGAAAACCATGTGGAAGAAGTACAAAATCATCGGTATTCAACCCAGCAGCTCTGTGAATTAACCAAGACACGTTCTATCCTCCGTCGTGAGTAGGTCTTCTATGCTTTGAATTGGTGCAGCAAGACCTCGAGAGGCAGCAAGCTCGAGTCGTTCGTGAGCACGATGTCGAAGCGCTGCATGTACAGGTCGAGCTTCTCACCGGCACCGCTATTGAGGAAGCCGATCCGCACGATCTCGTCCTCCGTGAAGTCCAGACCGTCGGCGATGTTGGCGTCGCCGAGCGAATCGCCCAACAGCAGGATGTTGCGGTGTTCTTCGAGCTGGCACTGCTTCCAGAATTCAGTGCCAATGCGTTCTTGTTCATGCTGTGAATAAGCTGCAACGAAGTAGGTAGCCACGAGTGCATAAGAGTCAACAACCGGTTGCGACCTCGTCGACTACTGCATAACTGATCAATATTCGTTCGTACCTCGCCCTTGAAGTCGACCACTTTGCCACTCTCGTCGAATTGCATCATGTAGGAGATCATGTGCACATTCGACGGAATCTTCTGCGCCGGTGTCTTCTTGTACTCCTTGTCGAGCACAGCATGGATCACGTCGTACAACCCGGCCGAGAAGATGAGAGTAGGCACACTCTTGCCTTCCAGTAGATCAAAGACTTGCGTGCACCTCTCACGAAACGCAATGCCGCTTTCTCCCACCGCCGTCTCTATTGTGCGCTTCGTGAACCCTTGCTCGATCATGAGTTCGTGCTCCTTCGTCCACCTACAAAGCAGCGTTAATGTTACAACGCACTCTCCAGCCATGGCAACGATACCCCCATTAAGCAGTACCATTCGATCATGTACGACAACTTTTCCTCCATCGTGAGGGTAGCGGACTGCTCAATCGGGTAGTAGTGCTCGAAAATGCCACGCGCTTCGCCTCCGCATCAAGGATGCCACTCTCCAAGACGATTCCGTGCGAACTGGGTGCTTGCTCCTTCGGCGCTGCAGTTTGAACGACTTACACATTCAGTCCACGAAAACAACCAACTAGCACAGGAGAAACCAACCCGTGGGCTTGAAGAACGGCGTCAGGGTGTAGTCGAAGTCGGCGATGACCACGAGCTTGTCGAACCCGTCGGACAAGAACTTCTTCCACTTGCGGATAAAGTTGTCTGCGGAGCCAACAACAATAATTTTCAATCAATAAAAACACTGTCAACTGCAGTAGGAAACTGTGGGTTGGTATGCACCTGGGTCTCGTGCGAATATCTCGGGAAATGAAGCAGTGAGCCTCTTTCTCTTCAAAGCAGCCTGCTACACGCAGGAAAAAATAACTATTCAGTTATTCACATTCAGATGTCAACCTCTCGATATCCAATAATTGGATGATTATTATCGCGACGCAGTGCAGCGTTCCGTGATTACCTGCAGGTTTTCAATGGCGTGGCGCCAGCTCCTCCCGTCTCACTCGGGGCTCCTGCCTTTGTGCGCCGCCACGGGCGGCTCGCTCTTGGCTGCTCGCTCGATTGCCCGCTGCTCTGGGGCCGACGCGTCCGCTGCGGGCCCGTCGATCCACGCACACTCGTACAGTGATGGACACCAACGACGCGCCCCTCGAATGGTTATCGGAGACCCTGGTCTGTCGGCGTATCCTCTACTACTGTACACCAACCACCAATGAACTATGCACTAATAACCTTGTTTAACGCTGTGAAATTGTAGATGAGTTCGCCCGCAAGATGAGGAAGTTCACGCGCGACGGAGCGGACCAGTTGCTGGTGATCGCCGACTTCGACCGCACGCTGACGCCGTACTACAAGCAGCGCAGCGACCCCAAGGCGCCGCTGCAGCAGGAGAGCAGCAGCCACGGCCTGCTCATGACCAGCAGCGTGCTGCAGCCGCAGGTCTGCGCGGGGGAGCAGGAGCTCTTCGCCAAGTTCTACCCCGTGGAAATGTCCCCGACGCTCTCGGACGAGGAGAAGCTGCCCTTCATGGAGCAGTGGTGGAACAGCGCCCACGCGTTGCTGGTCGAGTACAAGCTGACCCAGGATCAGGTACAGCAAGCGGTGGCTCTCGGCTCGCTGAGCTTCCGCCAGGGCTTCCACCCGCTCCTCAAGCTGCTCCACGACCAGCAGGTGCCCACGCTCGTCTTCTCCGCGGGGCTCTACGACGTCATCCACGCTGCGTTGGAGCAGGAGTTCGCAGCTGAGAGTAAGCGTAACGGAGGAGTTCAAGGGGGTAGGGAGGCCAGCGACCGAGTGTTCACGCCTAGCAACGTGCACGTCGTGTCCAACATGATGCGGTTCGACGCCAACGGGGTCATCGAGGGCTTCGACGGAGCGCTCATCCACTCGCTCAACAAGAGCGCGCGCGTGCTTCTGGACTCGCCCTTCTGGCACAGCTGCGAGCTGGAGAAGCGACGCAACGTGCTGCTGCTTGGAGACTCGAAGGGCGACGTCCATATGGCCGAAGGACTGGACGAAGAGGAGATCATCCGGGTCGGCTTCCTCAACGTGCATGTGGACGAGGCGCTGGACGAGTATCTGGATCTGTACGACGTGGTGTTCACGCACGACGCGAGCTTGGTGCCCGTGCAGATGCTCGTCGAGCAGATGACGGCGGCGGCGAAGAAGAAGAAGTAGAGTTGGCTGGTAAAGCAAGTTGAAGTGAAATGTAGCAATCTTTCGAGGCGGAAGACTAATTGGACCATTTTAACCCAAAAAAATAGTGCGCTGTTTCAAATTGGTCCAAAGGGAGGATCCAATATCCGACACGCACTAAAGATCAACAGCACGATGTCGGCGAACCTCGAGGCTCTGGACAAGGAGGCGCAGATGCTGCGCGCCGCCATCGACGGCAACCGCGTGGACGAGGCCGCCAAGATCCTCGCGCAGCTGAAGGTGCGCTTCCTGGCTTCTAGCTCGCTCCCAATCCTCCGCTAATTAACCCCCAAATCTTCCCTCTAGATGGCGCTCACGACGCTGCCGGCGCTGCCTCCGTGCGGCGTGGACTCCCCCACCGCCAAGCAGGAGCTGGAGCTCGCCCGTACGTACCCGCCGCACTCTTTGCCGACTTCAGACCCTTAAAATTCGCCCCGCAATGGCTAATTTACTGTCTAAATCCCTCTGCTATCCAGGCCACGTGCTCGAGAGCGCCACGCTGCTGAGCATCCTGCGCGAGGACATGACGGCCTTCGAGCGCAGCATGATCCAGCTCAAGGTGTACTACAACAGCGGGCTGCAGCCCTCGCCGCTGCACTACCCGATCCTGGGCACGCGCCTGCTGCAGCTGCTGGTGGAGAACCGCATGGCCGAGTTCCACAACGAGCTGGAGCTGCTGCCCGAGCAGAGCCGCCAGGACCCCAACGTCGCCTTCGCCGTCAAGCTGGAGCAGTACCTGATGGAGGGCACGTACAATAAGGTGCTGGAGGCGCGCGCGAACGTGCCCAACCCCTTCTTCCGCTTCTTCCTGGCGCAGCTGCTGCAGACCGTGCGCGAGAACATCGCCGACTGCGCCGAGGTGGCGTACCAGTGCCTCACGCTGGCCGACGCGCAGCAGATGCTCATCTTCGACTCGGCTGCCGAGCTCAACACGTACGTCCAGGAGGAGAAGCCCGAGTGGGTCGTGCGCGAAGGCCGCATGTGGTTCAAGGCCCCCGAGAAGTCCCTCGGCGCCTCGGACATCCCGTCGTTGAGACTAGTGGGCGAGACGCTCGCGTACGCAACGGAGCTGGACCGTATCGTATAAGGAAGAGCAGTAGGCAAGTGATGAATGAACAGCACGCGGCGCGCTGAGGCGCTGAGAGGGGAGGGTAACCAGCACAATGAAAGCCGCGTCATTTTACTCACGAGATCCCTGGATTCATTCTTCATTTCGTTGTTGTACTTTTGCAATTCGTAACTCACTCACTCACTGGCAATTTTCACGCTGGCCGCTCTCCCCTCCCTACTTACATATACTGCTTCGACACCTTGGTGTCACGTCGCTTCTTGGGCGCGGGTTTGACGCCAAGAACCTTGTCCAGCCACACCTGGGTCTTGATAGGCAGCGTCGTGCGCGACTCCCAGACCAGGTTCTCCTGGTTGATCCATTGAATCAGGTAAATAATCTCCTTGGTCGCCGTAGTCACGTTGGTCACCTCCCTGCGTTCTTGAGCGAGCTTGATCTGATACTGGCACGACCGTTTAGCTCGCTCGCGCGCTCGGAACATGTCAATGAGCCGCCGCGGGATGTTCTCGTCCGGTTCCCACGTAAGCTCGTCGTAGCCCTCCCACTTGACGAGATACAAATCCGCGTCCTTGGCCCGCTGACCTCCTGCCGTCAGCAGTGACCGACCCTCCTTGACGCACAGGATAGCCTCGACAACATACACGTCCTCTTCATTCAGGTCAAACATGTCCTGCTCGTCATCAGTCGAAGAGTCTGCGGCCTTGGTCTCCTCTTCTTCTTCTTCTTCTTCTTCCTCCTCCTCCTCTTCTTCCTCCTCTTCGCTATCATCCAGAACGATAGCAGACGTAGACGAAGCCCCTGGTTTCACTGCCTCGGTCTTCTTCTCATACGACAAATACTTGGTATCGGACTTGCCTGAGGCCACATCGTCTGCTCTGATCTTGGCTACCACCGCGGCAAGCTGCTCCATAGAAGTCATACCAGCCTTGTTGGCCAGCTCGTTCTTCTTCTCCTCTCTCTCCTCCTTCACCTCCTTCGTCTCCTCCGCTGCCTGTTGCAGTTGCCTCTTCGGTGATCGTCCTGCTGCGCGCTTCTTGGGCTTTTTAGGCGGCGGGCTATTCTCCAGCTCCGGCATGAACTCAGCTTCATCTGAATCAGAGTACCCTCCCTTGTACTCGGGCTCCTCCTCCTCCTCTCCAGACTCGTACACCACTTCATCTTCATCCACGTACGTCTTGCGCTGCTTCTGGCTGCGTCTCCGATCGCTACTCGTCGCCTTCCTCTTGCCGCGGTTCTCAGCTCGCAGCGCGTCATCCAGCGTCTCCAACGACCGTTTCCGGGTCAGTTTGGGCTTGCTCTTCCTGTCCGCCGTCGCGTCAAGCTGCAGCTTGTTCAGCAGCTCCATCAGCGCAGCGGACGTGGCCGCGTTCTTGCCCTTGTCCAGCTCCATCCACTTGACGAGGGCCTTGTACTTGTTCGAGCCGAATGCCATGCTCTCGCACATGGGTAATTTACGCAGCTTCTTGAGCACAGAGGCCTGGTACGCATCGGGCGGCTGCTGCTGCTCCACTTTCTTCACTGCGGGCGCGTCACTCTCGTGTTTAACAACAACACGCGGGGAGCTCACCGTCTTCTTCTTGTGGCTCTTCTTCTCCGCCTTCACATTAGAAGAACCCTTTCCGTCGCGTGGAGAAGCAGCTGTGCCACTGTTCTTTGTTTTCTTCTTCTTCTCCACCGTCTTTTCCTCCTTCTTCTCCTTTAGTTTCTTCTTCTCCTTCTTCTCCTCTTCTTTCTGATTATCCTTGCTCTTCTCCTTGCTCTTAGCTTTGTTTTTTGCCTTGCCCTTCTCTTTGCGGCGCTGCAGCATGGCGCGGCGCTTCTCGTAGGCCTCGGAGACCTGCACCCAGGTAGTGGAGAGCGACTGCGCCTCCGTCTGCAGCTTCAAGGCGTCGGGCAGCGGCGGCGCGTTCAGCAGCAGCTTGGCCAGCACGTGGTCCATGCCCATGTGCGGCTTGCCGTACAGGTCTTGCTGCTTGGAGCGCGCAGGCGCCTCCTGCGTCACGGCCATAGCGGAGCTCTTGCACCTCCCGAGGCCGTTTGATTAGCGGCAACTGGGGACTGGGAAAATGTATGGAAGGGTCGGCGATCCGTGCTAAGTACGAAGTGGCGTGACGCACACGAAATTGCGATCTTTTGCGACCATTGTGAACGAAGAGCTCTTTATTTTTTTAGAACGTCTTTTTAGCGAACATGGCTACATCACAAGGACAATGGTGGACGCACACACCGTCCATTTAGGCCTTGCTGGTGTGGATGCTGGAGATGCGGCCAGCGTCGTCGAAGGCGAACGTCGACTTGACCGAGACCGGGACGAAGAAGATCTTGACCACGCCACGCACGACCACGTGCTCGTCGTCGCCGTCCTCGATCGCTGGCGGCTGCCAGGTGCCCTCGACCTTGGTTTTCTCCAGGTACACGCGGAACTCTTCCTTGCCCCGGTAGCTGCCGTCGCGCTGGCTGTAGAACTGGATGTCGTCGCTAACGAGTTGCAGCGTCTCCTTCGTGCGCTTCTCCAGGCGCAGCGCCACGTACTGCTTCACGGTGTCCACGTGCTCCTGCGTGACGGTCGATGCGACGCCCATGGTCTAAGTTGTACTGCAGTTGGCGGATCTGTTGCTGAATGCGCCGAAGAGCGCGAATTGAGAACTGGGCGGGCCACAACGCGGACCAGCCTCCACCGCTCTAAGAACCTAGCATCTCCGTTGAACTTGAGCTGGCCACGGCGGACGAACAGCGAGGGCTCACTTGCTGTTAAACGTGACAACACCTTTCTGGTCTCTGCTAGCGAGAGAGGATACTGTGGCCGCGATTAGTCCGAGGGGGTGCAACTTCAACTAGTCCTGCCAGCCGAGGCTTGTCACGCGTAGCATCACACCATTTTCAACACGCACCTCGCCGCCAGCACAACAACCTCCTCGCCCACGAATGCATCAAGCCACATGATCTACGCAGTCGCAAGTGGAGTAGGTACGTGTACGTACTCCAGCTGCCATTCGAGTCAGCCTCTATTATGCTAAAGTGCTGGTTAAGTGCGCATTACTGGGGATTTGCCGATCGAAAATTCATCCATACCGATCATACAACGACGTCACTACTGCACTCGAGAAGCATGGCGGACGTGGGCTCCGTGCAGGTGCCCGAGCTCGAGGCCGTGGACCTCGACAGCGAGTCGGACACGTGCTCCACCGCCTCGAGCTTCAGCGTGCGGCAGGCCGACAAGGCGACCCCCAAGCGCCTCGACAGCCCCGCGGCGCACGAACACGCGGAGGCGGCGCAGCACCTCACGTCGTACGTGGCAACTGACGACTTGCATACTGGTACTGCAATGTTCGATATTAACTGGTGATGCTGCTGCGTATAGTGACTTGAAGACGTTCATCAACACGTGCATCGCATTCCTGGGCTCGGGAGTTTTGGGGCTGCCCTACGCTTTCCGCAGGTGCGGCGTCTTGGTGAGATTCTGTTATCCTTGGATAATTGTTAGATTTTTGTCATTAATCGGATTTTGTTGTTGCTGTAGGTGGGGTTCGTGACGCTGGTGGGTGTGGCGGCCGTGAGTACGTACGCCATGATGCTCGTGGTGCAGTGCAAGTACAAGCTCAAGCAGCAGGGCAAGAACGTGACCAAGTACGGCGAGATCGGCTTCTTCGCCATGGGCCAGTTTGGCTCCACACTCGTCAACTCAGCTCTGGTTATCTCCCAAACGGGGTTTTGCATCGCCTGTAAGGACTACGACATTATCGTTCGGATTCTTTTCGAGTACTGATGCTGCATTGTTTTTTTTACTTATATGGCAGACTTGATCTTCATATCGACCAACGCGCACAAGTTCCTGGACGTGTCGAAGCAGTTGGTGGTGTCGGTGTGCGTGCCCCCGCTGATTGGGTTTTCGCTGCTGAAGCACATGAAGGAGCTGGCCTACGTGGCGCTGCTGGCAGATTTCATGTGCATCCTTGGACTGCTGGTGGTACTGAACATTGATCTGGGCTACATGGAGCAAGACCACGACAATATTGAGGCCATTGGGGTTGTATCTGCAGTGCCGTTCTTCTTTGGCGTAGCGAGTTACTGTTTTGAAGGCGTGGGGATGGTGCTGCCGCTGGAAAACTCGATGCAGAACAAGAGGAACTTTACGCCGATTCTGGTCTGCACCGTCGTGATCATCACGGCACTGTACGCCACGTTTGGTATCTGTGGTTACCTCGCGTTTGGGGATGACACGGACGCCGTCATCACGCTGAATTTTGAGGGAAGTGGTGGCTTGGTGACGCTCGTCAAGATCTTCCTGTGCTTAGGCCTCTTCTTCACGTACCCGGTGATGCTGTTCCCGGTCTTCGAAGTGCTGCAGCCGATGGTGGCGTGTGGCAATAAGTTGGAGGACTCGAGGATCACCGAGAGAAAGGGCGTTCTTCTGCGAGCCGGAGTCGTATTGTTTACTGCTGTCATTGCCGCTGCTATTCCAGGTACAGCTCGTCTTGCTGTTATGGTTTGATAAGATTTGGAGCTAACTTCAGGTCTTTGCTTACTGTCAGATTTCGGACGGTTTATCTCGTTCATCGGCTCCACTTGCTGCTCCCTGCTGGCCTTCATCATGCCGGCGTATTTCCACCTGCGTCTCTTTCGTGATGAACCCGCAACGTTGGGTAGGCGATTGAACCAGTCGTTCCTGTGCGGGATGATGGCCCTGGGCGTCGTCATGCTCGGTGCCGGCGTTGTCGAAGCCATCGACAGTGTACTCTAAGATCGCCACGAAGAGCCCAGCTAATAGATACTTCACGCGTGATCATCCCATCAACAAGCACTTCACAAGACAGCGAACCGCCTAGATTAGTCCATGTATTGATGTCCTCTCTTGTAACCACTAATCATATCCCCTCTAGTAGTTCTTACACGGGATTGCATTTATCTTGTTGTCCTCGTTTTTTTTCTCTCGGCCAGTCAGCAGTCGACCGCAAACAAGCACTTGCCGTCCCAGCGGCTCGTGTAGTAGGTATTAATCCGCCGCCCATGGTCTCGCCAGGCCATCCACTCTGCTTGCTCCTCCTCGGTAAGATCTGGGAATAAATCAGTAGTTTCATGGTGATCCGTGTCAGCGTTGTGCAGGAAAACTGCGTCACTGATCCGGTCATAGCGAAGCCGGTGGTGCCCACGCACGACGGACATTTTTTTATTCGGGTCGTTGCTGAAGACAACCCGCTCGCCAAAGGTGACATTCCGCTTGATTGAGCGCCCGACACCGTCCTGTAGGAATCCTCCCTTGGGCACTCCGGCGATATCCGCCAGTGTGTTGAGGACGTCGTAGTGCTCAGTAGCATCGTCGATCACAAGACCTGCTTTGTCACCTAGTCGGCCTTCTGCGATAATGGCACCGGCCACTCGTGTGGCCGACACTCCATTGCCGGTCCCGTGATCCCCGACGATGACAACGATCGTGTCATTCAGGATTCCGCTGTCGGCTATTCGATCCATGAACTTCCCCAGCTCAACGTCCGTAAAATACCGAATTTCAAGGTAATCTTTTCGCAGTTCCGGGTTGTCTGCGGTTTTATAAAGCGCAGAGAAGTCGGGTTTCTCAGCGTCGGCATACCACTTGGGGCGTTCTTGGTATGGCCCATGGCTTGAGATCGTATAGTGCGTAAGAAAGAGTGGTTTCTTTGGCTTACCCTGCGCCATTCGCTCCTTCTGTTGGTTCGTCTTGTTCACGAATAAATCACCGAGAATTTGAAAACTTAGATCGTCATGCACACCCCAGTGCATCCCTCGAGCTTCAGAGCCGTACCAGTCTTCGTGCTTGACACCCAAGTCGCTCTCGGCCAGTTTGGCCACCTCGTTGTTACTCCAGACGGTGTCGAATCCATGAATCGGGAGAAAGATATCCCAACTGTCGTAGTGCGTGGTGCAGCCTGTGGTGAAGAAGGTTTCGTACCCTTTTGTCGTGAAAAGCTGGGGTAGACCCTCCAAACGTGTATCTTTCTTCCCCCCAGCCATGCCAGTATGCACCGGGCTGTCGTACGGGACCTGTGCGAACAACAAACTCTCTACGGATCGACTAGTGCGAACACTGGACCAAAAGTTACGAAGAGCAACGCCACGCTTTGCCCACCGATCGAAGTTTGGAGTCACGGTGAGGTTCGTTCCTTTGAACAAGTTGGACGGGTCCTCATCCCCGACGAGGTACCGAGAGTCGTGGAATTGGAAAGACTCGACTGCGAGCAGTAAAACATTGGGAGGATTGTTCGCATTGATGTCCACGTCGAAGGCGAGATCTCCTTCAAAGCCTGTAGTACGGCGGTACAGCGTTTTCGGGCCGAACAGCGTGTGCTTCTCGGTAGAATTGTGGATGTACAGCTCTACCCAGGCGTCCTCAGAGGGTTCACTCTTGTTATCAAGTGGAGGCTCCAAAGCACGAGCGAACAGTTCGTTGAGTGACGCATTCATGGCAGCATATGCAACAATGGGGGAACTCGCTCGGCTCAACGCCACAACGATAGCAGGGAGAAGCACCAGACCGGAGACGACGAGAGCGAGCTGCGCTCCAACGCGCTTGTACTTCAACTTAGGGTCGTCGGATGATTCCCTTTTCGAGGATGAAAGCAACCCTTCCCTGTCCTCATAAGCATTCACGGGCTCAGCTTCACCAGCTTCACCATTGTCATCGTTGAGGTCAATATCCACATACGAGGAGGACTTGACCAGCTTCTTGTCAGTGACCTTGGCGGCCCTCGTAAGCTTCTTTGACTTCGTAATTCTGCCGGATTGAGTCAAAATGAGGTTTGAGAGCGCTAGTGTCGGATTCCAGCGCGTTAAATCAGCCCACGATGCCTTCGTCCTTATGGTCGCGAATACTTTAGCCACAATGACGAGAACTGCTGCGCTCGCATAGCCTTCGTTGACCTCGTCGCTGGAGATCGGAGAGGCGCTGATGTGGTCCTTCTCTTCGACTGCCATGGCGATAAGGTCGAACGAAAACCTCATGCCTCGAATGTGCACGATGAGCAAGTCAGCGACGAAAGGAGCCATCATAGCGATGAACAGGAGCCACGACACGGTGAATATGGCGATGTTGCCAGCCATTCGAGCTGTGACGCAGCTGCAGCGGACCAACGCGCTGCATTTCCACATAGCGTGAAGTGAACGAGACTTGCTGGCCACAGTCTTCACTGTGTCGAACAGCCAGAGCGCACAGGCGAAGTACGTGACACACACGAAGTCTTGTAAGAACCCGAGACTCAGCGCCCCCAACGCCAGACCCAGCGTTCCGTCCTTAGGGCCCGCGTACATGTCGAAAAGCGACCCGAGACTTGTGCAGCGATAGATGAAGAACACGAAGAGGGAGAATGCGTACACAAACGCCCACCCGAGCCACGGTCGAGTCCACAGATCGGCATTCTTCATACGCTGAAACACCGAGGAAGACTCAACTCGTTGCCAAACTGGAGTCACCTCCGCTACGATGCGGTTTTTCATTGCAGAAATGGAGTCACCCGCACGCAGAAACGATGAACGAAGGCCGGAAGATGACGGGGGTCTGGAGAGATGAGGTAGACCACGAGGAATCATCGTCCTGCTTGGTTGGTCGGCGCGTGGGGGGGGGGGGGGGGGTACACCACGCTGTGGTAAACTGAAAATGATGGAGCTGGCCGGCGGGATGTAACCCCTGGGGCGGTTGGTAGCCACATAAATACATGCTGTGGGTTTCCAGGTTAACCGAAAAAGCTGCTATCGGTACGTGTTGATTCATGCTCTTCGTCCTGATGCAGGCCCCTTCGCACGCATCCGTATCAACCTCTGTCGACGTGGATCGACCGCGCTGAAGACGTCAAAAGTCACTGGATCGTTAAAACCTACCGGCAAATTTGCACCCGGAGAAAGTCCCAGCAATCGGTGGGCGTCCAACGCCACGGTAGAACCCCCCTCGATAGTCCTGATGGGCATTGGGGGGCCTTCAAAAAGGCCGTTCACTACCGAGTCCAGGCGATACTGACCAGCCTCCTCAAGGCTGTCCTTCAGGCGAACGCAGAGAATGTAAGGCCTTATTGCACTCCGGGACACTTGAACCAACCATTCGCTTTGTAGCTCGATCCACGGTGGTCATCCACCAGGCCCCAGTTTTGATCTCCACGAGGACGTAGCGAGTTCTCGACTTGATCCCAATCAAGACGCGTGACAGCGCTGTTGATTCTGCGGACGACTGTATTCGGCATCACGGCTTCCAACGTGAAGAAAGATAAGTGACGGTTAGTTTTTAAAAGAAAGAAGAGAACACGCCGTGGCCCCTGTCGCTCAAAGTTTTGTTTGATAAACAACAGAATTGCAGTTTTCCTTTCATTCTTCGCCAAGAAGATAGCGTTAAGTCGAAGAACGAGGATGGAGACGCCTCCCCTGCACTACACTGGTGGCCCCCGACCAATTTCAAGGTCTCCCGCATGTTCTCGACCTCATCAATACTTTTCTGATGCCCAAGACAATTGACGCCGCCGTGTACAACGACCTGCAGCGGGTTATTCGAGTATACGGAGATGTTCGCCCCTGGACAGTTGGAGCCATGGACGGAGCTGCCGCCCGAGGACGCCTCGACCTTCTCCAGTGGCTACGCGCCAACCGAATGGAGGGCTGCTCGGCCGAGGCGTTTAAGGGTGCAGCCGCTAATGGCCACCTCGACGTTCTTCAGTGGCTTTATAGGGCTTACCCTGATCTGTCTGATATGGCGAGAGAGCTCGCGACTGCTGCTCGTCATGGCCACGCACATGTTGCAGGCGTATTCAGGGGTTTTCGAGCGTCGACCAGGTAGAACCCGCGTTGGAAGCTGCAGCGGCTAGCGGCTTCGTCAATGTGCTGAAACAACTCCTGCCAGGGCCTTATAACATGACCTTCCCTCTTTTGGCTGCGGTGCGGAATGGTCGTCTCGCTGTGGTGCAGCTCTTCTGAGACGAAAGCTTCGAGGGTCGGGGGTCGTATGACTTTGGCCAGGCACTGCAGATCGCTTTGAAGGAAGGTTACACGACTATTGCTGCCGACGATGCAGTCTAACAGCTGCTCAGTCTGCATTGGCGTTGGCTGTTTCACGGGGCTACCGGGATATTGTGGCGATGATACTCGACCGATATACTCCCGATCACCACCAACTTGCGTCCGCATTGATAAGAGCAGCAGCAAAGGAGGATTGCGACATGGTCCAACATCTACTCGAAAACTGCCGGATGCAGCAAGAGGGGCGCCACATCAGTATTGAACTTGCCGCAGAGGAGGCATTGATTGTTGCCGTCAGAGCCGATCGAGTTGATGTGGCGAAACTCATTGTGGAGAAGCTCAGGCACGGAGAACACCTCGTCGCAAAAGCTTTGGAGAAGTCCGCTCAGAACGAGCGAGGAGAGATGACAGCGTTTCTCCTGCAAAGTTTGACGCAGAGGACCCCCAGCTTCCTCGCCACAGGACACGCCTAAGATCTGTGGGGACTACTGTACGTCCAGTCCAATCCACTATCAACGGCGCGTTTTATTCTCCTGCGGAGTGCGGTCGGGTGTCGATGGTCAAGTTGCTTGCTGAACGAATTTCGGACCTGTTTGGCGATTCTTTGGCTGCAGCAGCGACGCGCAATCACTTGGCTGTAGTGGAAGTGCTGCTCAATATTTGCGAGGAGAGAATATTCCACGTTGCGAGATCTACCACAGCATCGAGATGGTGCAGCTCCTCACGAAGACCAAGACAAGATACGATAACAGTTTGGCTTTCACGGAGGCTGTTTCGGTATGCGATCTCAAAAAGACGAAGCTGCTTGTCAAGAAGAACAGCCCGTCAGTCATAGCTACAGCGCTGTTTGATTCGCCGACGGATTGCTCCGCGATATTGGAAGTTCTTGTGGAGCACAGCGACCAGGAAACGATCCAGCGAGCGTTGAAGCAGGACAAGTTTGATAAGCAGCCTCGAGTGTTGCGGTTGCTGCTGGCAAAGTGTGACCCGGAGGCGTAACCTTCGTGAAAGCAGCTTCGCAGAGCCGTCTTGCATTGATGAAGCTGATGTTGGACAAAGTCGATGATACCACGTTGACGCGTGTGTTACTGTGCGCTGTTGTTAGCGACGACGCAGAATTGGTTGAGCTGCTGCGAGACGTGTGCGATGTGTCGAGCGTAGCGTTCGCAATGGAGACGGCAGCATTTGTGGACCAAACGCCAATGATCGGACTGCTGCGTGACAAGTGCGATACGAGAGGCAAGCGCAATGCGGCTGCAAGAGCCAAAGCTGCTGGCCACGATGGCATAGTGCAGTTGCTGAAAAGTAAAAGAGCTCGGGTGAAGTGAACGGTCGATCAAGTGGACGTACCAAGTAAGTAAGTACTGTAGGTACGCGCGATCTTGACACTACTTACACTTATTACTAGCTGGTGTTCTTGCAGCAGTTTGTTTAGCTTAGTTTGTGATTCTCCTCGTGCAGGTTCGACAGCTCGAGATAGTACCGAAGCAAACCCGTGTTGAAAGGCGTGATCGGTCACGTTTACCCCTCAGGTGAAAAACATCACAGTTCAAATTCCCTCTTACAGCTCGAGGAACAGCGTTTATATTGACTGGTCTATCTAGTTGGACGTACATTCTGAGGCGTCTGCCGCAAGGAAACACTTCTCCTTCCACCTCTTGGTGTAGTACGAGTTGATTCGCCGTCCTGCGGCGCGCCAGTTGAGCCAGTCCTCCCGCTCCTCCTCCGTGAGACTCGGCAGCAGATCGTGCTTCATATCGTGATCCGTGTCGGCGTTGTGCAGCAGCACCACGTCCGTCACTCTGTCGTAACGCAGTCGCTCGTGCCCCCGCACCACCGACATCTTCCTCGTCGGGTTGTTGCTGTACACGACGCGCTCGCCGAACTTGATCTTGCGCTTGAGCGAGCGACCTATGCCGTCCTGCTCGAATCCGCCCTCAGGGACCCCCGTGATATCCGCCAGAGTGTTCAAGATGTCGTACTGCTCTGTTGCGTCGTCCATGACCATGCCCACATTCTTGCCCAGTCGTCCTTCAGCGACGATAGCGCCAGCCACACGGGTCGCAGACACGTCGCGGTCTTCCGGGACGGCATTACCAAACTCCGGGCCCTGTCCGTGGTCTCCTGAGACCACCACGATCGTATCCTCAAGGATCCCAGCCTCGGACATGCGGTCCATGAACTTGCCGAACTCCATGTCGGTGAAGTAGCGGATCTCAAGGTAGTTCTTGATGTTGTCGGCGTACTTCTGGCCCTCGTAGAGCGCCGAGAAGTCGGGCTTCTCGGACTCGTCGTACCATTTCGGGCGCTGCTTGTAGTTGACGTGGCTCGAGATGGTGTAGTGGTTGAGGAACAGCGGCTTCTTGGGCTCTCCCTTGGCCACGCGCTCCTGCTGCTCCTTGGTCTTGTTGACCAGCAGGTCGCCCAGAAGCTGGAAGCTCAGGTCGTCGTGCACGCCCCAGTTGAGACCGCGGTGTTCCGGGCCCTTCCAGTCGCCGGGTTTGATGCCCAGGTCGCTCTCCGCCAGCTTCATCATCTCGTTGCGACTCCAGACCGTGTCGAACCCGTGAGCAGGCAGGAAGGCGTTCCAACTGTCGTAGTATGTCTTGCAGCCAGTGGTGAAGAACGTCTCGTAGCCCTTGGCCGAGAAGAGCTGCGGTAGGCCCGAGAGCTTGGTGTTCTTCTGGCCTCCCGTCATACCGGATTTGGTCACGTGATCGTACGGCAGTTGAGCGAACAGCAAACTCTCCACGGATCGACTCGTACGCCAGCTAGACCAGTAGTTACGTAGGGCGATGCCCCTCTTGGCCCACTTGTCGAAGTTGGGGGTGACAGTGATGTTGGTGCCCTTGAACAGGTTGGACGGGTCCTCCTCTCCTACGAGGTAGTGCGAGTCGTGGAAGCGGAAGGACTCCACCACAATGAGCAGCACGTTCGGTGGGTCCTTCTTGCTCACCTTGACGTCGAACGCCAATTCGCCCTTGAAGCCCGTCGTCTTGCGGTACAGCGTGTCGTTTCCAAAGAGCTCGTGCTTCTCGGTCGCGTGGTGGATGTACGTCTCGACCCAGGGCACATCCGCTTCGTCCACCGCCGAGGCGCCGCCCTCCGCGTCAGGCTGGTACGCGTGGCCCAGAGCCTCGTTCAACGACGTGTTCAAAGCCGAGTAGGCAACGAGAGGAGACACCGCGTTGATGAGCGCGATCACGAAGAGCGGGAGGAAGACCAGAGCAACGAGCGCCACCAGGAACTGCTTCACGTACTGACACTTGTCCTTCGCCTTTGCCATCGGCTTCTTGGCGGCTGAGAGACGGTCGACACCGTCGTTTTCCACGTCTGAGGGCGACATCGTATCCGCTTCCGTGCTTTCGGTAGCGTCGCCGATGTCCACCGCCACGTACTTGGGGGTACCGGAGCCATTGTCAATCGAGACATCTGCCTTCTCCTTTGCCAACGGAGCGAGCTCGACGTTGGCGTCTTTGCGCTTGGTACTGGAGTCATTGCTCTTCAAGCTCATGGGGTTGTACGCGTGCGAGGATTTCGCGCGCAGCGCGATGTGCGTCGGGTTCCACGTGGACAGATCCGCCCACGGCGCGCGCGTCCGCACAGCTGCGAAGACCGTAGCGGAGACTACGAGCACTAGCACGTTGATGACCGCGTCCTTGATCTCCTTGTCCGACACCTCGAAGGAGCTGGCGTTGTCCTTCTCGTCGATGGCCATGACCACGATGTCGAAGGTGAAGCGCATGTCGCGCAGCCGCACGATGAGCCCGTCGGCGATCACGGGCGTCACCACGAGCACGAACAGCAGCCACGACAGCGAGAAGGACGTGACGTTGCCAACGATTCGAGCCACGAGCCCCCGACCGCAGCATTTGAGCGCCGGCGTGACGCTGTCCAGCGCCCACAGGACGCACGCGAAGTACGTGACGCAGACGAAGTCCTCGAGGAACCCGAGCGCCAACGCCCCCAGCACGACCCAGAAGGTGTCGTCGGCTTCCGTGCCGTACATGGAGATCAACGCTCCGAGCGTGTTGCACCGGAACGCGAAGAAGAGCGCGAGCGTGAAGCCGTAGACGAAGGCCCAGCCGCGGTACGGACAGTCGTCACGCGCCAGGCGACGCGCGATGGACGTCTGCTTGACCTTGAGCACGACCCACTCGGTGAACGTCGGGAGGTCCTCGGGGCCGTCATCTTCCTCCTCCTCCTCCTCTTGAGCTTGGTGCTTCTTGTCCAGCGTAGCGTCATTGGAGCGGACAGGCATGGGCTCTGCCTCCGGGCCATCGTTCTCCATGGGCACCATGGTAGATTCTAATCTACCCCTGAGACTTGGGTACCTAGCCGGCTACGGTGGTGTGTTGCTGGCGCTGACGATCGGAGAGTGAGTGGAGTCGTGCTCTCAGTCGTGCCATCGCCACGTAAGGTTCGCGGACAGGCGAACGCAAAAAAATCTCTTCGATGGTGAGGTAGCAGCTCCCGGGATCTTGAGCCAGGCGGCTGGGGCGCACCCAGTTGACTTGAGCCTTTTCCGTGCCATCTTAGCCACGACACGACGAGCCTGCTGTTTGAACGTCGCAGCGGCTGCGGACAGCAAACGCAGCGAACAGCAGATTTGAGCCTGAGTTTTCGGAACCCGAGTCATCATTTTGCTCGTTTTGGGGAACCCCACCTTTGAAGGGCTGGAAGGGCAAGAACTTGCCCAAGTTGTTCCAGCAAAGCCAGCAAGCACGGGAGTTTACTCACGGATTGCTTCGAGACTGGGCTTCTCGCGGTGGCTGACGCACCACAAACTTGCACCCACCGGTCGTGGAGTTACAGCTCAGACTCGGACCCATCGAGTTGTAATAACGGCCCAGATACGTCAAGAGGCCGGTCCGCCAGTGAGACGTGTCTTTGGTCTTTGGCCATGCGAGAGCACTAATGGCCACTGCACTAACTGTACACTCGTCTCAAGAGGGAGAGCGAAGAGTCACAGACGCCAGCGACTGCAACCCTGACAGCTAGAGCAGAATGTAGATGGCGCCATTGAACATCTTTTGGCAGAGGCTGTTGCTCTGTGGAGAGAGAACGTTCGTCCCATTCAAATGCACGACCTGGATGGCTTTTAGGTGCATGAACTCGCTCGATTTTTGGTTTAGCAGACAACAACAATTACAAGCAGATAGCTGCATCCCACCGCGTCGGGTAAACCGCGTCCGTAATACGTGCATCTGCATGCAGTCACGCCAGGCCTTCCGCTCTCCTTTTGCTCTTCAAGCGGAGAGTGTTCAGGAAACAAAGCCGTGGTCATGTCGTAGTCGCTGACGCGATCATAACTCATGGCTGTAGTCGCTGTTGGCCACTTTTCGATTTCGTTTCGGTTGTCGCTGAACATCCTGCCGCGTTCCAAAGCTTCGGGCATCTCAGTCACGTCTACGAGAACATCGAACTACCGTCTCGAGTTTTGTTTGACAATGCCATTGTACGGATTTCCCTATTACTACGTAGTTCATGTATAGAGGAGACGGTAAGTTTGATATTGGCGGAAAACTTTGAGCTCTCATTACGTACGACGCATTCGTTCGACGCTGACTGGGTCTGCGTTACTGCTCGCAATCTCCGTCAAGCAGGCACCTCGTTTCCCAGTGCTTGGTGTAGTAGGAGTTGATGAGTCGGCCCTTGTCGCGCCAGCGCAGCCACTCGGCGCGCTCTGCCTCGGACAGTCCCGGCAGCAAGTCGTTCTTCATGTCGTGGTCCGTATCCGCGTTGTGCAGCAGAACGTAGTCGGTCATCCTCTCATAGCGCAGCCGCAGGTGGCCGCGCACCACCGACATCTTCCTCGTTGGGTTGTTGCTGTACACGGTCCTCTCCCCGAACTTCGTCTTCCGCTTGAGCGACCGACCCACGCCGTCCTGCTCGAAACCTCTCTCAGGCACCCCCGTGATATCCGCCAGCGTATTCAGGATGTCGTACTGCTCCGTGGCGTCGTCGATCACCAGTCCCGACGCATTCCCCAGTCGCCCCTCAGCGATGATGGCTCCAGCCACGCGCGTGGCCGACACATCGCGGTCTTCCGGCACGTCGTTGCCGAACTCGGGGCCCTGGCCGTGGTCCCCCGAGATGACGATGATGGTGTCGTTCAGGATGCCCTCTTGAGCCATGCGGTCGAGGAACTTGCCCATTTCGACGTCGGCGAAGTAGCGCATCTCGAGGTAGTTCTTGATGTTGTCGGCGTACTCCTCGCCTTTGTAGAGCGCGGAGAAGTCTGGCTTCTCAGCCTCGGCGTACCATTTCGGACGTTGTATGAAGTCAACATGGCTCGAAATGGTGTAGTGGTTGAGGAACAGCGGTTTCTTTCGTTCCCCTCTTGCCACTCGCTCCGCTTGCTCCTTGGTCTTCTTCACCATCAAGTCGCCGAGGATCTGGAAGCTTAAGTCGTCGTGTACTCCCCAATTGAGCCCGCGGTGCTCGTCGCCATTCCACTGATCGTGCGTGATCCCCAGCTCCTTCTCCGCGATCTTCATCATCTCATTGCGACTCCAGACCGTGTCGAACCCGTGGGTAGGCAGGAAGTCGTCCCATCCGTCGTAGTCGGTCAAACACCCAGTCGTGAAGAAGGTCTCGTAGCCCTTGGCCGAGTACAATTGCGGCAAGCCAGCCAGCTTGGTGGATTGTTGGCCTCCGGTCATGCCCGACTTGGTCACGCTGTCGTACGGCAGCTGAGCGAACATGAGACTCTCCACCGACCGACTCGTTCTCCAACTGGACCAGAAATTGCGTAGAGCGATGTTCCGCTTCGCCCACTTGTCGAAGTTGGGGGTGATCGTGATGTTGCTCCCCTTGAACAGGTTGGACGGGTCTTCTTTACCGACGAGGTAGTGCGAGTCGTGGTACCGGAACGCTTCGACCACGATGACCAAGACGTTGGGCGGGTTGTCGTCCGACACGTTGACGTCGAACGCGAGGTCGCCTTTGAACCCCGTAGTGCGGCGACGCAGAGTGTTGTCTCCGAGTAGCGTGTGCTCCTCCGTCTTGAAGTCGATGAACGTCTCGACCCAGGGCAGAGTCACTCGCTTAACTGCTGGTGTTGGTGCCGGTGTGGGGGCTGGTGTACGATCTTCACTGCTGCTTGGCTTGGTACCAGTTGAAGCTTCTTGGTCACTCTCGGTCGAGTCGGCGGTCGAGTTCTTCTGTGAGATTTCGTGCGTTTCCGTCGTGTTGTGTGCGTCTCCGGACAGCGCGTTGTCGAGTGAGCTGCTGGCTGCGGTCTCGACACTCTCCTCCACGACGTCCTCGACGACCATGGGGGCGGCCACTGTCACGTCCAGCGTCGGCTCCAGTCCGCGCGTGAAGAGCTCGTTCAAGGTCGTGTTGAGCGCTGAATACGCCACCAGCGGCGAGCTGGCAGTGCTGATGGCCACCACGATGACGGGGAAGAGCACAAGCCCCGCTAGGGCCACGAGACTCTGCTTGAAGTACTGTCGACAGTCTCCTTCGCGCTTGGGGCTCCTGCTTCTGGGTGAGAGTGGCTTGTTGCCACCCGCGCTCAGCGCCACGTACAGCAGCGAATCATCCGACGGCAGCACCAGGTGCGTCGGGTTCCACGTCGACAGATCGGCCCACGCCGCCCACGCCCGCACAATGGCGAAGAAGGTGGCGACCACCAGAAACTCCGTCACGCTCAGCGTGGCGTCGCTGACCTCCGAGCTGGACACGGCCACGGCCTTGGCGTGGTCCCGCTCGTCGATGGCCATGGTCACGAGGTCGAAGGTGAAGCGCATGCTGCGCAGCCGCACGAGCACCAGGTCGGCCACGAACGGCGCCATCATGGCCACGAACAGCAGCCACGAGACGGTGAACGTGAGGAATTTGCCTGCCAGGTTGCTGTCACGAGCGTAGCACTTGGACGCGAACGTCTTGAGGCTGTCGAAGCACCAGAGAGCGGTGGCGAAGTACGTCGCGCAGACCAAGTCTTCCAGGAAGCCCAGGCCCAGCGCTTCAAGCACCACCTTGGACGTGTAGTCCTTGTCACTGGCGTACATCAACACCAGCGGCTTGAGCGCCATGCACCGGTAGACGAAGAAGAGGAAGAGCACGAACGCGTAGACGAAGGCCCACCCGAGCCACGGCCGAATGCTCGACGATCTGCCTTGAATGTCCGGACTCTTCGTCATTGTGGCCGCCTTCGCCGTTGTGCTGTTCGTACACTGGCTGGGGGTCCTATGAAGCGAGAGCCAAAGTAGTTCGCGGCGGGTTGTGAAGTGAGCCGAGAGCTTCCGCAGCCGGTGGAAGCTACGGTAGCGCCCGTCGCATCGAGTGGACGACGGCGCTAAATAGAATGCAAGTGGGAAGTTGTGCCGCCAGTTTTCGCTGTTTCGTAGTGCAGTCGCATTCACTTCACTTACCGAAGCGCGAGCTAACGGCTTCGTGGCCTCAACCTCAACCCACTCAACTCTACGCTCATGGAACCTACGCCAGTCCCAGTGGATAGTGGTATGTGCTTCTGCATGTATACGAGCAAGGTTCGGCTGTTTGTAAGCTTTTCTGAAATCTCTTCGAGCTGAAAAATAAACTCAGCTTAGTCGCGTGCTCACTACAGCAGCTTCCCAGCGCATTTGGGCTGTGGATAGATGCGTCGACCTCAACAAGACGCAACCAGAGGCACGACAGTACTAGCGCGGGGACTATTGAAACCGCAGTTACTCTGTCCAAGGCACGAACATCTCGTTCGGAGCAACTTCTCTACTTTCAAGCATTTAGTTTTCTACTACTTATAGTGTTGGACCTAGCACTCCGCCGCGAGCAGGCAGCTCCCTTCCCACCGCTTCGTGTAGTACGAATTGATCCGCCGACCAGCATCGCGCCACGCGATCCACTCGTCCTTCTCCTCCTTGGTCAGAGTCGGCAGCAAGTTATTCTTCATGTCATGATCCGTATCCGCGTTGTGCAGCAACATCGAGTCCATTGCCTTATCATAGCGCAGACGCAAGTGGCCGCGCACCACCGACATCTTCCTCGTTGGGTTGTTACTGTACACGGTCCTCTCCCCGAACTTCGTCTTCCGCTTGAGGGACCGACCCACGCCGTCCTGCTCGAATCCTCCCTCAGGCACCCCCGTGATATCCGCCAGCGTATTCAGGATGTCGTACTGCTCCGTGGCGTCGTCGATCACCAGTCCCGACGCATTCCCCAGTCGCCCCTCAGCGATGATGGCTCCAGCCACGCGCGTGGCCGACACATCGCGGTCTTCCGGCACGTCGTTGCCGAACTCGGGGCCCTGGCCGTGGTCCCCCGAGATGACGATGATGGTGTCGTTCAGGATGCCCTCTTGAGCCATGCGGTCGAGGAACTTGCCCATTTCGACGTCGGCGAAGTAGCGCATCTCGAGGTAGTTCTTGATGTTGTCGACGTACTCCTCTCCTTCATACATGACGGAAAAGTCTGGTTTCTCAGCTTCATCGTACCATTTCGGGCGCTGCTTGTAGTCGACGTGACTGGAGATGGTGTAGTGGTTCAAGTAGAGCGGCTTCTTGGGCTGCCCCCTAGCTACGCGGTCTTGCTGCTCCTTCGTCTTGTTGATCAGAAGATCGCCTAGAATCTGGAAGCTCAGATCGTCATGCACTCCCCAATTGAGTCCGCGGTGCTCAGCTCCGTCCCAGTCGCCGTGTTTGATGCCCAAGTCCTTCTCAGCGATCTTCATCATCTCGTCCCGACTCCAGACGGTGTCGAACCCGTGCGAGGGGAGGAAGCCATCCCATCCGTCATAGCCAGTAAGGCAGCCCGTGGTGAAGAAAGTCTCGTAGCCCTTGGCCGTGAAAAGCTGCGGCAGACCAGCGAGTTTCGTGCCGCTTCTTCCTCCAGTCATGCCCGACTTGGTCACACTGTCGTACGGCAGCTGAGCGAACTGGAGGCTCTCCACCGATCGACTCGTTCTCCAACTGGACCAGAAATTGCGTAGAGCGATGTTCCGCTTCGCCCACTTGTCGAAGTTGGGGGTGATCGTGATGTTGCTCCCCTTGAACAGGTTGGACGGGTCTTCTTTACCGACGAGGTAGTGCGAGTCGTGGTACCGGAACGCTTCGACCACGATGACCAAGACGTTGGGCGGGTTGTCGTCTGAGACGTTGACGTCGAACGCGAGGTCCCCCTTAAACCCCGTAGTACGTCGGTATAGCGTCTCGTAGCCGAACAACGTGTGCTCCTCCGTCTTGTAGTCGATGAACGCCTCAACCCAGGGGAGACTGGAGTCTTCAGCTTCAGGAGTGACCTGACGCACGGGGGGCTGCAACGCGTGCTTGAACAGCTCGTTGAGCGTCGTGTTGAGAGCTGAGTACGCGATGAGAGGCGTGCTGCCTTGACTTATGGCCACCACGACCATGGGGAAGAACACCAACCCAACGAGAGTAATGATGCCTCGCTTTAAGTACTGACGATACTGGTCCGTAGCGTCGGATCCCGCTGAATTGTCGCCGTCGTCATCAGCGTCAGCAGCGGTGAGCTTCCTCAGCTCGGGGCTTTGGGCAGGTTCGCGTACCTGGATCTTGACGTATCGCGCGGTGTTGGCAGCGTCACGCTCTGTGTCTTGGTCGTCTCCATCTCGAGCTTTACTCGCGTTTGCGCGACTCGATAGGACATTGTTGGTCGGGTCTAACTCCGAGTCCTCCGTGGGGCTGCTGGAGTCCTGGCTGTCCTCGAAGTCTTCCTGGTCCACCTTGGTGGTGGGTCTGTGTTTGTGCTTGACCCTTGCTGCGCTTCGAGAGCAGAGACGATAAGGCGCTTGGGGGAATAGTTGCGTCGGGTTCCAGTTAGAGAGATCCGCCCACGGAGCCCAAGTACGCACAACAGCGAAGAACGTGGCCACAACGACCAGCGCCACAGCGTTGAGCACCGCGTCCACGACTTCGTCGTTGGAGACCTCGAAGGACGTGGCGTTGTCCTTCTCGTCGATGGCCATCGTGACGATGTCGAACGTGAAGCGCATGTCCCGCAGCCGCACGATGATCACGTCGGCCACGAAGGGGACCGTCATGGCCAGGAAGAGCAGCCACGACACCAAGAACGTCACGGCTTTACTGATAAACTGTGCGATCCCTGGACGCTTGAGTTGAGGGAAGCATCTAACGGTGGCGGCCTTGAGCGAGTCGAATAGCCACAGCGCACAGGCGAAGTACGTCGCGCACACGAAATCTTCCAAGAGTCCGAGCGTCAACGCTCCTAGTACGATGCTAGGCGTACCGTCCTTGACGCTGGCGTACATGGCGAACAGCGCCTTGAGAGCCGTGCAGCGGTAGATGAAGAACACCAGAAGCACTATGCCGTAGACGAAGGCCCACCCGATCCACGGGTGTCCATATTGACCGACCCTCTGCATCAAAGCGTCCGGCTTGAGCCATCGCACGATCGCTGGGGCCTCTGAAGGGTCCTTCTTCACCGGGTAGTCGTCGACTGCATCCCCAGACACTGCAGTGGGGAAGCCGTAGCGCTGCCCCTTGTCGACGGAATCCCGACGGACCATCGAGGTCGATACACCGCTGGCCGTGAGAGAGGGCCAGTAGGTTGGGGAGTGCTCCACGCCACATCGACGGCTTGCTAGCACGAAAGCAGAGAAACGCATAACCAACGCGCCGGTGGTTTCGCCGGTAAACTCAGTTTCGCCAGTCCCGGTCCCAGTGGCGTTGGAGCTCATTCCATCCGAAAGCGATGGGATTACTCAGGAGGCATGATCCCTCCCTCATGCGACTGCGACAACCTAAAACGTTTTGGTTTGCGTTGAGATCAAGTGAAACGAACGAGTATTTCTAGGTAAAGGCTGAATGAATGAATGAATGAATGAAGTCTGCAGCGCTGACAAGTTGAAACGAAGGCGTAATGCTTGCAAAATAGACTTCAGATAAAAAAGCGCTTGCTCATATTATTATGATTGACCGGAAATGCATGTTTATCGAAGAGGACAAGCGGAGCTGGCGATGGGCGATAAACGGGTTTTCCTGATGCAGAAGGCATTTCAAGCGCCAACAAATTCAGGACGCCTACCAACATTCGTACTTCAGGCATAGACGTCGAGGGCGGTTGGCGTGTGCAGGCGACCCCTTGGCATATTTGGTTCGCGGTGACAGCGAACAGAAGCCCGGGCTTATAAGCTCACTCTTCGATGGAGAAAGATGGCATCGGAACTCGGCCCGGACGACAGAGGAGGGCCATTCGGCGGCCCTCGGCATTTGATCACTTTTTCGACCCGCCCTCCATCCCTTGGGGTTGCCACTCGGCACCTTGCTCCTCAAGCAAGGAACCTCATGACTTTGAACCATAACCAAAATGAAAAACATTTCCTCCCAATGCCTGTATGCATCATTGGAAAACAGTAGGTAAGTATTCAATAGATAGATCACTTTCGAGATCTACGTACGAAGCCGGCAAAAATAATCATAAACATAGGTAGGGGATTCTTCCAGCCCCTCAACATTCTGCAGCGAGCAGACACTTCTTGTCCCAGCGCTTGGTGTAGTACGCGTTGATGCGTCGTCCATTGTCGCGGTAGGTCCTCCATTCGGCCTTGTCCTTAGCGCCGAGGGCTGGGAATTGGTCCGTCTTCATATCGTGATCCGTATTTGCGTTGTGCAGCAGCACAGAGCTCGAGTACCGATCATATCGCAGTCGTTCGTGGCCGCGCACCACCGACATCTTCCTGCTCGGGTTGTTGCTGTATACAATACGCTCGCCAAAGGTGACGTTGCGCTTAAGGGACCGTCCAATGCCATCTTGGAGGAACCCGTCCGCCGGTACACCGGTGATGTCCGCCAGTGTGTTCAGGATATCATACTGCTCCACTGCGTCCTCTATCTTCAGCCCCGCATAGTCACCCAGTCGTCCTTCAGCGATGATAGTGCCAGCTACTCGCGTGGCGGATAACTCCCTTGCTTCGGGCACATCAAGTCCGTCTTCGGGGCCTTGGCCGTGGTCACCAACCACGACCACAATCGTGTCGTCGAGCACCCCTTCGTCCGACATGCGGTCCAAAAACTTCCCGAGCTGCATGTCGGTGAAGTACCGCATCTCGAGGTACGCCTTGACGACATCCGCGTACTCTTCTCCTTCGTATAAAGCCGAGAAGTCGGGCTTCACAGCTTCGGCGTACCACTTGGGTCGCTCTCGGAACGGGGTGTGGCTGGAGATCGTGTAGTGGTTGAGGAACAGCGGCTTCTTGGCTTCGCCCTGGGCCACGCGGTCGCTCTGCTCCTTGGTCTTGTTGATCAGCAAGTTGCCGAGGATCTCAAAGCTTAAATCGTCGTGAACGCCCCAACCGAGCGCTCGGTGGGCGTCTCCGTACCAGTCACTTGACGAGATGTTGAGGTATCCCTCAGCTAACTCCATCATCTCGTCTCGACTCCAAACGGTATCAAAACCATGAGAGGGCAGGAACTTGTCCCAGTCGTCGTAGTCGGTCTTGCAGCCCGTCGTGAAGAACGGCTCGTAACCTTTAGCCTTGAAGAGCTGAGGGAGACCAGCCAGCTCGACGTCTTTCTTGCCTCCAGTCATGCCTGAGTCCGCTACACTGTCGTACGGGAGCTGCGCGAAGAGCAAGCTCTCGACAGACCGACTGGTTCGCCAACTTGACCACATGTTGCTGAAGGCCACGCCTCGCTTCGCCCATCGATCGAAGTTGGGCGTGACCGTGATGTTGGTGCCTTTGAACAGGTTGGACGGGTCTTCGTCCCCTACCAGGTAGTGCGAGTCGTGGAAGCGGAAGGATTCTACCACGATGAGGATGACGTTGGGCGGGTTGTCGGCCGATACGTTCACGTCAAACGCCAGGTCTCCCTGGAAGCCCAACGTCCGTCGGTAGAGCGAGTCGTCCTTGACGAGCGTGTACTTCTCGGTGGCCGAGTGGATGTAGATCCCCGCGCGCTCGATACTACCGTCCGCGACTGAAGGGGTGAAGCCTTGCGCCGTCACGTCGAACCCGCGGATAAACAGCTCGTTCAGCGTCGCGTTCAGTCCCGAATAGGCCACGAGAGAGGAGCACGCGCGGCTGATGGCGAGTACGATGACCGGCAGCACAATGAGGCCGAGCACCAGCATTACGACCAACGCGCAGAGGCGGAAGACCATCAGCTTTGACAGTCCCGACGCTGAAGCCGCGGACTTGTCCGTAGCTGCATCACCGCAGGGCGACGTCGTGACCATGTAGGACGTGGGCTCTCCAGCCTCGAGTATCGCCTCCTCCGAGTTCTCCTTCACTCTACCATGAGGGGTCTTGGGGTGAATATCCACCGTTGCCTCCCCACGCGACGCTAGCAGATCTACCAAGGCAAAGGCGGGGTTCCAGCGCGACAGATCGGCCCAGTCGGCCCACGTCCGCACGATGGCGAACAGCGTGGCCACCACCACGAGCCCGGCGATGTTGACGTACGCCTCGTTGATCTCCGACTGCGAGATGGACGCCGAGCTGGCGTTGCTGGACTCGTGGATGGCCATGGCCACGAGCTCGAACGTGAAGCGCATGTCCCTGAGCCGCACAATGAGCAGATCCGCCACGAACGGCGCCATCATGGCCACGAATAAAAGCCACGAGACCAGGAACGTCCAGAAGCCGCCACAGATGCGCAGCACCAACCGCTTGCGCTTCTCCGAGACGTCCACGAAGCCGCCACTTGTACAGCCGAAGCGGTCACCGACCAGGCGCTTGACGCTGTCGAACGCCCACAGCGCGCAGGCGAAGTACGTGGCGCAGACGAGATCTTCCAGGAAGCCCAACGCCAAGGCCCCAGCCTCGACACCGGCAGTGCAGTCCGCATTGGTGCCGTACATGAGGATGAGCGGCCTGAGGCCGATGCAGCGGTACACGAAGAAGAAGAGCAGCACGACGGCGTAGACGAAGACCCAGCCGAGCCACGGACGCTCCCAGAGCGCCGCGTGCTGCACCACCTGGATCATCAACGCGAAAGGTCGAGCTCGAGGCCTCTCGGTATCCGCGACGGAGGGAGTGGACGAGGGGTCCTCCAGCACGGCCACCGCCATGTTAGTAGTATCAGTATTTGAGGTTGTTATAGTTGCTGTTGAGGTTGTGAGCATGACGCCGGCAATCGAGCTGTGCGACTTGAGTCACCTGCGCCCCGGGCATCTGTCGGGGGAACCAGGTCCTGAGGAAGGACGCCGGACTTTTCGCGGCGACGCAGCAGACCAAGTCAGCTACTTTCTGGTCACATCTGCTCCCAATCAAGGGTTGACTTCGCTCTTGTTGCGGCGTCGAGAGTTCCCAAGGTCCACCATTGCACACTTCCAGCGATAGCTTACACGTACTTAAGTACTGCGGTTACTGGCGACGAGAACCGTCCTCGTTTTATTATTTTTTGCTGTTAGATTGTGGTAACCGAGGCGAGTGTGGCTCACGCCAAAAGTGCAGGTCGGTTGAAGTTTCAGGTTAGCTAACTGAGTGCGGCGTCGGGCTTTTACCGTTTGGAGAGAGCGGTCCGGCGACACGAAGTTGAAGTCTTGCAGCCGAGTTTAGGGCCTTGCTGGCGTTGCGATCCCCGTTAGGTTGACACGTGCGCAGCGGAGCCCAGCAGGATTGGAGCTCGCGGTGACCAAAACTTGCCATGAATTTGCTGCTACAAATGCTGCAGGCCAGCACTGCTGGCATGTTGAGAGATCACTTGCAGCTATCGCGGCCGTGCCGCCGTCCAATGAGACTATTGTCGGACGTGCGCGCGCGTGTGAGTGCCTCGAATGACCAGAAAGTATTCGACCAGTGGCTAAACGCAACGCACTGGGTCGGAACACACTGGCTTCGGGCCGCGGGGTCACCAGGACGAGTGAGGCACTGATTAATCGCCGCCCGACTAGACAAGAGCTCTAGCGATGACGACAGACGTGGTGGTTCTCGAGGACAGCCGAGCTTTGTCAGACGCAAATTCTGCCCAACGCCGGCGCTGTTACACTCGCTGGATCAACTGTCGTTTGTGGACTCGACCGTGGCTTGGATGGGCGTTTATCTACGTCGTGGTACTGCTCTTTTGCTTCATTTTTCGGGTTGTGGCGCTTGCGGATCTCATTGCGATGTATGGGAACGAGGAGGACGACGGTTTTGGGGTGAAGATTGCAGTACTAAGCCTCGGCTTCATGGAAGATTTCGTCTGTGCGACGTATCTCGCTTTCGCGCTGTGGCTTGTTGACGCCATGCAGGAAAAGTATTTGAGGACAGTCGTCGAGTACGTTGATGCGTCTGAGTCGACGAGCACTACGATGAAAATCAAAACGATTGGATCTTTACTTGTCGTTTCCCTCCTATCGTGGATACTTTTCCTGCTCACTCTTGGTGCGTCTACGGAAAGCGCGCTTTACCTTCCAGTTGGCGCGCTTAAACGAGAAAATTGGCGCCTGAGGGGCGGTGAGATGCAGCAAATTTACGTCGTTGTGGTGATCACGAGTATCGTAGGCATTGCCTTCGCTGCGGTTCGCACGTTGTCACCTTGGGCCAAGCTCATGCAGTGGAATCCGGTTCACTGTATCACTACCGTCGTGACCTCACAATCTCAAAAAGCCAGGAGACTCAGAGCCATGTCGACCAAAGCCAGCTCTGATGGCGATAATGACATTGATGAGGTCGAGGTTGTGCTGGAACTTGACAGCACGAGCAGAAACTACACACCCGACAACCTACGCGCCTGCGATTTCGTGGCTGAAGACGCAGTTACACACCAAGACAGGGCAGCTCGGCTCTACCTGCGTGGATTCAAAATATCCGTGGTTATAGTCATCCTAATCGTCCTGCCGGCCATTATAGTAGCCGTGAGCAGCGCGTCTCCAGCTTTAATAGCGTACGCTGCTCTAAATGCGACGTTAAACGAGATGTTCGCTCACGTGCTAGGCGATACCTCTCAGAGTTACGTCCATAGGGACGGAGATGCATCGTGGGTCGAGACTTTCATCCACTCAGCAACGGAAAACTACACACTGTTTGCAGACGATTCTCTTTACCGACGGACGACCGGCTTCCACGGAGATCTCGCCTTCAACATCAACGTCAGTGACGACGACCCTCCTAACGTACTGCTTATCGTGGTCGAGTTTTCCGATTCCACGATTCCCATTACCTTGTCGGAGAGGAAGATCCGTCCAACCTATTCAACGGTACGAACATTACCATCACGACAAGTGGGCCAAGCGCGGCGTCGCCTTCACGAACTATTGGTCAAGCTGGAGAACGAGTCGCTCAGTCGAGAGCCTCCAGTTCGCACAGCTGCCGTACGATGATGTGGAGGATTCTGGCATGACTGGAGGCAAGAAAGACGTTGAACTCGCGGGTCTGCCCCAGTTGTTCAAGGCTAAGGGGTACGAATCTTTCTTCACGACTGGATGCCAGACGGAGTATGACGACTGGAACTCGTTCCTCCCAGCTCACGGATTCGATACGGTCTGGAGTCGAGACGAGATGATGAAAATCGCTGAGAGCGACCTGAATATTTCCTCCGATGACTGGTATGGCGAGCAGCAGTGAGGTCTTTACTGGGGCGTGCACGACGATCTCAGTTTCCAGATTCTCGAGGATCTTCTGGTTAATAAAACGAAGGAGCAGCGGGACCGAGTAGCTCAAGGAGAGAGCAAAAAACCACTTTTCCTGACCCACTACACCATTTCCAGCCACATTCCGTTCCAAGAACGTCCAATATGGTACAAGTACGCTGAGTCGGAGAAACCCGATTTTTCATCGCTCTATGACGGTAAGGAGTACGCAGATCTCATTAAAAATTATCTGGAAATGCGCTACTTCACCGACATGGAGCTGGGTAAGTTCATGGACCGAATGGACAGCGAAGGAATCCTCAACGACAGCATCATTATTTGTTGGAATGCATATTGCAGGCCAGCTTCAACTGCAGCAAGTTGAAGGATGAGCCTGGGACCTGGACTGGTGGTAAGACATGCAGCAGTAGGAGTTCTCAGAGAACCAGGTCCCTGTATGAGAAAGGGGCAAAGGCCCGTAGGAGCTGGCAGCAGCTCCACCGCTAATCTATTTACCTTTCCTTTTGCCTTCTTTCGTAAAGAGCGTTCGGCCGTCGGATCTGGTACAACGTCCAACAGGGTTCTGAGCCCAAACCAGCGGACTTGCTACTGCACAGGAAGCGATCCAGGATGGCGGACCAGCTGAAGTTCACGTCGGAGGGTGTACCCAAGAACTGGAAGGGCAAGGACTGGCAGGCATACAAGTTTGCGATGCAGATGGTGTTTCGTGAGGCGGAGCTCATGGAGATTGTCGATGGGACGATCACCAAGGAGACGCTGTCGGATGTGGAGACTGAGGAGAAGTTCGACAAGAAACAGACCAAGATCATGCGCTTGATTGGGATGTCGGTGCCGTCGGAGATCTTGCACCAGATTAGGGACAAGATGACAGGCACGGAGATGTGGGAGGCCTTATGTGACCTGTTTGAGAACAAGCTGAATAAAACTGTTAAGGCTCACACTATTCGTCGCCTTCGTGATGAACTCTGGACTGTGGAGTTTTCGCCGGGTGGAAATATGAACCTGCACTTGAGCAAGATGTTCAATATCCGGACTGAGTTGCAGACATTGCAGTATGCAGTTGATGATATTGACATGGTTGAGATGATGCTGGAGAGCTTGCCGGCCCAAGCAGAGTTCGAGAGCCTGAAGTCGTCAATTCGCTACAGTGCAGATACTACTCTACCAAGGTCCGCGAGTTGATTCGTGCTGCCGCTGCCCGCCAAGTCGAGTTCCGTGGCAAGGGCCAGCGTGGAGGACCTCGTGTAGGGAGTAATGGTGGGGCTAGTGGAGTGAATGGGACGAAGAGCAGAGCTGATAATCAGCATGAGGAGAAAAACAGCGACTCCAAGAAGAAGAAATTGAAGAAGTGCTTCATCTGTGGGAGTACTGCACATCTCAGAGCTGCTTGCCCAGATAGGACTGACAGGTCAAGTGGTGATGGCGCTAATGCAACTGAGCAGAAGCGTAAGCCACGAGGAAATGTGACTATTCGACAGGAGGTCCGCGAATCTCCGAGCCCAGATAGTAACAACGGTGGCTCTAGCGTGGAGATGGCCGCGCTGGACCAGATGATACTTGACGCTGGGGTCGAGGTGGACATACGGGATCCAGAACCCGAGAGTCCTGGTGATGTAGATGCTCAGGAAGCGAACAGTGCTGAAGCTGACGATGCAGTTGGAGACTCCAATGGATGATGGTTCTTCGACACTGCGGCAAAAAAATGCGCACGTCACAGGAAACCTGTTGAACTTCGTAGCCTTTACGGAGGATACCAGTCAGTCACAGAGCTGGCACCTGCTCTTGTATCGCGGATTTCAGGAGTAGGAACTGTAACTTTGATGTCTGAAGTGGATGGTGAACGTGGAGTAGTTTACCTGAATGATGTCGTTTACGTTCCCGGTGCTGAGCACGGACTCTTTTCACCTGGACTTGCCGCGGAGCAAGGATTCGACTTTGACTATGAGCATGATACACTATATTTCCGCATCAAGTATGAAGGTCGGACTGTTATCGTGGCTTCGCCGTACGAGGCAACGTGGGGATTCTTTGTGTCCCATCCTGGGAATGAGGGGCTAGAGCTGCCTTGAGACAGAACAATGTGTAACTTTACTGCGATTGATGGGGTTGCTTCACTTGCGCTCTGGCACGAGGGACTTGGACACATCTGCCCACAGTACTTAAAGACCATGGCGGACAAGGGTCTGGTGAAAGGACTGATGTTGACGAGGCGCGAGCAACAAGATCCTTGTGACGCATGTCATTTAGGGAAGCAGAAGAAGACACCACACGCCAAGAAGCTGAACCGTGGGCTGAGAGCGCCTAATCAGGCAGTGTATGTGGACTTGCTAATCCCAAGTCAGGGGAATGGCACTCGCTTTGAGGCGGTGCTGGTGATTATGGATGGCTACTCCCGGTTCGTGACCGTGCACATGTTGAACAGCAAGTCGAGCACTGTCATCAACCAGCATATTAAGGAGTACATCTTGTGGGCTGAGCGTCAAGCCGGGAGGAGCAAGGATGGTGCGGAGCGTGTGAAGTACAGAGTTCGCCAGGTCTGGACAGACAAAGGCGGTGAGTTTATGAACTCCGCCATGAAGAAATGGTACCGCGCTCATGGCATCGAGCACATACGTGTCGGACCCAAGAGCTCCCAACTAAATTTGTGTGAGCGAACCCATCAGTCACTCGTTGGGATGATGAAGGCGATGATGCTGGACTCTGGGTTTCCGACGAGCTTGTGGCCCGAGGCTCTGAGAAATACTGTCTACCTGAAAAACCGAGTGTTCAACAAGGGGCACGGTGGTGTTCCGTACGAAAAGATGTTTGGAGTCAAGCCAGACGTCCACCACATCCGCAAATTTGGGGCGCTCGCTCACGTCCATATTCCCGTTACTCCTGGGCGGCGCAAGTTCAGTGACAACGCTAAAGTCGGGTTCCTGCTCGGCTATGCGGAGGATGTTGTGGGGGTGTAAAGTATACTTCCCTTTAGAGCATACAGCCAAATTTGTTGCGGATTTGCGAGTTGCGGAAGATGTTGTTTACCGAGATCGTTACGAGCTGGTCGAAGATGCAGATATGGAATCGCTGCACTTTGAGCATGTGCCTGCAGCTGGTCGAGACGCAAACACTGGAGCGGATGAGACTGCTGTTAGTGGCGAAATGGAGAGCACAGTGATGGCTTCGGTTGGAAGCGAGTCTCCGGGCTTGCAGTCCCGTGTACTCGAGGGAGGCGTGGAAGACAGTGCGCATGAGGCACTGTAACGGGGTTACACGCACAAGGGGCTACAGTCACTTGTTACTCTAACAGATGCGATGTCTGTTAGAGGTTTGAACACTTCCTCGACCTTGGTGTAAGGTACACCAATGGCTACATACATTTACGACCACCACGACGGGTGGTCCATACACATTTAGGATTCCTATTGGCTGAAAGCAGCATCTTTTAGTCAATGAGTGACTTGCATGTTAGCAGAATCCTGCCAACCAGCCGTTGGCAGATTCCTAGTTTAGAATATTACATTTAGAGGAAGTCAGAAACATAAAACAAAAATAGCAGTTCTCATTTTAACCCAAAAACATTATTTGGATCGTTTATTTAGATTAATCTATACTCGGAGGCCCGAGTATAATTAACTCTAATTTAAACTAAGCTACGCTTCCTCACATACACGCGCACACGTGTAAGCTAAAGTAGTGAGCCAAAGTAGGTCCATTACACCTGGTAGCACTTTGTAGTCCGTCCAACGACCGACTACCTGAACGTTCGTACGGAGCTGTACGAACGAGGAGCCGAGAACCTTTTCATGAGCGCGGAGGTGCCCATGGAAAGCTCCACTTCGCCTGCAACTCATGTTGCACGCGCTGACTGCCTCCACCTGTCGGACCCAGAGTGGGAGGCACTCCAAAGACTGTCAACAGTCATTTGAGAAGCGGCTGTAGCTGCAATGCTGCGCACGCTATCGCCGACGGAGCAACACGGTGTTCCTCTGGGATTCATCATGAAGGAGCAGCGTGATGCTGCTTCCTCTATCACGGTAGCGTCGGAGACGCCACCGCGTGGACAATCGTTGAAGCTAAACGTGAGCAACTATGTCGGAAGAGAGGGCAAGCCTCTCCTCCGTTGGCTTGTCGAACTCGACACTGCCATCGCGGCTCGACGTATCGTCGACCCGTTGTCCAAGGTTGCGTTCGCCATGTCATGCCTTGGCGGACGAGCGAGAAGTTGGGCGTATGGACGCCGACTCTCTGATCCTACGTGCTTCAGCACGTACGAGGGTTTCAAGGAGGAGCTCAGGCAAGTGTTTGAGCCCCCGCAAAATGCGTTTCGGTCGAGGGCAGAGTTCCTCGACCTACAGCAGGGTAAGCATGATGTCCATGCTTACGCGCAGAGAGCACGGTACTTGGTCTCGAACATTGTGACCAACCCGATAGACGAGGCGACCAAGGTCGTCACGTTCATGAAGGGTCTGAGAGATGGGCCTGTAAAGACCTATCTCTTCCGTGAGTACCCAGGTACTCTCGAAGCTGCGATTACTCTTGCAATGCAAGAGGAGTTTAGTCTGAGGCAGGCTAAACTGCAAGCGAATGCGCCGAGGCTCCAACCGCCTCCGGTCGCGATAGCGGGAGGTCCGGAACCAATGGACCTCTCGAATGCAACGGCTGTTGGTTATCAACAGCAACAAGGAAGTAATGTACGATGCTTCCGTTGCGGAAGGATCGGTCACTATGCCCGAGAGTGCACGGCACCCGTGCACCGAGATGGTGGTCGACGCGGCGATGCCGGACATCGTCGCGGACAAACAAAAAAAATGCTGGAATCCAGTAGGCGCGGGGCGCCCTACTGGTAATGCAGTTCCGCGTGTCGACCTTGGACACGCGACACTGAGGACTGCAGCCACCAGTGAGGTTCATTCTCACTGCAAGAACCAAGATGACAAGCCTGACCTTGTCATCCTGAATGTGAACTCGATGAGAGCAAGCAGCTCTCTCCGT